GGAGCCAGGCATGGGGGCCCCGCAGGAGCCAGGCATGGGGGCCCCGCAGGAGCCAGGCCCGGGGGCCCCCCAGGAGCCAGGCCCGGGGGCCCCCCAGGAGCCAGGCCCGGGGGCCCCGCAGGAGCCAGGCATGGGGGCCCCGAAGGTGCCAGCCCCGGGGGCCCCGCAGGAGCCAGCCCCGGGGGCCCCGAAGGAGCCAGGTCCGGGGGGCCCCGCAGGAGCCAGGTCCGGGGGCCCCGCAGGAGCCAGGCATGGGGGCCCCGCAGGTACCAGCCCCGGGGGCCCCCCAGGAGCCAGCCCCGGGGGCCCTGCCAGAGAACGGAGACACCTGAAGGAGGGAGAGTCAGAGCAAGGCTCCCAGGCGGACGGAGAAACCCTGGAGAGCCCGGGCCGCAGAGCGTCAGCCACCAGAATAACCACCTTCCCCCGAGGAGACCAGCCGCCCCGGGCACTCTCCCCGCGCTGGGCCACCGTCCTCACGGTGAGGACACAGAGGGAGGGACACGGGGTCACCGGGCCCGGCGCCGAGGGGCTGGCTCCGGCGGCTCCGGAGAGAGACCACCGGCGAGACAGGGCCAGAGCGACGCAGCCAAAAACCAGTCAATAAACAAGTAAATGAAAACGACGACAAAGCGAGCACCGAGGGACTCGCACACGCCTGCCTGCCCGCTGCCCCGAGGCCTGAACCTCCTGAGCTCAGAGGGAGGGAGGAGGTGCACCTGCTGGGGGGGCGGGACCAGCTGGGGCTCCTTTCGCTGATGCGGAGCCCAGGCCCGGGGGGAAGTGCTTCCACCTGGAGCCCGGGGCCGGCCTGTCGGAGGCCGCTCCTGGCCGCTCAGAGCCCCCGGCCCCCACGGCCACGGCCACACGGCCGCCTGGCTGGTGGGAGCGGGGCCCTGGAGGTCTGGGTCAGCCCTGCTGCCTCACCTTCCTGCCTGCAAACCGAACCCCGTTCAGTCCAAGTTCATCCCAACCCGCGGCCCCCCCGCCCTCCGCCCCATCGAGGAGGGTCTCCTCGGAGCTCTGCGAACTGTGTGTTTGTGGAAACAGAGGAGGGAGGGAGGGAGGGAGGGGGGGGAGAGAGAGAGAGAGAGAGAGAGAGAGAGAGAGAGAGAGAGAGAGAGAGGGAGGGAGAGAGAGAGACAGCAATAAAAACACCGCTTTTTTCCAAATGGTTTTTTTTTCCGGCTCTTCTTCGCCCCGCAGTCTTCCTCCAGGCCCGGGGCTCCCCGAAACCCGAACGTGGAGAGAAAACTCTGCGGCCCAGAGGAGCACAAGGCACGACCTCTGACCTCCAACCCCAGCCCCCTCGCGCCAGACCCCGTCGGCCGTGGTCGCCGCCCCTCCGGGGGCAGGAGTGTGGCCGGCCCCCAGCCTCCCGGCCCCCCGGCCTCCCGGCCCCCCGGCCTCCCGGCCCCCCGGCCCCCCGGCCCCCGGCCCCCCGGCCCCCCGGCTCCCCGGCCCCCCGGCCCCCCCGGCCCCCCGGCCCCCCCGGCCCCCCGGCCCCCCGGCCCCCCGGCCCCCCGGCCCCCCCGGCCCCCCCGGCCCCCCGGCCCCCCGGTCTCCCGGCCCCCCGACTCCCCGGCCCCCGGCCCCCCGGCCCCCCGGCCCCCCAGCCTCCCAGCCGGGCGGGCGAAGCCCAGCGCCCTGGACCGGGACCACAGCCACCCCGCCGCCCGTCCCCGCCCCGCCCCCCAGCGAACCCCGCCCGCCCCCCAGCCCCCCGGTACCTCGGCTCCCGGGACCGGCCGCCGCCCCCCAGGCCCCCCGGTACCTCGGCTCCCGGGACCCACCGCCGCTGTCGCCCGCGCCGCCGGCCCTGCTGCGCCTGCCCATTGGCGGCGAATACCAGCGGGACCCAGCGGTGGGGCAGCCAATGAAACCGGCGGGGGGCGGGCTCTAGAGCGAGTCCTGCTTCCTGACTGGTCAGCACCAGACCTGCAGGGAGCAAGGCTCGGGCCTAGGGGCGGGGCCGAGGCCGGGTCTGGGGGCGTGGTCGGGATTGGGGGCGGGGCTGAGGCCGGGATAGGGGCGGGGCCCCAGCTCTCCCACCTGACCTATCATGGGCTGTGGGTCACCTGAGCGCCTCACTCCACAGGCACCAATGATATTGAATCAATGCCCAATGATATTGGATCAATGATATTGCAAGGTGGGGGTGGATTTCAGAGAGGATGGGAGAGGGAGAGAGAAATAGAAACATCTATGATGAGAGAGAATCCTTGATCAGGTGCCTCCTACATTCCCCCCCGCCCACCCCCCTGCAGCTGGGGACAGAGCCCAGAGCCTGGGCATGTGCCCTGTCCGGGAATGGAATCAATAACCTCTTGGTTCCTCGGCCGGTCAATGCCTAACCGCTGAGCCACACCAGCCGGGCTCTCCCATGCTGACCTGTAAGCCTGGCCCTGGGTTCCCAGGACCCCCTCCCTGTCTCCCCCCTTCCACCCCGAGACCAGGCAGGGACAGGCCTCATGGATACTTTCTCCTGTGAGCTACACGCGAACATGGAACCGTGTGAGGCGTATCAGGTTACAGAAAACGTTACGAAAACCAGTTCCGTGATAAACGCACCCAACACACTAGGAATCGAAGGGGACTTTCTCCGCCTGATGCACGTGTGACAGGAACGGGAACCCCCCACGCTCACATCATACGTAACGGAGAGAGGCTAAAAGCGCTCGTCTTGACGACACAAGGATTTATCTGCTCTTGTCACTTCTATTCAGCGTTGTGGTGGAGGCTCTGGCCGGGGCAGCCAGGCGGGGAAATAGAACAAAAGCCGTGTAGATGGGAAATAGAGAAGTAAAACCATCTCTTTGGCAGATGACGTCATACACGCAGAGAATCCCCGCCAGATCCACCAGAAACGATCAGAGCGAGCAGGCGCGTCAAGCGAGGCCGCGGAGGACACGCTTCTGTATCTGAAAGAAATCCCTGAGGAGTGGGCGGGTCACAGAAGACATATTCCACAGATAGCGCGGCCAGTCTGAGAATACACTCACAATCGCACCAAAAGAGAAGAGCAGACTTAGGAGGGCAGTTAACAAAAGGAGCGGCGGACTTGTATGCTGAAATCTAAGGGATTGAAAAGGACCCCCGATAGATGCAAAGACATACGGAGGAATGGGATCTGGCACTGACCGCCCAGGAAAACCCGCACATTGAAAGGCAATGACCGGAATCGAACCGGGACCCCGCAGACCGACGCTCCATCCACTGAGCCACACCGGTTTCGGCTGATCCAATGTAATTTGATCCAATATTGATCCAATATAAATTGATCGAATATAAAGTGAGCAGGCATCTTTAAACACACGTAAACATGCTTAACACCACGGCTGGCTCTTTGGGTTGAATGCACAACATTGGGGGTAAAAATACCACCGCCACCGCCTAGAAAATGAAAGAGGCCTTCCTTTTGGCCCTGAGCAGCCGGTCCGGAGGCGCAGGGGAGGGTGCCGGCCAGCAGGGGGCGCTGTGCTGTCACCGTGGATCCATCCAGCCTCGCTGGGCGCTGGCTCCTCGCCTCGGGCTTTCCCTCCGGATGGTCACGCAGCTGGGGTGGGGCAGGGCTTGGGTTTAAAAAAGTCCTGTCTCTTTAACGCCAAAGCTCGTGGTTCTGCTGTCAATCATTGGAGCTCAGGGTGCCGGGAGGGGTGTGTGAGTGCAGGGATGGAGTGGGGGGGCCTCTTTCTGGGTGTGAATGACTGACTACCTTCTCTCTGCAGTCTCGCCTGGTGGAAGGATAGCACAGAGAGTGTGTGTATATATATACGTACACAGGCACATGTGCATATATACGTAAGTTATCTGTACGTATGTGTGTGTGTGCATATAACGGGATGGCTGGTCAGCACGTGCTCGCTGGGGGAGACACAGCCAGAAGCGCACAGGCCGGCGCCCCCGACACTGTCCACAGCCGGCCGGCGGCCCCCCAGCTCCCCGCGGGCAGGCCCCGCCGTCCCCGGAGGCAGGGGCGCCGCGGCCGCCCTCGCTCGGCTGCGAGGACTCGCGTTTGTCTCCTGCTGCACAGACGGCTGACGATGGGAAAACGGGGAAAACGTTTTTATTGAACGTGCTCAGCTCGCTTCCAACGCAAACAGGGACCTCTCGTGTACAGTGGGGTGTCCGGGGTGTGTCTCCTGTTGTAGGTCTCCCCCCGCCCCCCTCCCTTCTTCTTTGTCCGAAAACCAGCACCGGAGAAGTGGGACAGGATGGCCGGGCACAGTGCGCGGCGTGAGTGAGCTGACGGGGACTATGTACATCGGACTCCGGAGAGAGCAGGGGCGTGTCTGACGGCCGCCGAGGCCTCCCCCCTGTGCGCAGCTGCGTCTGCACCAACGGAAATAGCACCGGGAGCCCGGCCGCTGGGGCTCCGTGGCTGAGCGTCAGCCAACCTGGGAACCGGGAGGTCGCGGCTCGGTTCCCGGCCCGGCTCGGTTCCCGGTCAGGGGCACGGCTGGAGGCCGATCAATGACTCTCTCTCATCACTGATGCTTCCAGCTCTCTCCCCCTCTCCCTCCCTCCCTCTCTGAAATCAATAAAAATATATTCTTAAAAAAAAAAAATAGCACCACGAGACCCTAAGACGGGAGTTAGCCACGCGCGTGTGCGGCCGCACGGGGACGGCCCTCGGCTGACGGACAGCAGAGGGCGCTGTGGACCACGGAGGCTGCGCCGTGGCCGTCACAGAGTGTCCGTGTCCTCCGGGCAGAGCGGGCGAGGGCTGCGCCCAGGTCGGTCCTCGCTGGTGAAAAGCACCTTGGGAAGCGATGGGTGTTTCATACCAACCGAGTCAGCGTTCACCCCCGGAGGGGGCGAGGCCCTTGATACAGAGACGGCAGGGAAGGGGCTCGGCTCGGAGAAGTGCGAGCTAGCTGCCCCAGCTTCCTCAGCTGGCACCCCCCCCCCACAACCCTCCTGCCCCCCAGCTCTGTCCATCTGGGATGGACTACAGGGCCTCTGGGGCTGAGGAAAAGGAAACCCTGGTGGCCCGATATTTAAGAACAAGAGCTGGCGGGGAGGGGGGGTGGCATCAGAGGGCGGGCAGCGCCACCCTGGCATCCTGTCCTTCCTCTCCGCAGAGCACCGGGCGCTGAGCACCGAAGGAGGTTTCTCCACTGGCCTCACGGGTCCCGGGGGTGGGGGGCAGGGGCGGGGGCCGAGGGGCTGCGGCGAGCCCCGGCCACGCCCCTCCACGGCCCCCATCCCCGGGGGGAGCAGGCTGGAGAGAGCAGAGGGATGTGAGGTTTGTCCTTGTGACCGGAGTGGGCCTGAACGTCGTGACGTCCACAACGCCAGCCCCGGTCCCAGGCGCAGCACCAGTGAGAGGAGAAGCACCCCGAGGAGACCCCCAGGACACGGCGGGGGGGTCCTCGTGGCAAAGTCCTTGAACGTGAGCACCCATCCGACTGCCGCCAGGCTGCTCGGGGAAACGGAATTCCTGGCAGCAGGGCCCCGGGTCCCAGCTCCCCAGCTCCCGGGAGGATCCTGTGGAGGATCCTGGCTGCACGCCTGCTGCGCCCCGTTGTCGGGACTCCCCTGCGCCCTCAGAGGGGCCGCCTCCCCGGGCTCCAGAGCGGGCACAGCCCTGTCCGGAGGGGCGAGGGGACTGCAGGCGAGGAAGACCCTCTGCGTGCTTTTCTGAGGGTCCTTCTTGTCCCGCGGGGAAGACAGTTCGCAGGGACGGCGCGACAAGGTCTGCGCTGCAGGAAGCTGGGTGGCCGGGCGGCGGGCCCTGGCTCCGGCCGGCCGGGCGGCTCTTCTCCAAGGATCCCGGCCCGCTGGGCGGAGCGCCCCCTGGAGGAAACCCGCCTGTAGTGGACGAGGCGGCCGGGCCTGAGCGTGGATCCTCTGAGGCTCCGGAGTAATCCGCTTCAGACAGATGGCCAAGGTCAGCTCCGGGAGGCCATCCGCACAGTGCCGAGCTTATGAAGTCCCCAAAAAACCCACAAAAACACAAAGACGTGAAGCAGAGGGCTCCGGGAGGCAGAGGGAAGCCCCCACGGCCCTGACAAAGCTGCCCTGAGCTCCCCCGTCTGCCAGGAAGCCGCCCCAGAGCTGCTCGCAGCGCCTGCGAGAGAGGGTCCTCCGTTTCCCTGGGCGGACGGCAGAGATCTGACAGTGGGATCTCCCCACGCCTGAACCCTTCCGGAATCTTCTCTCCGACACAGCGGCTGCAGTGGGTCCACGCAGACCCAGCCTCGCAGAGGGACGTCCCCGGGCCAGGCCCTGGGTCCAGAGAACCTGCCCTCAGCGCCGGGCGGACGGCATCGGCCCCTCCACCCGGAACAAAGCCCGATTCGGTGTCCGGGGCCTCGCTCTGGCCATCCGCCCGGTGACACAGATGCCCCGGGGTTCCTGCCGCCGGGAGAGAGCCGAGGCGGAGGCGGCCTGACGTCTGTCTGGCTCGGCTGTCGGCGGTCAGAGGTGCCCCGTGGAGGTCCGGGGAACCCTCGAGACTGTGCCGATTCTGTGGTTCAGGCCTGCTTTTCCCCCTTTCCCGTGGAAAGCCATCCAGTGGCTCTGAACAACACATTAAGAATAAAAGCGCTCAGGGCAGAGGTCGGGTCCGCGCGGAGTTCCGGGGGACTGCGTTCTTGGGACGAGGGCGCTGTGCTCCGGGGGGTCCTGGCGGCAGGACGCTGTGCCCTCCGGCGGGCGGTGTGTTCGGCGGGCCCTCGAGTCAGGAACCGGAGGCCTCGCACGGCGGTGTGGCGGGACCGGGGGCGCCTGTCATGAGCTCGGCGAGGGCGGGGGCAGCGGCCGGCGCATCTTGCTGGCGTAGAAGTCCCTGCACGTCTGGCAGCAGCGCTGGTACCACCGCATGTCCTGGCACAGGTTCTTCTCCCGGATGACCCGGCAGTACACCGTCCACTGGTCCCGCGTGCACTTGTAGGTCAGGGCGGCTGCGGGGACAGCGGGCGGAGAGGCCTGGGGGTTACAGGTGGCGCCTGGCCGAGACGGAGGCGGCGTGGCCCGGCCGGGGACACACCCCTGGGCCCAGCGTGACCACGTGGCCGAGCCTGGTGGTCTGGCTGCCTCCTTGGGCTGGGGCACTGCCCACCAGCTTCTGAGCGGAGCGGGCTCACTGTTACCTTGTGGCAGACCTCGTTACCACGGGCATTTGTGGAACACGAGGACATGAGGTGCTGAGGATCAAGGGGCCCACAGAGCGCAAGGTCACAGCACAAGGTCACAGCGCAAGGTCACAAGGAACACGAGGACATGAGGTGCTGAGGATCAAGGGGCCCACAGAGCGCAAGGTCACAGCGAAAGGTCACAGCGCAAGGTCACAAGGCAAGGTCACAGCGCAAGGTCACAGCGCAAGGTCACAAGGCAAGGTCACAGCGAAAGGTCACAGCGCAAGGTCACAGCGCAAGGTCACAAGGCAAGGTCACAGCAAAAGGTCACAGTGCAAGATCACAGTGCAAGGTCACAGCGCAAGGTCACAGCGCAAGGTCACAGCAAAAGGTCACAGCAAAAGGTCACAGTGCAAGGTCACAGCAAAAGGTCACAGCAAAAGGTCACAGCGCAAGGTCACAGCAAAAGGTCACAAGGCAAGGTCACAGCGAAAGGTCACAGCGCAAGGTCACAGCGCAAGGTCACAGCGCAAGGTCACAAGGCAAGGTCACAGCAAAAGGTCACAGTGCAAGATCACAGTGCAAGGTCACAGCGCAAGGTCACAGCGCAAGGTCACAGCAAAAGGTCACAGCAAAAGGTCACAGCGCAAGGTCACAGCAAAAGGTCACAGCGCAAGGTCACAGCAAAAGGTCACAGTGCAAGATCACAGTGCAAGGTCACAGCGCAAGGTCACAGCAAAAGGTCACAGCAAAAGGTCACAAGGCAAGGTCATAGCGCAAGGCAATGTCACGGCGCAAAGTCACAACACAAGGTCACAGCAAAAGGTCACAGCGCGAGGTCACAGTGAAAGGTCACAATGCAAGGTCACAGCGCAAGGTAAGGTCACAGCGCAAGGTAAGGTCACAGCGCAAGACAAGGTCACAGTGCAAGGTCACAGCACAAGGTCACAGCACAAGGTCACAGTATAAGCAAGGGACCTGAGTCGCCTCCAGGGTCCTAGCTCTGCAGGGAGGAGGTGCCTGAGGGACATGCCTGGGGGACCCTGGGGAGCTTGTGCACGCAGCAGCCTGGGGTGCACCTCTATGAGCTCGCACACCACCCCCCCCCCCCCCAGTGCAGCCACATAGCAACGCCCTTCCTTCCGGCGCCCGGCCAGGAAGGCTGAGGGTGGGAACACGCCCCGGCCGGCCGGGGACTTCTGTCTGGACGAGCAGGGACTCTGCAGGCGCCGCCGGAGCAGCGTTCGGTGTGTCTCACCCTGCGCCCTGCGGCCCGGGGCCGTGCCCGCGGCCAGCAGAGCTGGGAGCCCGAGGGGCCGCGCTGCTCACACAGAAGGTCCCCGCTGAACGAGGGACAAGCCCGCCAACGCCCGTCTCCTCCAGCCTGAGCAGCAGCCGTGCGGACGTCCCCGGGGGCTCACCCATGACACCCCGCAGCCTGCGTTTGCAGGAGAAAGCGCCCCCCTTTGCCCCGCCCCATGCAGGAACCCTAAACCATCGGGAGGAGTCCCCTCAGCTCCCCAGGGGTCGGCGGAGGGGCCAGCGGGTTTCAGGTGGAAGCTAACAGACTGCTTTCTCGTGACGCGGATGACATTCCACCTCCGATCTGCTCCCGGGGTGACCCGTGTCGCATCTCCAGGGCTCAGGTGAGACCAAGGAAGGCGCCTCCCGGCTCCTGGCCCTCCCCTCGCCCCCAGTGGGACTCGCCGGCGGAGGGCGCGCGGGGAGAGGACGGGCACTCACCCAGGCGCGGCGAGGTGATGGTGTTCACGTTGATCTTGTCGTTGCACACCTCCAGGTGGCACTGCCGGTAGGCGGCGGGCTTGGCGAGGGCGGGGCACTCGCTGCCATGGCGCCCGGTGACCTTGTGCATGCACTGCACCACGCGGGACTGCAGCCCCTTCCCGCACGTGGAGGAGCACTGCGGGCACAGGGCGGCCGCTCGGCATCTCCCCGGCCCTTCTCGGAGGGGCGCGGGGCAGGTGGCAGCTGGGCTTCCAAGCCCCCAGGAGCCTGGCTGCACTGGCTAGCCGAGAGAAGCCGCCCTAGCCATGCCTGCCTCGCCCCCAGGGCGCCCCCTGCCACCGGGGGGCCGGGCCCTGCCAGCCGGGCACGGGCCTGGCTGAGGCACTTCCTGGCCGGGGGTGCCCGTGCCCGCGAGGGTTCCGGTGTCGTTTGCGGGCCCGGCTGCCGGGCCTCTGAGAAATCAGGCGAGGCCTCGATCCTGCGGGGTTGTTAAAACCGAGTGCAACACTGGCAGGGTCTCTCCCCAGAAATGATCGGGGGCCATCGTCAAGCTCAGCTTCCACCTACGAACCGGGTTCGAGTCCCTGTCGGGGCACAGGCCCGGGGCTGCAGACTCGGCTCCCAGGTGTGGGTGCGTACAGGAGGGGACCGGCTGCCTCCTGCACACCCCGCTCCTGGCGATCCAGCCTGCAGCCCGGGCGTGTGCCCTTGACCAGAATCAAATCCGGGGACCTTCACCCCGCAGGCGGACGCTCTATCCACTGAGCCACACCGGCGAGGGCGAGCAGCACTATGGTTATGAGCAAAAGCAGGCACGGGGCCAGGAGCAGAGGACGGGGCTGCCGGGTGACCCCGGGCCTATAGCTGAGGCTCCCAGGCGGCCGGGCCCGGCCTCTGCAGGCAGGTGTGGCCGGCACTGACCCTCAGCCAGGCGGCCCTGACCACAGACACGGCTCCCGACAGGTGTGTGCCTGCTTGTGCTCGGCCTCCTCCCGTCACAGGTCCCCCCACAGGAAGGACGACAGGCACAGGCAAGGAATTCCATCTCCGCCCCCACCCCTCGCCCCCATCCCACCGGCCTGGGCTTCAATCAAACAGCCAGAGGCCGCCCACCGGGAGGCCTGATAGCATCGGCTTAGCCCCGAGCACGGGAGGGGAGCCGCCTCCGGGCTTTTAAAGCGCCAGCAGACGCGTCTATAAAAGACAGGGGAGCGGATCTGATCTTGTCCGAAGCCCTCCTTCCCTGTCGCTCGTCACACGCACATGTCACTGGGCCCCCCAGACACAGGAGACAGAGCAACAGGGAGGGGCCCCGCACCCACCCCAGCAGCTCCTGCCTTGCCTGGGGCAAGCCCCTCCCGCTCCCTCCCCAGCCACAGGCCTGGTGACCTGCCAGGAGGGGGCGCCAAAGACCCTTGGGGTGCGAGCTCCATGGGAAAAGCAATCTCTCTACAGAAATCTATAGATATAAAAGGCTGAGAGGCAGTGTCCCTTCGGGAGTTCGACCGGGAGTTTGACCGCTCGCTATGACGCGTGCTGACCACCAGGAAGGCCCCAGCCGGCAGCCGGAAGGAAGGCTCTGATCGGCCCTGACCCCGGGCCAGGCCTCGGGACACTACCTGTGCGGGAATTTTTATTTTATTGAAATAAAATAACTTGCCCGGCCAGCGTGGCTGAGTGGTTCAGCACGAATCTATAAACATGCACCAAATATGTGAATGGCGTCTCCGGGGGCGGAATGTGAGCCTCAGGGCCTGAGAGACGGGCCCCCCACGCGGGCCTGCCTGCCCTGAGGCCCCCACTCCTCCTGCCACACGCCCCCAGCCGGGAGGGACCAGGTCTCTGTCCTCACAGGAGGCCAGACCCTGAGGACAGGCTCCAGCAGGGCGAGAGGTCGCTGCTCCCTCCGTCCCTCCTGCTGTAAAGTCACGACTATACAGAACCCCTGGTCCTGGAGGGATGCTTGGAGAATTCGCAAAGGAGGTTGTAGGAGCCTCGGGAGAGGGACTCGCTGCAGGAATATCACAGCTGTGTGTGCGTGAGCCAGGCTCCGGGGGACCCGGTGAGGGTGACAGGATGCGAGGTGGACCCTCACAGTCCAGCACCACCCCAATGGGGCCACTGGGCCATTCTCGGAGGGGCCGGTCTGCCTGGGGCAGGTGTGGGTCACAAAGAATGGGAGAGAGAGAGAGAGAGGGAGGGAGGTGGGGAGAGGGAAGGAGGGAGGGGGGAGAGAGAGAGGGAGAAATGGGGAGAGAGAACACCTCTAATGGAACTTCTCCTGTGCCTGGGGAAATGTCAAAGCCTGTGTGACAGATCGCCCCCAACTTGGCATGGGCGCCACGGGCCTCGGAAGCTGTTGGGACCTGAGCCGGCAGGTTTAAGCAATGATGGAAATCCCCCGTCCTGGCCCCGGGCTCCAGGCAGGCAGCAGATGCTATCTGAGACACACACACACACACACACACACACACCCCGCCCCGCACTCACACAGAACCCCCACTCCCTTCCATCAATAAAAAATAAATGCATACAGCCGGGACCGGTTTGGCTCAGTGGATAGAGCGCCGGCCTGCGGACTGAAAGGTCCCGGGTTCGATTCCGGTCAAGGGCATGTACCTTGGTTGCGGGCGCATCCCCAGTAGGGGGTGTGCAAGAGGCAGCTGATGGATGATTCTCTCTCATCGATGTTTCTAACTCTCTATCCCTCTCTCTTCCTCTCTGTGAAAAATCAATAAAATATATTTTAAAAAATACATACATACATACATACATACAAATGTAAATAAATAAAAGCATTGGTGAGAGGTCTGGGGCAGGGCTGCGGAAAGCCACCAGGTGCTCGAGGCGGGAAAGGGACTGACCAATGGGGGTGCCGGCGGGTGCAGTGTTTGGACAGAAAGAGGGTTTCCTGGCCGGGCGGGGACCGCCCCGCGGATGTGGCGGGGCGGAGGGGAACGCGGGCGCCGGCGGGTGCGGTGTTTGGACAGAAAGAGGGTTGCCTGGCCGGGCGGGGACCGCCCCGCGGATGTGGCGGGGCGGAGGGGAACGCGGGCGTCGGCGGGTGCAGCGTTTGGACAGGGAGCGGGTTGCCTGGCCGCGCGGGGCCCGCCGGCGGACGTGGCGGGGCGGAGGGGGCGCGGGCGGGGCCGCTCACCGTGGACCAGTCGCCGGTCCTCCAGGCGTAGCAGCCGGAGTAGTCCTCGCACGGCTCCTCGGCGCGGGGCCGCGTGGACGCGTCGCACTTGCCCTGGGAGTTGGTGCAGGTCACCGTGCGCTTCTGCGTGCCGGGGCCGCAGCTGGCGGAGCACTGCGGGACAGGCGGGGCGGGCGCTGAGGCCGGGGGCCCCGCCGAGGGTGCAGGGACTGGGGCCCAGGCTTCCTCTTTTAATATACATACATACATATACATATATATATATTTAAATTGATGTCAGAGAGGAAGGGAGAGGGAGAGGGAGAGATAGAAACATCCCAGTCAGCGCACAGGCCCGGGTTGTGGGCTCGATCCCCAGGAGGGGGCGTGTAGGAGGCAGCCGGTCCATCATCCCCTCTCCTCATGGATGTTTCTCTCTCTCTCCCTCCCTCTCCCTTCCTCTCTGACATCAGTACAAACACATTTAAAGAGAAATTAGAAGGGAAGAAGCACTGGGCTCAGGCCTGGGCTGAGCCCCCGGGGGGCCGGGTGGGGGCGGATGCGGTTTGGGGAGGAGGCCCGGGCGTGACGGGGCACATAGGCGGACGGAGACGCCGCGATAAATCTCGTCTCCGCTGGCTCACCACCCCCGGAGGGGGCTGGTGAGTCCGATGCTGACAGCTGATAGTGTCGGGCTGGGGTATTAAACCCCAAATAGGAAATTTATGGTTTTGATCTGATTAAAGTATAAATCTTGTTTGAATCAAGACCCAGGTGACTAAGGCCCTCTGGCTCCTGGGAGGCAGGGGAGGGGAGAGTGACCACTCACTACCTGCCCCTACCCCTGCAGTGAGTACCCCCCTCCCCTCCCCGAAAAAGGTCCCTGGGAGGCTAAACTCACACACCGAAGTCCATGTAAATAGAATGAAAAAAAAAAAAAAAAAAAGGCAAAATGTTTAAGCTCCTGGCCCGGCGGGCGTGGCTCAGGGGTCGCGAGTCAACCTAGGAACCAGGAGGTCACGGTTTGATTCCCGGTCAGGGCACAGGCCCCGGTTGTGTGCTCCATCCCCAGTAGGGGGCGTGCGGGAGGCAGCCGATCTGCGATTCTCTCTCCTCATGGATGTTTCTCTCTCTCTCTCTCTCTCTCTCTCTCTGAAATCAGCACAAACATATTTTAAGACGATTTAAACGGTCTTCCTTTCTTAAGGCATCATAAGGGGCGGGTTAACACGCAGGTCTCTCCATGGGCGCGCGACAAGGCCGGTCGGAAAGCAGGCTCCGCGTTAGGCCCGCCCGGGCAGACTTCTCATTCATTAAGGAACCGGCGGACGGCTTTCCGATTCAGAGTCATTCCAACCGTTTGGCAGCAGGAAGGGGCTTTAAAAATACTTTCCGCGCTGCACAGTGTCTTGGCCGGAGCCCTCTGACTTTTCCTAGAACGCCTCTCGAGGGGAACGGGGGAGGCTGGCCATCGGAGCGCAGCCTGCGGGGCGGACGGGAGGCCTCGGGAACGCTGTCCCCGGAGAGGACGCGGCAGGGGCACGAGCAGCACAGCCGGCCTCAGGGTGAGGGAGAGCCTGAAACCTCCTTCCCACGCCGACACCAAGTTCAAATGCGCCCCCTGGTGTGGAAGGCAGGCTGCACGTCTGTGTGTCCCTCCAGGGTGTGTCTGTGTATCCATCTACGATCTACCTATAATATGTATCTATGTCTCTATCTATATGTCTATGTATCTATCTATGTAGGTATGTATGTATCTATCGATATGTCTATGTATCCATCTACATATCTACCTATGCATCTATGTGTATGTCTATCTGTCTATATATCTATCTATGTGTGTATATATGTGTCTGTGTATCTATGTAGGTATGTATGTATCTATCGATATGTCTATGTATCCATCTACAGATCTACCTATGCATCTATGTGTATGTCTATCTGTCTATATATCTATCTATGCGTGTATATATGTGTCTGTGTATCTATGTAGGTATGTATGTATCTATGTATCTATCGATATATCTATGTATCCATCTACATATCTACCTATGCATCTATGTGTATGTCTATCTGTCTATATATCTATGTGTGTATATATGTGTCTGTGTATCTATGTAGGTATTTATGTATCTATCGATATGTCTATGTATCCATCTACATATCTACCTATGCATCTATGTGTATGTCTATCTGTCTATATATCTATCTATGCGTGTATATATGTGTCTGTGTATCTATGTAGGTATGTATGTATCTATGTATCTATCGATATATCTATGTATCCATCTACATATCTACCTATGCATCTATGTATATGTCTGTCTGTCTATATATCTATCTATGCATGTATATATGTGTCTATGTATCTATGTATATGCCTATGTATTTATCTATGTATGTACTTACATAACTATTGATATATACCCATTATCTCTGCATTTATGTATCTATCTATCCGTGTGTTTATGTATCAACCATGTATCCATGTACCTATGTATTTATACATCCACCTATGTATTTATCTTTGTATCTATCTATGTATCTTTCTGTGTATCTATTTACTTATCTATTTGTCTACCTCTATTCATCTGTCCAGCCATCTATATCTCCATGAGAATGCTCATAGGAAAGGGGACCTAAGAGCACTGTGGTATATTATTTTTTTAAAAGACGCCTACCCGTTATCGGCGACACATTTCCCGTGTTTCTGGCCACGCTGCTATCGAGGAGGGACTCAGAGGGCATGTGAGTTGATTTGGGGGCCGGCGAGGACCGTGCCGGGGGAAGCCGTGTCACAGACACGACGCGGGAAGAGGGACCGCGAGGAGGCACCCACCTGAGACCACTCAGACGCTTCCCAGATGGACAGGCAGTCCTGGCCCTCACAGCTCTGCGCGGCGGCGGGCCGGGCGCCCTGGCAGTACAGGGGCCGCGTGGTGACGTGCGAGCCGTTCTGCAGCTGGTGCACGCAGGTCACCTCCCGCCGCTGCGAGCCCTTCTCGCAGGTGGCTGAGCAGGGGCTCCAGGGGCCCGCTGCCCACCTGCGGGGGGAGAGGCGGTGAGGGGAGGCCCTGCCCGGACCGTGGGACCCGGGGCTGCGGGCCCAGGAGGAGGCAGAGCGGGGAGCTCTGCACGGACTCTGTCACCCGAGGACACTGTCCCATTGATTTTTAGAGAGAGTGGACGGCCTGTCCTTGGCAGGCGGGGTTCAGGGGCGAACGTGAGGCTGTCACTAAAGCTAGTCGTGGCCCGGCCGGCGTGGCTCCGTGGTGAACCAGGAGGGGATGGTTCGATTCCCGGGCAAGGCACACGCCCGGGGTGCAGGCTCGGCCCCCAGTAGGGAGCGTGCAGGAGGCAGCCGATCCATGATTCTCTCTCCTGGTGGATGTTCCTCTCTCTCTCTCCCTCTCCCTTCCTCTCTGACATCAGTAAAAATGTATTAAAAAGCAGTCCTGGGTGGGAGCAGGCAGAACTGCAAGCTGCCTGCTCGTAAAGCGGCGTGCCAAGCCTTGCAGGGCGGGCGGGCGGGCGGACGGGCTCGGGGCGCGGGCAGCCGGCTCCCTGGCTGGCCCTCTGGGAGCCCTGCATCTGCGCCTCCCAGGCCCCTCGGCCCGTCCCCCCACACACTTTCCCCCCCGAGAGGCTGAGCTGGCTCCCTCTGGTTCTGGGGAGCCCCCTGGGCACCTCTCCTTTCGGCAGGCAGAGCGCTGAGACAGGCTGAGCCGAGGCAGGCATGCAGGGCGGGCTGCAGGGCGGGCTGCTGGCCTGGCTTCACCTGCCCCGCTGTGTGGGCTGGGCCGCGGGGCGCCCGGCGGGGGGTGGGGGGGCCGCCTGCTGGTGCTCATTAAGCCCCTTGTTCTCCTTGAGGCCCGCCTGCTATCATCTAAGCACCCCCTTCCGGACCAGCCGAGGCCTTCGCCAGCCCCTCACAGAACAGCACCCCCAATCCGCCAACTTGGCTGCTGCTTCCTTTAAAAAAAAAATATTTTTATTGCCGAAACCAACCGGTTTGGCTCAGTGGGTAGAGCGTCGGCCTGAGGACTGAAGGGTCCTGGGTTCGATTCCGGCCAAAAGGGTATGTACCTTGGTTGTGGGCACATCCCCGGTAGGAGGTGTGCAGGAGTCAGCTGATCGGTGTTTCTCTCTCATCGATGTTTCTAACTCTCTATCCCTCTCTCTTCCTCCCTATAAAAAATCAATAATAATAATAACTATATATATATATATATATATATATATATATTTTATATATATTTATTGATTGATTGATGTCAGAGAGGAAGGGAGAGGGAGAGAGAAACATGGACCGGCTTGCCTCCTGCACGCCTCCCCTACTGGGGACGGAGCTCACAACCAGAGCATGTGCCCTGACTGGGAATCGAACCCAGGACCTCTTGGTCCCTGGGACAGTGCTCACCGGGGCGGCGGGCTATGAAGGACATTGCAGAGCTCAACTCCATCACGTGGGAGAGACCCTGCGCATTCGCACCGCAGGCTAAGGGAACCGCTGGGAGTTCCTATGAAACCCCACAACAGGACACACACCCCATAGAGCGTCCGTGCCCCTGTTCCCGTCCCGGAACGATGCAGGCATCCTGAGCACATGGTGTCGCAGCAGATGCTGGACAGATGCTCCTCCGGGAACAGCAGGAAACGGAAACGCAATAATTAGTGTCAATTAAGTCCCCAATCAATCACGGAGCAGGGGCCTTCGGCGGCTCAGCCCCGAGGGGCCTGCTGGGCCCGAGGCGGGGAGCCGGGTCCAAGCCTGTGCAGGCTCCGGCTGACTCACGGTCAGAGAAAACCGCACACGCGTCTTGGCACGAGAAGCGATAAGGAATCCCATGACCGCTAGCAATTGGAAATAATAATCTGTTAATCGTTTTAATAGCGAACGAGCTACAGAGACCACGTCCAGGAGCCCTCCGCGCGGAAGGGGAGGAGGTCCGTTTTGTTTCTGGCTTCCTTCGCTTAAAATATAGGTTATTGATTTTTGAGAGAGAGGAAGGGAGAGGGAGGGAGAGAGAGAAACATCGATGGGCTGCCTCCTGCACGCCCCCTATTGGGGATCGGCTGGAAACCCAGGAATGGAACCGTGCCCTCCTGGTTCACAGGTCGACGCTCAACCACTAAGTCATGCCGACGGGGCGAAAACGCTTACGTGTTTACAAATTCTTCTCTAAAGACTCGATACTTGAAGGACAGTGTTGCTAGATAGAAAACCCGTATAGTTACGGGCCTCGCTGTCACTCGTGGTGATAGACCATAAAACTCTTTTCATTTTAGAAAACAAAAGATCTGTTTTTATTGATTTCAGAGAGGAAGAGGCAGGTGAAGAGAGAGAAAGAGAGAGAGAGAGAGAGAGAGAGAGAGAGAGAGAGAGAGAGAGAAACATCAGTGATGAGAGAATCATGGACCGGCTGCCTCCTGCATGCCCGCTATTGGGGATGGAGCCTGCAACCCGGACATGTGCCCTGACCGGGAATCGAACCCTGACCTCCTGGTTCATGGGTCGACGCTCCACCACTGAGCCACCCAGGCCGACGATTGTCCATGTCCGTCCCAGTCCGGCTCAGCAGCCAGAGACCAGTGCTTCCAGCGCTCACAGACCCCTCAGCGGCCAGGGGAGGCGGCCCGGGGCGGCCTGGACCGCTGTCTCCCTCCGCCCCGCCCCGCCCCACCCCGGAGGCTCGGCCCCGCAGACCCCGGCTCCTTACCGCGCCTGGCATGGGTGTGAGTTGCACCTGCGGACCTGGGGCTCGGGGCGGCTGGCCGGGGGGCAGTCGCTGTCATTCACCAGCGCCGTGGTCTTGTTCACGATGCGCGTGCAGGACACGACGGTCCTGCGTTCCCCTGGAAACCGGCACAGGGAGCCGATCGGCCACGGCTGCCGCCCGGGAGGGGGGGGAGGGGGACCCACTGCGGAGGGGCCTCCGGGGCAGCCTCTGATCAGAGGGTCCTTGAACCAACTATGTCAGGGCTGGACTGGAACCTCAGCCAGGAGGGTGTGCAAGACGTGGGCAGGGCAGTGTGGGGCAGGAGGAACGTTCTGGACTAGGACCAGAAAGAGGCAGCCGCTGGCTGGCCGGCGTGGCTCCCTGGTTGAGCTGTGGACCTAGGAACCAGGAGGTCACGGGTTGATTCCGGGACAGGGCACATGCCCGGGTTATGAGCTCAATCCCCAGTAGGGGGCGTGCAGGGGGGCAGGGCATCCATGCTCCTCTCTCTCATCTTTCTTTCTTTCTTTCTTTCTTTCTTTCTTTTTAAAAAAATATATTTTATTGATTTTGTACAGAGAGGAAGGGAGAGAGATAAGAGAGTTAGAAACATCGATGAGAGAGTGTCATCGATCAGCTGCCTCTTGCACACCTCCTACTGGGGATGTGCCCCGCAACTAAGGTACATGCCCTTGACCGGAATCGAACCCGGGACCTTTCAGTCCCCAAGCCGACGTTCTATCCACGGAGCCAAACTGGTTTCGGCTCATCGATGTTTCTCTCTCTCTCTCCCTTCCTCTCTGAAAGGAACAAACACTGGCGAGGTGCACCCGGCCTGTCCCCCTCCGTGCCCCGACCACAGAGGGCCCGGCACCCACGTCTCCTTCCTTTAACGGAGCCCGCACCCATGGGCCCGGGCGCGCGCTCACCTCCGCCGCACTGCGCGCTGCACCCCTCCCAGCCGCTGTGCGTCCACAGGAACAGCGAGTCCCGGGGCCTCTCGGGCTCGCTCTGGCTCTCGGCCGTGGCGTTCACGGGGATGGTGTACTCGTAGTGGATCCCGTAGTGCTGGTCGTGGAACAGCAGCACCTGCACGGGCGGGCGGGCGGGCGGAGAGCCTCGCTCTGGGGCCTCCCACCCGGTGGGCACAGGGGCTTTCAAACAGGTTCGACCTGCCCGGCCGGTGCGGCTCAGTGGCTGAGTGTCGTCAACCCAAGGACCAGGAGGTCAGGGTGCATGCACGTCCGTGTTGCGGCTCCATCCCCAGGAGGTGGAGTGCAGGCGGCAGCCGATGCATGATTCTCTCTCCTCACTGATGTTTCTCTCCCTCTCCCTCTCCCTTGCTCTCTCTCTCTCTCTAAAAATCAAACAAACATATATATATATATATTTATTCAAATTAGCGTTGCAAAACAAGGCCTCATGTAGGACTTTCAAGTGGCCCGGCTGAGGGAGAGGGGGGGCGTCCCCAGGGTAGGCCTAAAACCAGCGGGTCCCCCCAGGTCGAAGCCCCTAGCAGGTTCCCGTCCGGGCCGGCAGGCGCAGGAGAGGGGCCGGCGGGCGCGGGAGGCAGACGGTGCAGGCCAGGCGGCAAATGCCTGAGCCGGGGCCTCCCCCCTCCCCCCTGAGTCTCCCCCTCCCTCCTCCTCCGGGGGGCCCCGGTGCGCCGTGGGTGGGTGGGGGTGGGGCGCCTCGGCAGCTAAAACATCTCCCTCTCCAAGAAGCAGGCCTGCAGGAAGGCGGTTGGAAACCTGCCTCCGGTGGAAAAGAGAGTTAAAAAAAAAAAAAAAAAAAAGCCTCTTTAAAAGAGATCTTTATTATCTCAGTCTGGGAACACAAGGCTGGTGAATGGGGGGAGCCATCTGAAACCAATTTCGGGCAGTTCCGCAGCCACAGAGAATGTGTGTGCGTGTGCACAGTCGGTTTCCCAGGCGGGGCCCCGTGGCTCCCCCGTGCCTGCGTCCCGGTTTGGGGTACGATGGCTTCTACGGACAGCCGGAAGGGCACCCCTCGTTTCTAGATTTGCAAACTGGAAGGAACCGTCATCGTTGGAGAGAGAGAGAGAGAAGCAGTGCGTGGTAACGGGGCTGGGCCTGGGGCTGGGGCGGCGGTGGCTGGCTCTCTCTCTGAGCTCTGTTTCTCCTCCTGAGCCCGCGGGCGATGCCCTGGGGCCGTGGGCGCTTCGAGAAGAGACGGGAAATAAACCCGTCCTGGCGCCTGCTCCAGAGAGCAAGTGCCTGGGCGACAGGGGACGTGACAGTGAGGGTCTTATTGCTGGCTTCCTCTCAGGCCCTCTGCATGACTGCTTTTATTGTATTATTATTATTACCATCATCATGATTTCTCATCCTCACCCGAGAACCGCTTTTTCCAGTGATTTCTAGAGAGAGCGGAAGGGAGGGAGGAGGAAGGAGGGGGAGAGCGAGCGAAACATCGACCTGAGAGAGGCACATCGATGGGCTAGGACACCTGCGATTCAGGTTACCGTACGTGCCCTTGACCGGGAATGGAACCTGCGACCCTTGGGTCTGCAGGTGGATGTTCTAACCACTGGCCAAACCAGCCAGGGCTGCTTTTATTTCATTTCTTTCTTTTTTTTTTTTTTTTTTTTACATTTTTTATTGCATTCAGGGCTCACAACAGGCTGTCCCGGGAGTGATATTTTGATATTCTTAAAAAGGATGCATCAGTCTGGTTGGTTTGCCTCAGTGGATAGAGCGTTGGGCACAGACTGAAGGGTTGCAGGTTTGGCTCGGGATCAAGGGCCTGTACCTCAGTGGCAGGCTCCAGGCCCGGCCCTGGTTGGGGCATGTGCGAGAGGGAACCAATCAAAGTGCCTCTCTCACATCGATGTCTCTCTTTCTCTCTCTCTCTCTCTGTCTCTGTCTTTCTGTCTCTGTCTCTCTCTCTCTCCGACCCTTCCACTCTCTCCAAAGAGATCAATGGAAAAAATCCGCAGGTGAGGACTCACCTAGATAAACAATAAAAAGGACGCATCAGCAGGTGGTCTGGGGGCTGGGCTCGACAGGTAAGACGGGACCCCACAGGTTTCTGAGGCCACCCGGGGAGTCGGCATTCCCGTAGAACCTGCCACCCTCTCCTCCCCGTTCCCAGATGCCTGCTGCAAGCCGAGCTTGGAAAATCTGAGCGCTGTTGGTTTGGAAGGAAGCGGAGTCAACAGCCCCTTTCCAGAAGGTAATTTCCAGCGCGGAGACACACGCCGCGGGGCGGACCCGTGCCATCTGATATAAAAACGCAGACTGCACGCGGGCTGGCTGCTGGCGGGGCCCTTCCGTTTGAGAAGAGGCCGGAGCCCTGCCAGCGGGGAGCCGGGCGGCGTCCGGGGCCGGGAGAAACCTGCAGCACGCCCAGGGGGATGTGGCTCCGAGGCTGAGCGCCGACCTAGGAGCCGGGAGGCCACTGTTTGGGCACACGTCAGGGCACACGCCCGTGTTGTGGGCTCCATCTCCAGCAGGGGGCGTGCAGGAGGCAGCCGATCCCTGATTCTCTCCCCTCATTGATGTGTTCTCTCTGCCCCCCTTTTCTCTCTCTCTCTCTCTCTCTCTCTCTCTCTTAATATATTTTATTGAATTTTTACAGAAAGGAAGAGAGAGGGATAGAGAGTCAGAAACATCGATGAGATAGAAACATCGATCAGCTGCCTCTTGCATACCCCCTACTGGGGATGTGCCCGCAACCAAGGTACATGCCCATGACCAGAATCGAACCCGGGACCCTTCAGTCCGCAGGCCGACGCTCTATCCACTGAGCCACACCGGTTTCAGCTCTCTTCCTTTCGGAAATCAATAAAAATATATATATATATATTTACAAAGGAAAGAGGAGATCCAGAGGGAGCCCTGAGCTGTGGGGGGCCGGGTAAGCCACCAGGGGCCACCCGAACCCCGGGAGGCAGTACCCGGGGAGAGCGCCCTCACCGAGCCTCACCATCACATGCAGCGGGATCTGGGTCGGGCCCTTGGCCGAGATCTTCTCCCACAGGCCTCTGCGCACGTAGCGGACGGTGGTGCCCGCGATCTGGAACTCCCCGGGCAGCTCGATCTTCCAGTCGCTGTTGATGGACCGGCGGCTGGAGTCCTTGAGGGCTGGGGAGAGAGCGGGCGGTGTGGGGCAGCAGGCCCGTGCGGAGCAGCCCTGCGGCCCAGCCGCCCCTCTCCTGGGCACAGACCCCCCAAAAAAACCCAAAACTAAAAAAAAACAAACAACCCCACCACAATAAAAACATTAAAAGAAAAGAAAAAAAATAAAGAGCACAGGGAATTCTGGAGGGACCTGGTCTGTCTGGTGATTTTATGTCCGGGGGGTGGGGGGGTTGGGGGGGGGAATCTGATTGGCCGGGAAGAACAATTTCATTTTTGGGCTCCGCCGGGGTCAGGGGTCAGGCATGTTATTTTTTATTTGTTTTTTTTAAATATATTTTTTATTGATTTCAGAGAGGAAGGGAGAGGTCGAGGGAGAGATTGAAGCATCCATGATGAGAATCATGGATCGGCTGCCTTCTGCACGCCCCCTATTGGGGACTGAGCCCACAACCCGGGGCCTATGCCCTGGACCGGGAATCGAACCCGGGACCCTTCAGTCCCCAGGCCTAGCCACTGAGCAAATGAGATGGGCCGGTCGCACGTTCTGAATCGCTGTCTGAAACACACACAGCAGGGCCTGCCTTTGTGTCTTTTGCTGAGGAGCCGTTCGGAGCCACAAGGAGCCGCTTAACGGGAGAGGAACTCCCCCACCAGGGAGATGGGTCCCTGCCCTCCTCAGCCCCAGGGCCGGACACACAGAGCCTCATCCGGGGCCAGGAACCTGCGATCACGTGATGTGTGTCTGCAGATAGTTGCACGTGGACACGGGCTCTGGGGGGAGAGACTGTGAGCCGTGCTGGGGAGCGTGGACGGGGCACCCCTGGCCGTATAGGAGGCAGGGCAGGGCTCCTCGTTAGCTGGCTGCAGGCCCACGCCGGGGTCTGACCCCGTCCCCAGGCGTGGGGCTGCGCGGGAGTGGCTCCCTGCCTCTGTCTCTCCTGGATTGCACTGGAAGGCCTGACCCGCAGTCAACCCACTTCTAGCCCTGGCGCCGCGTCAGCGCCTTTTATTTCCACCCGGAGGCCCGCGGACGCGAGCGGCAGAGGCATTTCCTGTTCCAGGTGGTTTCGAGCCGAGGGCCAGGCCGTGGGCCGGAGGGAGGGAGGGAGGGAGGCGGGTGGAATTCCTCGGGAATCGCTCCCGGGCAGCTCGGAGCTCCATGGGCTCGGCTTCCAGGGCGCCCGGCCCGGGGCCAGCACGGCCGGTTTGAATGGAACCTTAGGAACGTAAGGAGCGTGCACCGTCTCCGGGCCTGCCCCGGTGCCTACCCCGGGCCCTGGGATCCTGGGGTCTGCCTGGCAGAGGAGATAAGGGCACCGAGGCAGGCCAGGCCGGCGCGGCTCAGTGGCTGGGCGTCGACCTAGGAACCAGGAGGTCACGGTTCGATTCCCGGTTTGGGCACGTGCCCGGGGTGTGGGCTCCATCCCGTGTGGGGGGTGCAGGAGGCAGCCGATCCATGAATCTCTCTCCTCATTGATGCTTCTCTCTCCCTCTCCCTTCCTCTCTGACATCAATAATATATATATATACACACACACACACACACACACACACACACACACATATGTATATATATATATATATATTTAAAGTCCATTTCAGGTGGGAATTAGAAATTAGATCTAATGGACCCTGACAGCCTTCTGCCCTTCCCACATTTCCACGGAAAAGCAGAGATAATGCTCCCAATTCTGCTCGCTACCCGGGTCCCGGGTCAGGTGAGCGATGGTGACAGGAAGTCTCGGCAGCCAGAACGTGACACCTAACGTAGGCGTTTACCGCCAGCGGCCTCGACCGGGGGTCGGCAAACTCATTCGTCCACAGAGCCAAATACCGACAGGACAACCATGGAAACTTCTTTGGAGAGCCACATGTTTTAAACGTAATAAGCTTCTTCCAACGCCACTTCTTCAACACAGACCCGCCCAGGCCGTGGTAGTTTGTGGAAGAGCCACGCGCCAAGGGGCCGGAGAGCCGCAGTTTGCCGACCGCGGGGCTGGGAGCGTGCCGCTGACCCCGCTGCCCGGCTGGCCCGCCACCTCCGCCCTCCGGACAGGCCCCTGGTTACCTAAGAAGCTGTGGGCCGGCTTGTCCTCCACCACACGGATCCGCCGAGCGCCCGCGGGGATGATGGCGGCCTCGATGTAGCCTGCGGGGACGGACCACAGGGCTGAGCCACCCCACCCACCTCCCACCAGAGTCCCCTCCCCCCCCCCCCCCCAATGATCCTCTGTCTTCACTGATGTTTCTCTCCCCACCCCTCCCCTCTCCTTTCCGCTCTCTGAAATCAATAAAAACATATTTTGGGCCGAAACCGGTTTGGCTCAATGGATAGAGCGTCGGCTTGGGGACTCAAAGGTCCCGCCGGGTTCGATTCCGGTCAAGGGCATGTACCTTGGTGGCGGGCACATCCCCAGTAGGGGGTGTGCAAGAGGCAGCTGATCGGTGACTCTCTCTCGTCGATGTTTCTAGCTCTCTATCTCTCGCCCTTCCTCTCTGTACAAAATCAATAAAATATATTTTTAAAAAATTAAAAAAACAAACAAAAAAAACCATATTTTGGTGGGGGGGAAAAATAAATGGAAAAAATGAACAACAAAAACCTTTGACGCGGCTCAGTGGCCGGTGGCTATGAGACTAGACGGAGCCGCCCGGCTCCCCTCCGTCTCCCCCGCCCCCGGAGCCAGGGGGGGGCGGGCAGCCGCGGATTCTCCCACAAGCCCCCGGGCTCACCTGTGCCCCGCGCGTGGCTGAAGTCGCCCTTGACCACGCGGCAGGTCTTGCCGTCGCCGCTGCACACGCCACACCGGTCCTCCTTGGCCGCTGAGCCGATGATGCCGTCACAGCCGATTTTCTGGGGGCCGGAGAGCGGCGTGAGCCGGGGCCCCCCCCGCCTCAGGGAGGCAGGCCCGGCACCCCCCGAGGCCCCGGCAAATGGCTGACGTATTTTAAAAATCGGAAGAGCAAAGCGTGAATGGGGTCCCGCTTGCGTTAGGCTCGGCCTTGCACCGGCCTCGTGGCCAAACGCGTCCTTTAGTGTTTGCCGGGGGAAAGGGGGCCCGGGAAGGCGGCGGCGCCCCAGCCCGGCCGGTGTGGAGCAGTGGGTTGTGCTTCTGGCTGGGAAAGGCGAGCACGCGCTTTCTGTAATGAAACAGAAAGCCTTCTTGCAATGACAGCGCGCTCTCTCTCTCTCTCCCATGGGAGGGATGCCACCGACTCCTTATTCCATTGGGGACGGGCTTCCTGGCCAGTGACACCAGCCCTCCACTGGGCTCCCGGTTAGGCCTACCAATTCGCAGCCCTCGCCTATTTTTATTTTATTTTATATATAATGTATATTTTTACTGATGTCAGAGAGGAAGGGAGAGGGAGAGGGAGAGAGAAACATCAATGATGAGAGAGAATCACGGATCGGCTGCCTCCTGAATGCCCCCCTACTGGGGACCAAGCTTGCAACCGGGCCTGTGCCCCGACCGGGATTCGAACCGTGACCTCCTGGTTCCTGAGTGGATGCTCAACCGCGGAGCCGCGCCGGCTGGCCGGGCTGGCCTCTCCCTTCTCGGCTCTGCCCTTGTTTGGTTAGAGGGCGGCCATTTCCGAGCGCGGTGTTTGCCTGGAAGAGAACATGGCCGCGGTGGTCTCCTGTATCTCGCTCTGGTTGCTGACTTGGCAGCAGAATTCTAGAAATTCGGCCGGAGTCTATAATTATCTCCGCGGCTCCTGCCAGGGCGCGTTCTCCCGTGTGTGTGTTTTTCTTGGTCTTTCTGGGGCCGGCGGCTGGTTTCCTTCAAACAGCAGGTCATCGCAGGGTGACCGGTCCCGTGTGAGCAGGGGGCGCACGGGGGGCTATTCTTGAGGGTGGGGGTGCTGCACACGGGGGGGGGTTTCCACGTGGGTGGGTTTGGGGACTATGTTCCAGGGGGTGGGGGCAGGTTCCCGGAAGCCAGGCGGCTGCGCCCCTTGGGGTGTCACTGGCAAAGGCATCTGATTCGTCTGTATCGTCTGTCCGGAACCAGAGCGGAGCTTGTCCAAAAACATATGCTCCCCCGCGCCCCCCAGCCTCGTCTTGGTGGTTGAGCAGTGGTCCACCCGTGAGTGAGCCAGGAGGTCAGGGTTCGATTCCCGGTCAGGGCACACGCCCGGGTGGCGGGCTCCATGCCCAGTGCGGGGCGTGCAGGAGGCGGCCGGTCCATCGATCGATGTTTCTCTCTCATTGATGTTTCCCTCTCTCTCTCTCTCTCTAAAATAAATTTAAAATGTATATATTTTTAATCCTCACCCAAGGATATTTTCTCATTGATTTTAGAGGGAGAACCAGAGAGAAATATCCATGTGTGAGAGAGAAACACACCAATTGTTTGCCTCCTGCATGCACCCCGACCAGGGCCCGGGCGGGGAGGAACCTGCAACCGATGTACGTGCCCTTGAGCGGGATCGAACCCGGGACCCTGCGGTCCGCAGGCCGACGCTCCATCCACTGAGCCACACCGGCCAGGGCAATAAAAAAAAAATATATATATTTTAAAGAAAACCCACTCCCCCGGGGCTCCCGGGCCCCGCCCCTGCCGAGCCCCCGAGGAGAGGGGGCCGCCTCCCGGCAGCCCCGCCGAGGACAGACGGCCGGCCGGCCGGCCGGAGGGCGCACGTCACCTGGCACCTGCCGTGCACGCAGAGGTCGGTCTCGTAGGGCCCGCAGGGCGTGCCGTCCAGGACCCTGTCGGCCACCAGCAGCGGGGACTCCTTCCCCAGGGGCGAGCAGTACAGCTCACACGGCTTGTCTGGGGAGGGAAAGCGGTGAACGGCGGCGTGAGGAGGGCCAAGCAGGGCGCGGGACGGCTCTGCAAAGGAGCCTCGATGGCCCATGAGGCCTGTGTGCGCGCTCCGTGAGTGTCTCCCTAGGGGTCCTCGGGGGGAGGTGGGGGGTAGGAAGCCAGGAAGCGGGTGGCGCGGAAAGCCCTGTGGGGCCTGCAGGGCCTCAGAGGCCCGGACACGGAGCTGGAGGGCTCCTGCTAGGGGATCCGCTCTCCCCCAGCGCCCGGGCCTGCCACGGAAGGGCCACGGGCGCGCTGCTCTCCGTGGCTGGGCCCCGTGGCACCCTGAGCCACGCCGTCGGTGGGAAGGCGTGCCTTAGAAGGCTAAGGTTAAAAGGTTATAAGTGTCCTAAGGTTATAAGGAAGCATCCCCCAGCTAAAGCAGTTTCGAAACAGTGAATTAAAAAAAAAATTTTTTTCCCCCCTTAATTTTTACTGATTTCAGAGCGGAAGGGAGAGGGGGAGAGAGAGAGAGAGAGAGAGAGAAACATTCATGAAGGGAGAGACTCATGGACCGGCTGCCTCCGGCACGCCCCACACTGGGGATCGAGCCTGCAACCTGGGCCTGTGCCCTTGACCGGGAATCGAACCGTGACCTCCTGGTTCCTAGGTGGATGCTCGGCCACTGAGCCACACCAGCCGGGCGGGCACCACCTTCGCTCTGCTTTGTTAAGCGGCTCCAGCTGGCCTGAGCCCGGTCGCGGGGGGGGGGCTGCGGCAGGAGGGGTCGGGCTGTGCCGGGAGGGGGCTGGGATGTGCCGCCCGGCCTCTGCCGAGCCCTCGGACGCGCGGGCGGCTCCACGGGGACGGCGGGGGCGGGCGGGCTGGCCCCGGGCCACGGCCACCGGTCCTGTCGGAGGCTCTTCCACGGGGCAGTCGCTCTAAGGAGTGTCTCTGAGGCCTGTGGGAGGCGGCCGGGGTCTGCGGGCCCGAGTCCTGCCTTGGAAAATCTACCTCGGCAAGAATGTCCTTGTTTTCTTTCTTTCTCCTTCTTTGGAGAAGAGAAAATAGGAAAAAATACAGCGTCTCCCTCCCTGAACGGCCCTGGCCAAAGCATTCCGCAGGGAGAGCAGGAACAGGGCAGTCGCTGTGGCTCCCAGAGGGCAGGCGGCCCCTGCCGAGCCCTGAGCTCCAGTCTCCCCGTCAAAGGCGGAAAAGCTGACTGTACCCCGACTTCCTCGTCCCAGACCGTGGCCTCCTCAGCGCCCGGCCGCCGGCGTGGCTCCGTGGTGGAGCGTCCACCTAGGAACCAGGAGGTCACGGTTCGATTCCGGGTCAGGTTCACAGGCCCGGGTTGCGGGCTCCGTCCCCAGTAAGGGGGTTGTGCAGGAGGCAGCCGATCCATGATTCCCTCTCCTCACCGATGCTTCTCTCTCACTCTCCCTTCTCCTTCCCTTTCTGAAATCAATAAAAGTAAAACATTTTACAAAAAGAGTAAAAAACCAACTCAAAATGATCCTGGAAATTGCCAAGGGAGCACCCACACTGGACAGGGAGGCAGCAGACGGCCCTGCCCGGCCCCGCACAGCCTCCTGCCCCACACAGTTGGCCCCGGGCACCTAGAAGCAGACAGCAGACTGCTGGAACCCCCCTCCTGCTCTCCCCCCCCCCCACCCCCGCGCCCTGATTGCTGCAAACGGGGTGCGGGAGGCATCTGGGCTGCAGCCTGCCTTGCAGGTGCTCCTGGGAAATGGCACAGGCCTCTAAGGCCAACGCCAGGCTCTGCCCGGGGGTCCCTCCGAGGCTGACAGGGCGGGGGACTGGGGTGGGGGTGCCCCCAACCCTCCCGCCCGGGTCCTCCCAGGAGGTGCCCGGCTCCCCCCGGGGGAAGGATGGGAGGGACAGGACACGCCCGCTCCTTACCGTCCACCACCACAGCGGCCAGCAGCCCCTTCTGCTTGCTGCTCAGCCGGTCGTGCGTCTGGCACTGCTGGTCCCGGAAGCTGGGCAGCCCCTTGGGGCAGGGCGGGCCCTCGCACGCGGCGTGCTCCACGCTGGCGCCCCAGCAGTGCGCGCCTCCGGGCCCGGGGCTGCGGGGAGAGAGCGGCCACCGGGGTCAGCCAGCCCAGGCAAGGCCTCCCCTCCCGCCTCGGTGTCAGGAGCCCTGAGGCCGTCCGCCAGGGTCATCCGGACGGACGCAATGTGGTGAGAAGGGGTTAGCGAGACCCACCCACTGTGTCTCTCATCCGAACGTAAAGCTTAGCCAACGGGCCCGAGGGCATGGCTCAGGGGTTGAGCACTGACCTAGGAACCAGGAGGTCACGGTTCGATTCCCGGTCAAGGACACAGGCCCGGGTTGAGGGCTCGATCCCCAGGAGGGGGCGTGCAGGAGGCAGGCGATGGATGATGCTCTCATCATGGATGTTTCTCTCTCCCTCCCTCTCCCTTCCCCTCCCCCCAAAATATATATATATATATTTTATTGATTTTTTACAGAGAGGAAGAGAGAGAGAGAGCTAGAAACATCGATGAGAGAGAAACACCGACCAGCTGCCTCCTGCACACCCCACACTGGGAATGTGCCCGCAACCAAGGTACATGGCCTTGACCGGAATCGAACCTGGGACCTTTCAGTCCGCAGACCAAGACTCTATCACTGAGCCAAACCATATATAAAAAATAAAAACAAAAACCATCCACGTGGACAGCAGGTCGCTGCCGAGGGGCAAGGGCACATACGGGGTTTCCCTGTGGGAGCAGAGGCCGGGGCAGGGGCCTCGGCCGGCCTGCAGGCGGCTTCCCCTCCGGATGCTTCTGGGACCCGCCGTCTTCCGGTTCCTCCTGCTCCCACGCCCCTCGGCCTCGGGCTCCCCAGAGCTGGCTCTCCCGCAAACAGCGATGCCCTCCGGTGCCCGGGGCACCGGCCTGCGGACTGCGGGGGGCGGCCTTTCCGCCCTGCAGCCTCTCGGCGGAAACCCGCACCGGGAGGGACACACGTACCGAGGAGGCTGGGCCCAGGACACGGATGACCCGGGCCTGGCTGTCCGCAGGCAGGAGGCGCGCGTTCCAACGGCCGGGAAGACCGCGGCGGAGAGCAAAGGGGGCGAAGGGAGGGCTCTCTGGCCGGTGTGCTTGGACAGTGAGTGAACCAGCTGTGGGAGCCGGGAGAGGGGCCAGGCCTGCAGGGCAGGGGGACGGGCGGGGGCGGGGGCGGGGGCAGAGGGGCCGGAGCCAGAGCGGAGGGGGTGCTGCTGGGTCAGTTTGGCTCCGGCCGCCATCAGCTGTGTCCTGTAACTGGCACCACGTCAGAGCCTCCTGCAGAGGCAGCTGAGCGGCCTGGCCCCCTCACAGCTCCCCGGAGGCGGCCCTGCAGCCGGAACAGCCCCCCCCGCCCCCCCGCCGGCCCCTTCGCTCCCCCTTCACCTGGGGAGGGTCCCTGAGGGCGAGGAGAAGACAGCCATTGCCCGTTAGAACAGGAAGTCTGCTGTTTTTAAATATGTAGATTTGTACTGAATCAGAGAGGAAGGGAGAGGGAGAGAGAGAGAGAAACAGCTATGAGGAGAGAGAATCATGGGTCAGCTGCCTCCTGCACACCCCACACTGGGGGTGGAGCCCACAACCCAGGCCCGTGCCCTGGCCGGGAATCGAACCGTGACCTCCTGGCTCCTAGGTCGACGCTCAACCACTGGGCCACCCGGGCCGGGCAGGAAGCTCAGACAGAGCACCGAGGTGTCACTAGCACCAGATTGCTGGGCTCCCTCGGGGTAAACCCGATGGGGCAGGGCTTAGAGCTGGTCCTGAGAGGCCACGGAGCAGCCTGTCCGTGGGCCGCAGTCTCACGGGTTGGGAGGGGGCACCGGCCGCTCCCTGGCTGCCCTTGGCGTTCGGGTGGCCTTGGGGAAGCAGGGTCCCAGGCCGCCTGACACACACACACACACACACGCACTCACACACTCACACACCCGGCACGGCCTGTGCAGTGAGCTCCGCGCGTCAGGGAACACCGCGGCGGGAGTGTCCGGAGGGCGCCGGAAGCGCAGAGGGTCCCTGCCTCTCGGTGAGCCGGCGCCCGGGTGGGCGAGGGGCACGGATGTTGGGGGCTGCACTGAGTGGTGCCCAGCAGGGGCGGGTCTGCCATCTCTCCATCATCCACCATCTATCCATCTGCCTGCTACGGTAGTATCAATGTCCTATCACCTATCTGCTATCCATCTATCTATAATCTATCACCCGTACTCTATCATCTATCTTCTATTTATCTATAGCTATCCATCTATCATACATCTATCTACCTATATTCTCACCTATCTATCTACCTATATTCTATCACCTGTTATCTACCTATCACCTATCTATTATCTATCATCTATTCATTATCATCTATCTTCTATTTATCTATCAAACTACCCATCTATCATATACCTATCATGTATCTATTATCTATCGTCTACCTGTATAGCTATATTCTATCGTCCTACTAATTATCATCTATTTTATCCATCTATCTTCTATCACCCACCTGTTATCTATCCACCTATCATATATCTATCATGTATCTATCTATTATCCATCATCTACCTATATAGCTATATTCTATCGTCTTCCTAATCATCATCTATTTTATCCATCTATCTTCTATCACTCATCTGTCATCTATCCACCTATCATATATCTATCATGTATCTATTATCTATTGTCTACCTATATAGCTATACTCTATCGTCTTCCTAATTATCATCTATTTTATCCATCTATCTTCTATCACCCATCTGTTATCTATCCATCTATCATATATCTATCTATCTATCTATCTATCTATCTATCTATCTATCTCCTATTGGCTCTCTTTCTCTGGGGAACCTCAATGCACCATCAGCGCTCTTAATGGAACTGTCATTCCTGGAGCACTGAGCGGCGGCTGGGAGCCAGGCTCTGCTGGGGGCCGGAGGAGCGGTATAACGGGACCCACTCTGCAGCACCGATCCCCTTAGCGCCCCCGGGAGGGAGCGGTGCTCCTGGCACAGCCTCCCTGTGACCCAGCCCTCCCCGCCGGCCTCGGCCCCCCGCCCCCGGAGCGTGTGAGGCATGGCTGGGCTCCTGCCAGGGGCCAGGGCGGCAGGGCTTGCCCACGGGGGCTGCTAATTATTCACCAACATGACTTAATGGTGGATGGAGAGCCTTTCGGGTGAGTCATCCTTTACAGGGCGCTCCTTACGGCGCTAATGGGAGGCAGCTGAGGGCCCAGGGGACCGAGAGCGGAGAGCCGGCCGTTCTGAGAAAGAGTGAAGGGGGGGGGTTCAAGGGAGGAGCAAGACCCACGTGGGAGGGGAGCGTGATCCGGCGCACACCTCGCCCCTCGCATTCCGAACTGACAGGCAGAGACCCCCCGCCCCGTCCCCCATCAAAGACAGCCGGTCGCAGTTGCAGGAGGGCGGCTTCAGATAGCTCAGTGGTCAGCAAACCCATGAGTCCACGGAGCCAAATACCAACAGGACAACGATCGAAATTGCTTTGGAGAGCCACATTTTTTTAGACGTAAACTCCTCCGAACGCCACTTCTTCCACACAGACTCACCCAGGCCGTGGTGTTCTGTGGAAGAGCCACACGCAAGGGGCCAGAGGACCGCCTGTGGCTCGCGAGCCGCAGTGTGCCCAGCACTGAGGGAGCAGGTGGGCTCCTCGGCCGCCCGACGCTCCCCTGTCGCCTTGGCCCGCAGCTCCCGTGGCAGCCGGCAGCCCGAGCCGGGCCCCCCGCCCGGCCTCCCCCGGAATGACCTCCGCGGAGGAGCCAGGCGCGCCGCCAGGGGCCTTTTTAAAAATCTTTCCCGTCTATTGGTTTTGTTGTTGATGCTGCTCAACCACCCCCTCCACCCCCCACCCCCACCCCCACCCCGGGATATTTCCTGGGCTGATTTTGAGAGAGCGTGGAAGGGAGAGGGAGAGACAGAGAGAAACACCGATTGGAGAGAGAGAGCCTCGCGGATGGGCTGCCTCCCGCACGCACCCGACTGGGGCAGAGGATGGAGCCTGAAATCGAGGTGTGTGCCCTTGACCGGAGTCCAACCCGCGACCTTTGGGTCTGCAGGCCAACACTTTATCCACTGAGCCACACCGGCCAGAGACGATTGATTTGAGAGAGAGAGAGAGAGAGAGAGAGAGAGAGAGAGAGAGAGAGAGAGAGAGAGAGAGAGAGGGGAGAGAGGGAAGGGAGAGGGAGAGAGGCAAACATCAGGGATGAGAGAAAATCATGGATCCGCTGCCTCCTACTGGGATGGAAGCCCACAACCCCAGCGTGTGCCCTGGCCGGGAATGGAACCGAGACTGGGAATGGCTCCTAGGTGGACGCTAACCACTGGACAACACTGGCTCTGGTGTAGTTCCTGGTGTAGTTTTCCGCTTCCTTGCACCCCCTCCTTGTGAGACAAACCCTGTGAGGGGCAGGGGGGCCCTGTGAGGGGCAGGGAGACCCTGTGAGGGGCAGGGAGACGCTCTGAGGGGCAGGGGGGCCCTGTGAGGGGCAGGGGGGCCCTGTGAGGGGAAAGGAGACACTGTGAGGGGCAGGGGGGCCCTGTGAGGGGCAGGGAGACCCTGTGAGGGGCAGGGAGACCCTGTGAGGGGCAGGGGGGCCCTGTGAGGGGCAGGGGGGCCCTGTGAGGGGCAGGGAGACGCTCTGAGGGGCAGGGAGACGCTGTGAGGGGCAGGGGGGCCCTGTGAGGGGCAGGGAGACGCTGTGAGGGGCAGGGAGACGCTGTGAGGGGCAGGGGGACGCTGTGAGGGGCAGGGGGGCCCTGTGAGGGGCAGGGAGGCCCTGTGAGGGGCAGGGGGGCCCTGTGAGGGACAGGGGGGCCCTGTGAGGGGCAGGGAGACACTGTGAGGGACAGGGAGGCCCTGTGAGGGGCAGGGAGACGCTGTGAGGGTCAGGGAGATGCTGTGAGGGGCAGGGAGGCCCTGTGAGGGGCAGGGAGACGCTGTGAGGGTCAGGGAGATGCTGTGAGGGGCAGGGAGGCCCTGTGAGGGGCAGGGGGGCCCTGTGAGGGGCAGGGAGACGCTGTGAGGGGCAGGGGGGCCCTGTGAGGGGCAGGGGGCCCTGTGAGGGGCAGGGAGATGCTGTGAGGGGCAGGGGGGCCCTGTGAGGGGCAGGGAGACGCTCTGAGGGGCAGGGGGGCCCTGTGAGGGGCAGGGGGCCCTGTGAGGGGCAGGGGGACCCTGTGAGGGGCAGGGGGACCCTGTGAGGGGCAGGGGGACCCTGTGAGGGGCAGGCCGGGCGGCGCGGCCGGGGCGGGGGCACTCACGGGGGGTTGTCGCACTTCCGCTGCCGGAAGCGGGCTCCGGTCCCGCAGGTGCGGCTGCACATGCTCCAGGCGCCCCAGGGGCTCCAGTCGCCGTCCACGTGCTCGGGGATGGGCGTCTTGCTCACGCACTCGCCCGCGCGGCACCACTGCGACACAGCGGCCCCCGCGTGACCTGGGTGCCTCCCCCGTCCCACCCGCTGTCTCCCCGAGGTCCCGGCCGTCTGGGCCCAGGGGACTGACTCCCCAGGGGGGAGGAGACGCGCCCCACGCCCCGGGGGCCGGCGGGAGGCGGTTACCTTGTCGGCCCCGCACTCGGTGCCGTCCAGGGGCGGGTCCAGCTTGGTCTTGCAGGACGCGTCTCCTTCCACCAGGCACCACAGCCCCGCGCACATCAGATGCTGCGGGCGGAGAGGAGACACATGACTGCCACCGCCGGGTCGCCCGGGGTGGGCCCAGCGGTGGGTTTGGACTTGGGATTCGAAACGGGAGGGGAGGAGGTGCCCGGCTCAGAGGGTGAGCCTCTCTCTCTTCTCCTCCCGTCCGCTCTCTCTAGGAATCCATGGGGAAATGCCGGGCGGGCATGGCTCAGGGGCTGAGCATCGACCTAGGAACCAGGAGGTCACGGTTTGATTCCCGGTCGGGGCACAGGCCCGGGGTGCAGGCTCCATCCCCAGTGAGGGGGCGTGCAGGAGGCAGCCGATCCGTGATTCTCTCTCACCATCAATGTTTCTATTTCTCTCTCCCTCTCCCTTCCTCTCTGACATCAATAAAAAATATATTTTTTTAAAAAAATAAATAAGCCCTAACCGGTTTGGCTCAGTGGATAGAGCGTCGGCCTGCAGAATAAAAGGTCCCAGGTTCGATTCCGGTCAAGGGCATGGACCTTGGTTGTGGGCACATCCCCAGTGGGGGATGTGCCGGAGGCAGCCGATCCATGTTTCTCTCTCCCATTGATGTTTCTATCTATCTCTCTCTCCCTCTCCCTTCCTCTCTGTTTAAAAAAGTCAATTAAATATATTTTTAAAGAAACGTAATAAATAAAACAAGAAAGAACAAACGGCGAGGAGCAACGAGAAGAAAGGGAGGTGGAGGGACAGAGGCAGAAGGGAAAAGGCAGGAAAGCAGCCTCCGAGGGAGGTGGACCTGGACCAAGAGCCAAGAACAGCCCCAGGGCCTCTTAGCTTCCGAGGACGTGGGAGCTGCCCGGGGCCGGAGAAGATGATGACGCAGGCGGAATGCTGCGGCCTGGGGTTCAGGAAAGGCCCAGCGCCCCCCATGAGCGGGACAGAGAGAGAGCCCGGAGCTCGGCACCAGCTGGTCCCGGAGAGAGCCACCGACCGCCGGCGGCACCTCATTAACCGGCTGCTCCCGCGCCCTCCGACCCCGGAGGCCGGAGGAATGTGTGGGGCGGGGGCGGGGGGCTCGGGGACATAACGGGGCCCCGCAGGAGGGGGGAGGAAGAAGGCGGCGCGAACTGTTTATGACGCGTTTTTATAGACCGCGCTTTCCCGTAAAACTTCCCTAGTCATCAAAAAATATAAAATAAAATAAAAGGGGGTGGGAATAAGAGGTTGGGGGGAGAGAATGAGGTCAGGCAAAGATGTCTTCAACGGAACACAACACGTCTGAACTGTAAAGAGAAACACCAACGAGTTATGTTATATTCAGACGAGGAATTCGGCCCTGGCCGGCGTGGCTCGGCAGCTGAGCCTCCACCTAGGAACCAGGAAGGAGGTCAGGGTTCGATTCCCGGTCAGGGCACAGGTCCGGGTTGTGGGCTTGAACCCCAGTAGGGGGTGTGCAGGAGGTGGCAGCCGGTCCATGGTTCTCTCTCCTCGTGGATGTTTCTCTCTCTGTCTCCCTCTCTCCCTTCCTCTCTGAAATCAATACAAATATATTTATTAAAAAAAAAAATCACTTAAAAACAATGGGGGCCGGGAGAGGGCAATGCCGGGCTGTTCCTTCCGGCTGTCACCACCCGCAGCCTCCCCCTGCCGGGGCCGCTGCCCTGCGGGGACTGCTGACGAGCACAGGAGCGACTGGTCAGCATAACAAATAAAAATTAATTAATTAATTAATTAATAAAAAAGCCCGGACTGGGCTCTCCGGTTCGTCCCCTCTTCCTATTAAATATTTACCACCTGCTGTTTGTAACGTGCAGGTTTTGGACTTTCTTGAAACGCTTTCCTGAATTAAAAACATCACATCGCCATTGGCTAAGAGAGGAGACGGCTCTGTTCGCCAAGGACTTGGAACAAGTGCCAGTTCGGGGATGCCAATGTGGTGGGTTTTTTTTTGTTTTGTTTTGTTTTTTTTCACTTCTTATTTCCATGGGCAGCTCGGAGCGCACAGCGCCAGCCCCTGCACACACGGGAGACGCGATGCTGCCGCCGCCGCTGCTGCTGCTGCTGCTGCTGGGGGTAGGGGGGGGTAGGGGGGGGGTGTCTCCAGGGCCCTAGGAGGGAGGACGAGGGGACCCTAGCTTTCCTTGGTCCTCTGCCAGGCAGGTGTTTCCGGAAGCAGGGGCCCGGCGCAGGCGGGAAGCCAGGCTGCGCCCACGCCACCCGAGGCAGCGTTTTCCCAGAGTCCTAAGCGAGGAAATGGCTCCTTCAGGCTCCGCATGGTGAATGCCCAAAGGGGAATGCACGTGGAGTCCAGCGGAAGGAGGTTCTGGATTCAAATTTCACCCAAAGGAGAGCCCGGCCGGTGTGGCTCAGGGGGTTGAGTGTCAACCTACGAACCAGGAGGTCAAGGCCGATTCCCGGTCAGGGGCACAGGCCCGGGTTGTGAGTTCGATCCCCAGTGTGGGGCGTGCAGGAGGCAGCCGACCCATGATTCTCTCTCATCGTTGCTGTTTCTACCTCCCTCTCCCTCTCCCTCCCTCTCTGAAATCAATAAAAAAATATATATATATATATTTATTTTTTTTAAAAAAAAAGAAGAAGAGTAATAACTCACGCAGGCCGGCTCATGCCGGGGGGGACAGGTGCACTGGGCGGGGACTCTGAACCCCTCCTCAGGGAACTATCTGTCCATGCACAATGATGAAGGACAGAAGGTTACCAAGGAAACGATTCCATGCAAATATAATTCCAAACACAAAATAACTACAAATGCATACAACAGCAATGTGGGTTTCCTAGTGAGCACGTGACATAACAAAACCTGACTCTGCGTGTACGAGCGTGTGTACGCGTGCACCCACGTGTGCATTCGGCTCTCCAGGCACGCACTGTGCGAATGCCCGTGACGGCAGACGGATATGCACGCCTGCTTGGGTGTGTGCACATACACGTGTGTGGATGCGTACACACATGTGTGCGTGCTCAGGTGCGTGGAGTGTGAACACCCGTGTCCTGCACGCAGCCCCACCCCACCCCGCCCCGGCCGCTCACCTCCATGTTCCTGCAGAAGGTGGCGTTGGTGCCGAACAGGATCTGGCACTGCTCGTTGGCGCTGTAGTGCATGCCGGGCAGCTTGTGGGGCAGCCGCACGGCGTGCTGGCTCCGCGGGTCCGTGAACAGCAAGCAGGTGCTCACTTTCGACCTGAAACCGACAAGAGCTGAGCCGCACGCAAACGCCCGGGTCTTTGTTTTGATGTTGAGTCGTGGAGAACGCTGCGCCTCCGCATTCCCTGTGGGACGCCCAGCCCGGCCGGTGTGACTGTGGCTGAGCGTCGACCTGGGAACCAGGAGGTCTCTGTTCCATTCCCGGTCAGGGCACAGGCCTGGGTGGCGGGCTCCATCCCCAGGAGGGGCTGTGCAGGAGGCAGCCGGCCCGAGATTCTCTCTCATCCCGATGTCTCTCTCTCCCTCTCCCTTCCTCTCGCCAATCAGTAATAAATCCTGAGCGAGCCCTGTCCCTGGGGAAGGCGCGTCCCTGTCACAGGAGGCTGGGTGTGGAGCATCTGTCCTGCTCCAGCCCCGGGCACGGCCGCAGCGGTGCCCGCTCAGGGTCACCGGCGGAGGGAGGAAGCAGCTCCGGGGCACGGTCACGGAGCTGGTGTTTCCATCGGCCAGCAAGCATCTTTCAATGTGAGCTGGGGCCCACCATCACATCACACGCCTGAGCCTCGTGGGGGGCACACACCACTCCCGGTGCACAGCCCACACCCGGTGCATATGTCACACCCGGTGCACACACCACACCCGGTGCACACACCACTCCCGGTGCACAGCCCACACCCGGTGCATATGTCACACCCGGTGCACACACCACACCCGGTGCATATGTCACACCCGGTGCACACGCCACACCCGGTGCACACGCCACACCTGGTGCACACGCCACACCCGGTGCACACGCCACCAGGTGCACAGCCCACAGCATTGCACAGCGCACACCAGGTGCCAACATCACACCCGGTGAACACACCACACTGGGTGCACACGCCACACTGGGTGCACAGCCCACACCCAGTGCACAGCCCACACCCGGTGCATATGTCACACCCGGTGCAAACACTACACCCGGTGCACACGCCACACCAGGTGCACAGCCCACACCCGGTGCACACGCCACACCCAGTGCACAGCCCACACCCAGTGCACATGTCACACCTAGTGCACAACCACACCCCATGCACAGCCCACACCCGGTGCACAGCCCACATCCCAGTGCACACTCCACACCAGGTGCACACGCCACACCCCGTGCACACGCCACACTCGGTGCACACGTCACACCAGGTGCACACATCACACCAGGTGCACACGTCACACCCCGTGCACACTCCACACCAGGTGCACACGCCACACCCGGTGCACATGCCACACCCCGTGCACACCCACACCCAGTGCACACCAGGGAGAAAGCTCGGCAGACACGGGAGGTCCCGCCCTGGCCGTGCTTTAGGGCAGCTGAGCATTCTGAGCTCCGTTGCCCCTCCCCACCCGCGCGGGGCCCCGCGGCACGCGTCCTGGCGGCGCTGTCTGCGGCGTGGAGGCTCAGGGCGAGCCCGGGACTTACTTGAGGAAGTTCTCCAGGTCGTCTCGGCTGCAGGCGGACCAGGAGAGGTCGCTGGGGTTCCGGCCTTTCACCCACTCGCCCGACATGATGTGGGACCGGCCGGCGCAGGACGAGTGGTCGTCGTCATGGTTCATGCCCAAGCTGGCGAGGGGGGAGAGGGGAGAGGCACTCATCCCACGGGCTTCTCGCCTCTGCTCCCGGGGCCCAGCCTCCAATCCGCCCCTCCCCTCCCCCCTTTTTTAAATTTATTTCAAACAGGAAGGGAGAGGGAGGGAGAATAACATCAACAATGAGGGAAATCCATGGACCAGCTGCCTCCTGGAGATCACGCCTGCAACTCCTGACCTCCTGGTTCATAGGTCGATGCTCAACCACTGAGCCACACCGGCCAGGGCCCACTGCCCTGACTGCAGGGCACATGCCCGGGTTGCAGGCTCCATCCCCAGTGAGGGGCATGCAGGAGGCAGCCGATCGATGGTTCTCTCTCATCCTTGATGTTTCTCTCTCTCTCCCTCTCTTCATTCCTCTCTGGAATCAATAAAAATATATTAACCCCCCCCAAAAAAAATTATTCTGTAGCTTACTTACTTTCAACGTAAAAGAAAGAAATGATCAAAATGTTTAGGTGCCACCCGGCGAATGACGTGCATGGGAGGAGCGCCTGGACCCTTTTCAGTGCCCCAGACATCCGAGGGCACGGTCTGGGGCACATCCAGGGGGCGCACTGCTGCTGGTGGGGTCTGGCCCCGCCCCAAGGCCCAGGCCCACATCCGCAGACTGGACCCCGAGGGCAGAGGGTCTAGGGAAGGGAGGGTTTATGACAGGCGAGGCCCAGGGGCTTCCCGCGAAGGGCTGTCTCTCTAAGGGGGTTTGTTGTTGAGATTTCCACACCGCGGGAACACTGGCGGCTTTGGCACTGCTCTTCCTTTCCCACTTACTTATTTATCTAGAGCACATGTGTCAAACACAAGGCCCGCGGGCCAAATCCGTCCCGCCAGGCCTTGCAATGTGGCCCGCACCGCGCTGTCATCACTGCACTCCGCTGCGTTTCCATCACAATGACAGTTTATGACTGTTTAGAAAACCATTCGGCCCGCGATTTAGGCTGGATTTTAGATTTTGGCCCCTTCTCTGATTGAGTTCGACACCCCTAATCTAGAGGATCTTCTGAAGCGATCCTTTTTATCTTAAAAAAAAACAAATTAAAAAAAAATCCTTCTCTCCCCCCAGTGCAAATTACAGGCCCCTTGCCGTTAATCACGCCCGCTGAACCTGGCATTCAGGTGCCGGATGGAAACAGCTTCTGAGAGCCGCCCTAATGACGGTGTGCGGTGTGCCGGCTCTCCGCCCGTCCAGGAGCCCCCGGGAGGAGGGCGGGAGGCGGACTCCGGCGGTAATTGGGGTAATTGGTGTTTTCACTAGCGTCAACCTTGTAGCCGGGGAGGGTTGTTCCAGCGGCAACTTTGTAGCGAGAGCGCGGGGGGGGGGGGGGGGGGGGATTAAGACGGGAGGGAGGCCCTCCCTGCGGAATCCCATCCGGGATGTGGAAGGCAGAGGGGCTCCGGGCACAGAGCCTCTCAGTGTGTGGTTCCCCGGAGACGCGAAGCCCCCCTCCCCCGGTGGGGGTGTCACCAAACACAGGTGAGGACCACCAGGGAGGGCGGAAGGGATTCCCAAAGTCAGGGTGCGGAAGCTGTGCTAGTGACTCCCCTCCCCACCCCAATGGAAATCACTTCATTTATTTTAAATTAGTTTTCATTGATTGGCGAGAGAGAGAGATAGAGAGAGGGGGGGGGAGAGGGAGATAGAAACAAGGATTTGGGAAAGAGAGAGAGAGAGAGAGAGAGAGAGAGAGAGAGAGAGAGAGATCCATCGATCGGCCGCCTCCTGCACACCCCACACTGGGGATGGAGCCTGCGACCCGGGCATGCGCCCTGACCGGGAATCGAACCCTGACCTCCTGGTTCTTAGGTTGACGCTCAAGCACGGAGCCATGGGGCCGGGCTATAAGCAGTGTCCCTGCCTCGCCTTGGCCTCTGTGCCCAGGGTCAGCCTCCCAAGGAAACCTTGGTGATTTCCATGCGGTTCCCGTAACGCTGGGCATGGAAATCCCCACTGGGGGCACAAAGGCCATTGAAGGGGGCCACCAGCCAGGTCCCTCCCGTTCACAACCACCACTCTGAGGGGGCAGGAGGGCTGCTGGGCTAGGAGCTGGTCCTGCTGCTCAGGGCAGACGCCGGAGGAGGAGAAGGAGGAGGAACAGGAGGAGAAGGAGGAGGAACAGGAGGAGGAGGAGGAGGAGGAGGAGGGACGTGGCCGAGGCAGACGGCAGGGAGGACGGGAGCAGGCTTGCCCAGGAATGCATGGGAAGACCCTGCAGCGCTTAGCAGCTTGCGGGGAAAGTAAAACCACGGGCCTGAGCCCAGTGTTCTGTCCGGTGCCGGAAGCTGGATCAGACGGACGGGCCGGGAGGACGCTCACACGCACGCTCTGACCCGGGGCCAGGCACCTGGGCGTGAGGCTGGAGCACCCTGCGAGCGTGCCCGACTGCCCTCCGTCCGGCGCTGACGGCCCTGGGAGCTGAGCAGCAAAGGACGGCAGGACCCAGGGCGGGCCAGGGAGGAGCACATCCCAAACCGAGCCTGGGCGGCTGATGGAAACGCAGGCCCAGCGCCGTGCCTGCCCTTACACCCTTTTTGTCCCGCAAGAAAGACCAGCCCCGACCGTGTGTGATACGACAGCCCTGATTCCTACAGGACACACCCCCCGGACGGCGTGGCTCAGGGGTTGAGTGTCGATCTATGAACCAGGAGGTCACGGTTCGATTCTGGTCAGGGCACAGGCCCGGGTTGTGGGCTCCATCCCCAGGAGGGGGCGTGCAGGAGGCAGCCGGTCCATGATTCTCTCTCATCATTGATGTTTCTCTCTCCCTTCCTCTCTGACATCCATAAAAAATATATTTTTTTTTTAAAAAAGAAAGATTTGAACCCTCGGAGCCTGTGTTTGGGTGAGCCTGGGGTCCCCTCGGTGGAGGAGGCAGGGGCCGGAGCAGCACGGACTCAGAGCCTGTGGTTGGGTGAGCCTGGGGTCCCCGAGGTGGAGGAAGCAGGGGCCGGAGCAGCACGGACTCGGAGCCTGTGGTTGGGTGAGCCTGGGGTCCCCGAGGTGGAGGAAGCAGGGGCCGGAGCAGCACGGACTCGGCTGCGGAGGGTCCCAGGGCGGAGACGCGTCCCGGGAGAGGCAGGGACGGGCTGAGGGCCCACACTCACTTGTGGCCCAGCTCGTGGGCGATGGTGAAGGCGAGGTTGAGGCCGTTGTCCTCGGCGAGCACGCACTTCCTCTTGGCGCTGCACACGCCTCCCAGGTAAGCGATGCCTGCGGCGGAGACAGACGCGCCGTCAGGGCCCGGCCCGCCTCGCGCACGGCGGAGCGTGGGGCAGACGGGGTGGGGAGGGGCTCGGGCCGGGCCTGCCTTCCAGAGCTCACGGCGCGATCGGTGGGCACTCGGCTCTCTTGCCTCACCTCGTAATAATGGTAACACAACAGATGCCTACAAGCATTTTAAACAATTTTTAAAGTATATATATATATTTACAATAAATATATTTTATTGATTTTGTACAGAGAGGAAGGGAGAGAGATAGTTAGAAACATCGATGAGAGAGAATCATCCATCAGCTGCCTCTTGCACACCCCCTACTGGGGATGTGCCTGCCACCAAGGTACGTGCCCTTGACCGGAATCGAACCTGGGACCCTTCAGTCCGCAGGCCGACGCTCTATCCACTGAGTCAAACCGGTTTCGGCTAAAGTATATTTTTATTGATTTCATCAGAGAGGGAGAAAAAGGGAGAGAAAGAGAAGCATCAATGAGGAGAGAGAATCACGGATCGGCTGCCTCCTGCATGCCCCCTACTGGGGATGGAGCCTGCGCCCCGGGCCTGTGCCCTGACCGGGAATCGCACCGTGCCCTCCTGGTTCCTAGGTCGATGTTCAACCCCTGAGCCCCGCCGGCTGGTAGCATCCTCTCTGTGGGTGTCAGTTTCACCCCGGGGTGGACCTGAGCCCCTCCCGCCTGCCTGGTCCCTCCAGCGGCCCCTGACCCTGCTCACTAGCCTCCCTGCCTCCCCGTCCCCGCAATGCAGGGAGACGCGCTGGGACCCGGGTCCACCCAGCCGGGCACCACACCGGGTGTGCACTTCCACTAGAAACCAGCCACACGCCGCACGCCACACGCCACACGCCACACGCCACACGCAGGGCCACGGGTGGGGAGAACGCTCTGGTGAAAGGGACAGAGGATGGCTTTTGGCCGTGCGACGCTGGAGCACATGGACGTCCCAGCCCAGGCATGCAGGTGACCGTGACCTCCAGCAAGGACGCCGGCCGGCTCCTCAGGGCCTTCCAGGTCACCTCTCTGGTTTTATTTAAATGAATAAAAACAAAAAGCACAACACATTCTTTGAGGCTTGTTGTGAAGTGGCCGGCAGTGAGCCAGGAGCACACTCCCACGCAGCCCTGCTGGTATGCACGTGCAGCGGACACACAGACACGCACACACACACGTATGCATAAACACACTCACACGTGCATGCTCACACGGGTGCACGCACACACTCACACATGCTCACTTAAAGCCACACCCAGGAACACCATCCCAGGCCCAGGCCCAGGCCCAGGCCTCCGGGGCCAATAAATTAATGACAAACAATCCGACACGCACGCCGGGGAGAAGCCGTCTGGTGAGGGGGTGAGGGCGACGGCCAGGGCCAGCTGTGCCGAGCCCGCCGTCCCCCGGGCATCTGCTGACCCGGCACGCTCACTGCCGCACGGACACAGACACGGACACGCCCCAGCCGCCCCCGCCGCGCCCGACCGGAGCGTGCAGCCCCCATCCCCACGCCCCACGCCACCGAGGTAACGCACAGGCTGCGTAGCCACTCAGCACAGAGCCGTCCAGGAATGGCCTTGGGACGGTTCGATTCCCGGTCAGGACACTTGCCCGGGTTTCGGGCTCCATCCCCAGTGGGGGGGGCATGCAAGAGGCAGCCGATCCATGATTCTCTCTCATCATGGATGTTTCTCTCTCTCTCTCTCCCTTCCTCTCTGGCATCGATAAAAATATATTAAAAATAAATAAATAAATAAATAAATAAATAAATACATACATAAATAAATAAAAGCAGCCGAAACCGGTTTGGCTCAGTGGTAGGGCGTCGGTCTGCAGACTGAAAGGTCCCAGGTTCGATTCTGGTCAAGGGCATGTACGTTGGTTGTGGGCACATCCCCGGTAGGGGGTGTGCAGGAGGAGGCAGCTGGTCGACGTTTCTCTCTCATCGACGTTTCTAGCTCTCTCTCTCTTCCTCTCTGTGAAAAATCAATAAAAACATTTTTAAAAATAAATAAAAGCACCAATGCACGTACTTGCTGAGCTTCTTGGAACACAGGGGAAGCAGGAAGGCAAGAGCATTCATTAGGGTCCCGTCCGCGGGCAGGTGCTGCCGGCATGCTTGGCCCTTCCTGACTTGGCAAGTGCCGCGGCCCCATTTTCCAGACGGAGAAATGGAGGCCGGGCCACAAGCGCAGGGCTCTCTTTCTCCGTCACTCAAACCCCGGGCCGCCCTCACCCAAGTCCTGAGAGACCCGCGACAGTGGACGGTCTTTCCAGGCTTAGGAGGTTTCCCTAGACCTTCGTGCGTTTACAGGGAGACGTGGGTGGGATGGAGCAGAGGTTCCCCGTGTCGGAGTCCAAAACGCTCTCAATCCGAAAGATAAAAAGACCCCGGGGAGAGAGGCGATCATATTAACAGCAGCTACCTCCACGGAATGGCGAAGTCATTAGAGCTCTTTTTATCGATAATTGTCTCCTTCTTTCTGCGGGAGCCTTACACAGAATAGAACGAATGTGGACTTGCTGTGAAGACGGAAGGTACTGGTTGTATTTCACTTACCCCGGGAGACATGGGGCAGAGGCAGAGGTGTACACACACACACACACACACACACGCACACACACACCAGTCCTCCAGGCCCGGCCGGCGTGGCTCCGTGGCTGAGCATTGACCTCTGAACCAGGAGGTCATGGTTCAATTCACAGTCAGGACACGTGCCTGGGTTGTGGGCTCCATCCCCAATGAAGGGCACGCAGGGGGCAGCCAATCCATGATTCTTTCTCCGCCCTCTCCCTTCCTCTCTGAAATCAATTTTTAAAAAAAAGTATGTATATATATATTTTTTAAATATATTTTATTGATTTTTTTTTTTTTACAGAGAGGAAGGGAGAGGGATAGAGAGCTAGAAACATGGATGAGAGAGAAACATCGATCAGCTGTCTCCTGCACACCCACCCCGGGGGATGTGCCCACAACCAATGTACATGCCCTTGACCGGAATCGAACCCGGGACCTTTCAGTCCACAGACCGACGCTCTATCCACTGAGCTAAACCAGTTTCAGCTATATATATTTTTAAAGTCCCCTAGATTTTGATTCTGGTATGAAGGAAGTTCCCAGACAACACACAATTGAGTCTGTGCTTCTATCCCAACTCCCTCTCCCCCGCACCCCTGGCAAAACACATGCTTCACATCGGAGATGCGACGCCGGGAGAAACACATCTCATTCATCCCGCACGGCGGCCGCCGCGTCCCCGGGGCCGCCCGCCTGTCCCCCCGGCCGCCGCCGTGTCATCTCAGGGCAGACGCTCTGCCCCCGCCGCCCGCGGCCGAGTCTCGGGAGGGGCGGCGTTCGGTGCGGAAGCCGGGGGCAGGGACGCTTCCTTGTTTGCTTAGTCCGGGGAAAACTGCGTGGCGTCAGCACATAGCTCTCTCCCCGGCCCGCCAGGGGCCTGCGGGTGCCAGAAGTAAACACAGGGCAGTGCAAATTCCGCTCATCCGGCAAACAGGCCGGGTAAACAGTCCCAGCTGCTGGCCCGGCTGCCCGGGCTCCCACCAGCCACCCGCTCACCGTGCCAGCACCGCCCTGGTTGTCACCGGGATGCTGTGTGCCAAGGACAAGGAAGAAACGGACGGCTATTCCCTGGCCACCATGGTGATTGGGGTCAAGCCCCGAGAGCAGGCTCGTCCCCGGGTCCTTGTGCTCCAAGGGGATGGAGGTGTGATTTAAATCTGGGGACCAGCCCGGCGGGTGTGGCTCAGGGCAAGTTGAGCCTCGACCTAGGAACCAGGAGGTCACGGTTCGATACCCAGTCAGGGACACACGCCTGGGTTTCGGGCCCGATCCCCAGTGCGGGGCGTGCAGGCAGGAGGCAGCCGATTCGTGATTCTCTCTCATCATGGATGTTTCCCTCTCCTTCTCCCTCTCCTTTCCTCTCAAAAACGAAAAAGTTACAAATATAAAAATAATAAATGTGTGAGCCATATTTAAAAGCAAATGGCGTGCCCTGGCCAGTGTGGCTCAGTTGGTTGAGCACCATCCCATGCAACCTTAAGGTCGCCGGTTCGATTCCCGGGCTCATCCCCAGGCAGGCCGCCTACGGACCACGTGAGCTTGGTGTCTACCACTTTGCCTTGACTCTGCTCCAAGGACCCGGGGACTGGAATGCTCTAGAAAGTTGCCTGGGACGACCCTGACATACGGCTTCCCTCCCTCTCACGCTAGCAGCTCTGTTTCCACAGGAAGCAGGAAGCGCAAGGCCGTGCGCGGACAGGCTGCCAAGTCGGCGGAGGAAAAGAGCAGCGCGCTCTCGGAATGACGGAGAAACCACGCTCTTGGCCCCGCTTGGGGGTGGAGGGCGGAATCTCAGAGACCCCGGCAGAGGGTGGAGGGCAGAGCCGAGGGGACTCTGGATCCGGGCCCCTGGAGGTGGCTCTGGCTCTGGGAGCGGGGCGGGGGCGGGGGGCGGGGGAGGGCGGGCCGGGCCCGAGGGCGGCTCTGGGCACCGGCTCCTGAGCAGAAGTCCGTAAGCACTCCCCCGGCGAGGACACGAGGGCCCCTGGGTGAAGAAGTGGTCCCCACGCCCAGCTCGGGAAGCGGGTTGCCATGGGGATGCTGACTCAGCATCCTGAGCTCAGTCAACCTCCCCGGAGAAGCCCCAACGTCTTGAGCCACAAGGGGGGGGGCCTGGGCGGGCCTTCGTGCTGCTGACAGGATGCCATAATAAGGACGTGGCACCTGGCTGTGTGGCTCAGTGGTTGAGCATCAACGTAGGAACCAGGAGGCTGAGGTTCGATTCCGGGTCAGGGCACAGGCCCCGGGCTGTGGGCTCCATCCTCAGTGTGGGGTGTGCAGGAGGCGGCCGATCCGTGATGCCCTCTCATCACTGATGTTTCTCTCTCTCTCTCTCTCCCCCTCTCCCTTCCTCTCTGAAGTCAGCGCAAATATACTTTAAGAATTCATAAACAGGGGGGAGGGAAGCATGCTCTGTGCGGGTCTGGGGGGTGAAACGGCCCAGAATGCCGCGGCATCTAAGGCGCTCGGCTCCCGGCGGCAGGAACAAGCCCCACTGCCTCCTCCCGCGCTCGGGGCTGGCCTGGCCCAGAGGTACCTTCACCCCGGCCGGCGGCGCCTTTGCCGGTGGCTCGGGGACCCCGGCCCGGTGGGTGCTGGCGCCATCGGACGCCCTGGAGAAGCTCTCGGCCAGCACACAGGGCCCGGTCCAGACCCTACGCCGTGACCTGGGCAGCAGGTGGGGTTGTGCCCCACACGGACTTGCCAGCGGCATCGCCCTTGGCCCCCAGGGGGTTTGGGCGGCATTGATGGCACCACGGCCGTCACCCGACAGTTTGCCCTTTGCCCTTTGCCCTTTGCCTCGCAGCTGCTGTGGACACATCCATCCGGAACAACGCCGACTGCGGCCTAAACACTAACACAGAAGCTGGGAGGAAGCAGGCGGCCAGGTAGGGCATCTGCCTGGCTTTGGCTCGTGCCCGATACCTCCCTGGCAGACGGCTCACCGGGATGCGGGGGCCTGGCACGTTGGAACAGAGGGGTGTGGCAGCAACAAGGGGGCTTTGTTCTGCCGGATCTTCTGCAAAGCCTGGGCCCCGACAGGCGTGGGCCCGGAGCCAGGGGAGGGCGGGGCGGGCGGGGCGGCGATGGGTGCACCTGGGCGGCCTCTGAGCCTCCCCAGCCGAGTGGGCGGCGGGCTGGGGTCCGAGCAAGACCACGCACACCCTGCCCCCTCCAGGGGGGCAGTGTCCGCCCACCCAATGGAATGTGGGGGCATGTCATTAGGGACCGGGACGGAGGGCTCACCTCAGGGGACAGGTCAGAGAGGACCACTGCTCTGACGGATGGAGGCACCCCGGCACAGCTCAGTGGTTGAGCGTCGACCTATGAACCAGGAGGCCATGGTTCGATTCCCCGTCAGGGCACAGGCCCGGGTTGGGGGGCTCCATCCCCAGTGTGGGGCGTGCAGGAGGCAGCCGATCCATGGTTCTCTCTCATCATAGATGTTTCTATCTCTCTCTCTTGCTTCCTCTCTGAAGTCAATAAAATAAAATTAAAATTAAAAAAAAAGAGGTCAAGTGAATTCTGAAGGCAGAGTGGGCAGGATGGCCGATTGCCTGGAAGGACCAGGTACCTTCGGAAACTGAGGCCCTGCAGCAGCCGGCCAGCGAGGAGACACAGCTGATAAAAACCACAGCCCCCGTCTCCCAGGGCGGCGGGCGCTGCGCCGCCCGCTGTGCATGTGCTCGTGTGCGTGCTGCATCCTGCCCTCACCATGGGCACGCAGGGGGCCTGCCACTGGGCCACAGACGGCAGGTGGCGGGGACAAGCCTGGGGACACAGCCTGGGGAGCAGCAGCCCCATCTCCCCCTCCTCCCTGGTGCCCTCGCGGCATCCCTGCCTCCTCTGCTGCCTCCGACGTCCGCACGCACGCGGGCCCGGCAGACCTGGGTGTGGGCGCAGAGGGCCCCTCGGTTTATTTTTCCAAGACGAAAGCCTCTGGGGGTTCCCGCTTGATCTCCAAACCCGTGTTTGTCTTGGCGGCCGGCGCTCCGTGGCAGAGGCAGTGCCGCCACCAGCCGGTGGGACCGGGCCCGGGGGTCCCCCGGCCCCTCGCCCTGCGGCTCCGGGCCCCCTTCCATTGGATCGGCCGGCGGTAGCTCGGCCAAGGTGGGGAGGGGGGGCCGGGCCGCTCCCCGGGGCGCCCCTGGCGCGGCCCGCGCACAGCTGTCGGGTCCCGGCTGGTTCTGGAACCATGGGGCCCGGGAGACGGGAGACAACAGCAAACATCGGAAAGGTTTGAAACCAAACAAGAGAAACGCGGTGGGAACTCGGAGGAGGAAGTATTACGTGGAACTGGCGTTTCCAAAAAAAAGAAAAAAACCACACCAGAAGCGCTAGGCGTGTTCATGGACTCGAACCGTGGGAAACGGGAAGGGCCTGAGGACGGGACGTCCGGCAGCCCCCGTGAGAGGGGACAAGAGAAGCTTCTGGGGCGGGTGGGCGGGGGGACATGGAGCTCAGGGGGGTGGGGGGCTCCCCCGTCAATGGGCAGACAGCACGTCCCCACGGCTCAGGGCAGAGACGAGCGTCAGGCACTCAGAGGAAAATAAACAGAAGCCAGCGCTAAGCCATAGGAGGTCCTTGGGCGACGTCGGAGATCTGTTCCCGCCCCAGGGGAAGCGTGCCGGACACTGAGCCCGCAGGTCTGATCGGAGGACGGGCGAGGTACAGCCGATAAAGACTGACGGGTGGCCTCGGTGGCAGCTGTCATCGCTCGCCAGACTCCAGGCGCCTGATGGGGACCTCGGGGAGGGGGGGTTTGGGCAGCCGCTGGCCTCATCCTCTAGGGGGCCCCTGTGAGCCCCCAGTCTATTCCGATGCCCAGAGAAGCCAGTACCCCCGGGGAGGGGAGGGAAGAAATGGGGGGGGGGTGGGGGAGAAGGAGAAGGAAGAGGAGGGAGGGAGGGGAGAAGGGAAATGTGCTGGGGGTAGCAGCCAGGATTCACCAGTCACACACACACACACACACACACACACACACACACACCACACATCCAGGACACGTGGGGAGAACCATCTGAGGGCACAGAGCACACCAGCAACATCTCCACCTCCTGACAATCGCCTTAACTCCGGGGGGGTCCCCCCGCCACCGCACCGGCCGCCCAGACGCTCAGAAACAAGGGCGCCCCCAGACACAGGCACCTCGGGGTCGCCCCGCGCGCGCGCGGCCCTTCCCCTGGCTTAACGTGCCCGCTCTTCCTCACGAGCCCTCTGCCTGGGTGCCTCCCGCCGTGAGAACTGGCACCGCTTTTCTGGGGGAAAACAAGCAGGACGGAGTCGGAAGAGAAAGAGGCGGGGAGAGGGGGAGGGATGCGGCGGGCCCCTCGGGGGCCGCTGTAACTGGGCACTCACCGACGGTGTCACACGGCTCGTCCTTGTGCACGCAGAAGTCTGTCCTGCAGGGAGCACAGGGCGGCGGTCAGGGGCGTGCAGCCGGGGGGAACGGGGTGGGGGGGACACCCCACACTGTCCACGCCCAGAGTCGCCCCGCCCACCGCGACGCCATCGCTCCGGTTGTCACGGGAGACGGCCAAGCGTGGTGCCCGGCAGGGCTTGTCCGAGGGCACCCTCCCACCTGCCCACACGGCACCCCCTCTTCCTTCCAGCTGAACTCGGCCACCCCGACCCCGCGGCGGCCGGAGGGCCTCCCTCCCACAGCGGGGAGCGTGTGGGCGGGAGCGCGGGCCAGAAGCCATCGCTGGTCGACGCCCTCGGCCGACAGCGCCTTCCCCGAGCCACTCTGCTCTCGGGCAGCCTGGTGGGAGGGGCGGGCGGGGGGGGGGTTAGATGCTGGAACCAGAAGCCAACTGGAAAGTCTTTTTTTTTCTTAAATGTATCTATGTTTTTATCTCAGAGAGGACGGGAGAGGGAGAGAGAGAGAAACATCAATGATGGGAGAGAATCATGGACCCGCTGCCTCCTTCAGGCCCCCCACTGGGGATGGAGCCTGCAACCCGGGCCTGTGCCCTGACCGGGAATCGAACCGTGACCACTGAGCCACGTTGGAAGGGCCCAAGTCATTCCTGAACGTATCTCTTTAAGCTCCCCTGGCCCCCCAGGTACGTGGCAGTGGACGAGAGACAGAGTGAAGCTGCTCAGAGCCTGACCCACCCCCCTCCTGCAGGTACAGGCGACTCGACCTGGCCTCTGGCTGCTCTGGGGGATAAAGGTCTCGGGGCCTGGGGGGGAGACAGAGTCACAGCTAACACCGAGGGAGGCGTGGACGCCTAGGTCCCAGCCCTCTGTGCGGGCCCCGGGGCCTCCGCCTCGGTCCACTCAGGGGAGCTCTGGCGCCCCAGCCGTGGCCGCAGCCGCTGGCAACCAGCTCCCGCCGCCATGACGTGCTCCCCTCCCCGCGCTGGCCGTCTGCAGACATGGGAGCGGGACACCAACGAGAAGACACCCCTCTGAGACCCCGTCGGTATGGGACGAGGCCGGATCACGCCGGGAGGAAGGAGCTGAGCTTCCCCCGAGCAGCGCAGCAGCGGCCTCACACCCCGTTTCCGCGGGAAGACGTCAGCCCGTCATTATCCGATCCGATCCGATCCGGGGACCGCCGCTCCCGGCCTCTAATTATTAGACAATGCCTCGCGGCCAAGTTGGCGGCCGCCCCCCACCCACGCGCACACCGCCTGCCCGGCTGCCCGGAGGTCTCTATTGAACATCTGCTCTGCGGGGGCGGGAGGACGTGACGGGGCGGGGCGGGGCGGGCAGACACCGGGCGGCAGGCCCAGCGGCCCCGCAGAGCCGGGCGCCCTCGGGATGGCTCAGGCAGCTCAGGAGGTGCCGGCACCAAGGGGAGACAGAGAGCCTCGGCGTAGGCCCTGCCCTCGGCCGAAGAAATCCTGCCCTGGCCCGTGTGGCTCAGTGGTTAGTGTCAGCCTGCGCGCCGAAGGGTCTCGGGTTCGATTCCCAGCCAAGGGCGCGTGCCTGGGTTGCGGCAGGGTTGATCCCCAGCCCCTGGCAGGGTGTGTGCGGGAGGCAACCCATCCATGTGTCTGTCTCTCACATCAAGGTTTTTCTCTCTCTCTGTCTCTGTCCCCTCCCCCCTCCACTTCCGCCCTTCCACTCCCTCTAAACATCAATGGGAAAAATACCCTCAGGTAAGGATTACAAAAAAGAAAAAAAAAATCTTGCTTTTCTTTTCTTTTCTTTTTTTTTTTTTTTTAATATATTGATTTTGTACAGATAGGAAGGGAGAGAGATAGAGAGTTAGAAACATCGATGAGAGAGAGTCATCAATCAGCTGCCTCTTGCACATCCCCTACTGGGGATATGCCCGCAACCAAGGTACATGCCCTTGACCGGAATCGAACCCGGGACCCTTCAGTCCCCAAGCCAATGCTCTATCCATTGAGCCAAACCGATTTCGGCAAAATCTTGCTTTTCTGACCTTCAGTATCGCCCCTCCCCCAGCATCCCCCACACACACTTAGAGCCATCCGTGTGCAATCAGCACCCCGGAATATGCTCAGGTGGAAAAGGACATTCTTAAACGTGTTTGATTGGGGCAGACCACATCGAACACAACATTGAGCATCTTCAACCCAAGGATATTTTCCATTGATTTTTGGAGAGAGTGGAAGGGAGGGGGAGAGGGAGAGGGAGAGAGAGAGGGAGAGAGAGATAGATAGAGAGAGAGAGGGAGAGGGAGAGGGAGAGGAAAAAAGAGAGGGGTGAGGTAGGGAGAGAGAGGGAGAGAGAGAGAAATCGCCTGCTTCCACGTCTCTACCGTTACCCCACTGCACGGATGAGCAAACGGAGGCTGACACGGGGGCCGGCGGCCCGAGGACCAGGCCTGCATTCCTAGCCGCTGGCCCTGCCCCCCTCCCCGGGAAGCGGCTCCCTCCGAGCGCGCCGGGGGCCGGCCGCGGCCCCCTTACCTGGTCACGAACACGGCCGCGTCCACGGGGGGCGGGTCGTCCCTGCCGCCGGGCACCTGGTTGTTGCCGAGGTAGCGGGCGCCGCCGTACTCCTCGTTCTGCCAGTGGCAGAAGCTCTCCAGGGACCGCTCCCCGTGGTGCCCGATGGACAGCTTGGCCTGAAAGGAACCGGGGGGGACGGAGGTCAGAAGGAGGGATGGCTCAGGCACCTCAGGAGGTGACAGCCCCAGGGAGACAGAGAGCGCGGGCCCTGGGCTGGCTGCAGGGCTCAGAGCGCCCGGCACGCCTTGGCATAGGCCTTGCCCGCAGCTGAAGAAATCCCCCCCGCCCCGGACATCCCCCGTCCCTGGCCCGGGCACACTGATGCCACCTGTGGATAAGTCAGACACACACACACACACACACACACATACACACCACTGATGCCACCTGCAGAGCCCGGGAGCGTGGGTAAGTCAGACACACACACACACCACACACACACACAACACCACTGATGCCACCTGCAGAGCCTGGGGCGGTGGGTAAGTCAGACACACACACACACACACACACACACACCCCACTGATGCCACCTGCAGAGCCCGGGAGCGTGGGTAAGTCAGACACACACACACACACACACACACACACCCCACTGATGCCACCTGCAGAGCCCGGGAGCGTGGGTAAGTCAGACACACACACACACACACACACACACACCCCACGGCGCTGAAGGGACTCACAGGGCGCTGTCGCAGCAGCACCAGCTTGGTGACCTGGATGTTCACCTTCACCCCCAGGGTCTGGTGCTGGAACATGTTGTAAACCTGTGGAGAGAGAACAGGAAGGGAAGAGGGAAACCTATTTTTATAAAATATCGTGGCATCTCGGGACAGAGGAGAGATGTCGGGTAAACACTAAGGAAATCGGAGCCAATGGTGAACACTGGGGATCGGATCCGGAACCTGGGCAGGTGCCCGCCCTGACCAAGAACCGAACTGTGACCTCCTGGTTCACAGGCTGACGCTCAACCCACTGATCCGTTAAGTCATAGCCGACGTACTGATGTAAGATGCTAGCAGCCGGTGAGACCCTATGGGACGCCTCTATGCGCTCAATGTTCCTATAAATCTAAGACATCCGATATAAAGATGTAAACTATAAGTCCATGAATGTATGCATCGTACAATGTAAGTTCTATTCATTGAAAATATATATATTACTTAAACATTAACGGTTAGCCTGGCTGGTGCTGCTCCGTGGTTGACCTTCGACCTATGAACCAGGAGGTCAGAGTTCGATTCCTGGTCAAGGGCACATGTCGGTGTTTCGAGCTCCATCCCCAGAAGGGGGCGTGCAGGAGGCAGCTGATCCATGCTTCTCTCTCATCGTTGACGTTTCTCTCTCTCTCTCTCTCCTTCCTCTGTGAAATCAATAAAAATATATTTTTTAAAAAAACCACGCACACACAGAAACCCTCTTGGCCTGTGAACAGCTCCTCCCCAGGGGTCCCCGTCCGCCCCTCCTTGGCCACATCCCCACGTCCCCCGGCCAGGACAGCGGTGTGGGCCCCTGGGGCCGCTGAGGAAATGGGACAGACCAAACCGGTTTGGCTCAGTGGGTAGAGCGTCGGCCTGCGGACTAAAGGGTCCCGGGTTCGATTCCGGCCAAGGGCATGTGCCTTGGTTGCGGGCACATCCCCGGTGGGGGGTGTGCAGGAGGCAGCTGGTTGATGACTCTCTCTCATCGATGTTTCTGACTCTCTGTCCCTCTCTCTTCCTCTCTGTAAAAAAATCAATAAAATATATATTAAAAAAAAAAAAAAAAAAAAAGGAAACGGGACAGCTGCAGCCGGGCCTCTGACCGCTCGCCAGGGCGCAGGCCGCGCCGGACGCCCGAGACAGACTTTCCAGACGCCGGGCCGCGCTGCTCCTGGCCTGGCCAGGCGTCTCTCCCAGCGGCGCATGGACGCTGCCTGCAGACGGGTCCTGAGCAGGAGTTTCCATGGGAAAAATGGGCCTCCGGGCGGCTCGGTTACATGTCTGCGGGCCGCCGCGGTGTGTGGGGGCTGCTGTCCGATGTCCGTCTGGCGGAGCGGCTGCCAGCGCGGCCCCGCGCGTCGGCCCTGCGCTCGGCCGGGCCTGGTGGAAGGACAGCACCCGCGGGGGGGGGGGGGGGGGGGGGATGGGGACGGACGACAAGTGCTTTAGCAGCGGCCAGGCTCCCACACCTGCTCTCCTGGACGGGGCCCACCCACCGAGGGGAAATGCCTGCCTACAGACCTTATTTTTATAAAAATATATTTTATTAATTTTTTTACAGAGAGGAAGAGAGAGGGATAGAGAGTTAGAAACATCGATGAGAGAGAATCATCAATCAGACCTTATTTTTTAAACATAATGCTTTTTATCGATGTCAGAGGAAGGGAGAGGCAGAGAGACAGAGAAATACCAATGACGAGAGAGAATCATGGACCAGCTGCCTCTCCCTCGCCCCCCCATCTCGCCCCCAACTGAGGATTGAGCCCGTAACCAGGGCCTGTGCCCTGACCGGGAATCGAACCATGACCTCCTAGGTTTCTAGCTTGACACTCAAGCACCGAGCCACACCAACAGGGCCTAAGAGGGGTTTTCAAACAGCACTCCCTCTGCATGTGAGTCAGGGCCTCCTGGGGGGCATCTGGGGACTGTGAGTGACTCTGCAATGAGGGCGCCATTGGGACCCCACACAGGAGGGTGTTTCCCTCCCGCTGCGCCTCGTGGGGCGCCTGGAGCGGCACCCCAACACCACCTGGGGACCAGGGCGTGCTCACCAGAGAGAGGCCGCTAATCCGTGCTGCCTGGTCACTGAGCAAAATTGATGTCATTCTTCCTCCCCCCTCCCCCCCTTACCCCACCCCGGAGGGACCTGCCAGGGACGCGTCAGCGTCTTGCTTCGCTGTGGTTGTTAAGGAAGCTGAGAACACCTGCAGCTCTGTCCAGGCGCCCACTTTCCAGCGGGGCTGCCCGCCAGGCCCGGGGCTGCCGCTGGTGTCAGCTCTCCGGCCCGGCCGCCTTTGGCTCTTGAAAACCTCCCCCCCCCCCCGCCCCCCGTGTCGCCGCGCCCCGCCGGGCACCCACCATGTTCATGACGGTGAGGATGAACCGCTGGGCGGCCTCGGCCCCGTGGTACTGCACCATGTCCGCGTCGGCCACCACCAGGGTCTCCACCGTGTGCTCGCTGGTGAGCCGGATGGCGCTCCTCCGCTCCCGCCCGTCCGCCGGCAGCCCGCCCTTGCCCGCCGGCTTCTTCTTTTCTGGAAAACACGGGAGGGCCTGAGCGCGGTCCTAGGCCCGCTCCCAGGGGTGGGATGGGGCCGGAGTGAAATCAGGGATGCGGGTCCAGCCAGGCTTTCTCTTTACTAAATACGTTTATTATTATTATTATTATTATTAATATATTTTATTGATTTTTTTTTTTTTTTTTACAGAGAGTAGGAGAGAGTGATAGAGAGCTAGAAACGTCAACGAGAGAGAAACATCGACCAGCTGCCTCTTGCACACCCCCTACCGGGGATGTGCCCGCAACCAAGGCACATGCCCTTGACCGGAATCGAACCTGGGACCTTTCAGTCCGCAGACCACCGATGCTCTACCACTGAGCCAAACCGGTTTCGGCACTAAATACGTTTTTACTGATTTCAAAGAGGAAAAGAGAGAGAGAGAGAGAATTATCAGAGACGAGCGAGCGAGAATCAACGATGGGCTGCCTCCTGCATGCGCCCCCTACTGTGGATCGAGCTCACAACCCGGTCGTGCGCCCTGACCGGGAGTCGAACCGGTGACCTGGGTGGATGCTCAGCCCGCTGAGCCATGCAGGGCCGGGCCCGAGACCATTGGAAAGCTGTCCCCTGCCTGGGAGCGGTGTGCTCCTGTGTCGCGTCCTGGCGGTGGCCGTAGGGAGGTCACCGATTCCCAGCCGGGGTTAGTGGACGCTCAGCCACACCGGCCGGGCTCCAGGTGATGGGTTGGAGTGTGTGCTTGCACACATACACACACACACGCACACGCACACACACGCTTACATAACACGCGCAGGCCCGCCCAAATTCTTTTCGGATCACTTTGTCTTCTTCAGCCAAAGCGAAGGGTCGGTTGGTAGAAAAACACCCCTTTTTGTTTTCGGCCTGGAAACGGTGGCTCGATGGCTTGGCGTGCTGGGAAGCACTCCCAGCGGCTGCAGAAACCGGCATCCTTGAGAGAGAATGGCCCTCTCTTTTCTTTTTCTTTTTTTCAAAAAGGAAAAAAAAAAAATAAGGTTTGCTCTCCAAGGATGAATGCTTTAAATAACTTTGCCCAAGGCCAAGTCGCTTTCATAAAAAAAAGGCATCTTTTGCATGTAAATTCCTTACAAAAAATAAAAAAGGTGAAAAATAAGAGTTTTGTGATTGAATTTTTTTTGTGGGTTTTTTTTTTGCGTGTGTGTGTGTGTGTGTGTGTGTGCTTTTCTTTTTTCTTTTCTTTTTTCTCCTTTTGTCCAGTTAAGATCCCAAATAAAGAACTGATCAATCTTGAAGTCCAAAATCAGTGCTTGGATCCATGATTCTCTCTCATCGTTGATGTTTCTATCTCACTCCCTTTCTCCCTTCCTCTCTGAAATCAATGAAAGTATTTTTTTTAAAAATCAGCACTTGCACTAGGCAGGAAGTATGACCCCTATCCCTACCCTTAGGACTAGCTGGCCCCCTGGACCTGGTCCCCCATGGTCGTGGTCACAGAGGTATCGAGCAGCCCGCACTGCTGCCTGGGGGTGCGGGGGAGGGAAAGCCAGCCATTCAGCCAGCAAACGCTGACGGAGCACCACTGTGTGGGAGGCGCTGCCCCAGGCCAGGGGACCATCTGGAATGGGGCTGGGAACCTTTTTCTCTGCCAAGAGCCATTCGAATGTTTGTAACGTCATTTGTGGGCCATCCAAAATGACCCCCTGAAAAATAAGCCTGCTAGCACGGCCGCTGCAGCTCAATGGCTGGGCATCCTCGACCTGTGAACCAGGAGGGCTCGGTTTTGATTCCTGGTCAGGGCACAGAGTTGCAGAGGCTCGATTCCCCAGTAGGGGGCATGCAGGAGGCAGCCGATCGATGATTCTCTCTTATCATGGATGTTTCACTCTATCTCTCTTTCTTCCTCTCTGAAGTCAATAAAAATATATATATATATTTTTTAAAAATTAACCTATGTAGTCAAACCCATGTCCTGGGTAGGCAGGTGGCTGATTTGCTCCGCCCCCCCGCCACCTCAGACCAATGAGAGAGATTTCTGAGCAACCGAGATGGCAACAGGGCAGATGGAAGGAGAGACCCTCAATTTCATTTCAGTGAAGCAAAGAGAGACTCAGCTGCAGGGAAAACACATTTTCAGGGGGGAAAAAACACCCCCTAAATGTAACCTTACGGGAAGCCCAGGTTTCAGGAACATGTCGGGCCGGTCCATCATTCCGGGTTTTGCAGGCCTCCGTCCGTCCGTCCGTCCGTCCGCCCGCTCAAGCACAAGGCCGGCTGCTCCCCCGGGCTTCGCTGGATCTCAGAGCCTTCCTTTTTTTTTTGCTGTGCTCAGCACCATCCCGGGGATAAAAGCGTTTCGGGAAAACGGGCTGATATCTCTGCCAGATGCAGGCAACGTCGTTTCTGACTCCTGGTTACGGGTTGCTTGTTTCCAGAACCTTCTCTCGTGGGAGTGCGAGGCTTATAGCAAATCACAGGGGCGTTCGGCGTCTCTGTTAGCGGCGATCGGCCGGTCTCTCTGATTCTCATGTTCTTCGTGGCTCTGACCAACAGGGAGTCGCGAAGGATCTGGCAAGCTGCCCTGCTCGGATGGAAACCTTCCCCCATGGGGAATCCTTCAGCTATAAATGCGCAGCATTTGTTTTCGGAGCAGATAATGCCGTTTTACTTCAGCTGGAATAAGCCTTTAGGAGGAGAGGAGCTTCAAATAACGTTCCCTTTTTGGAACGGAAAGTAGGAGGCGATGTGTGAATGTTGAAGCGCTGGATAACTTACGTATGTAACATAGTGCCGGGAGCCGGGCCGCCGTGGCTCAGGGGCTGAGCATCAACCTATGAACCAGGAGGTCATGGGTTTGATTCCCGGTGAGGGCACAGGCCCGGGTTGCGGGCTCGATATACCCAGTGGTGGGCGTGCAGGAGGCAGCCGATCCATGACTCTCTCTCCTCATGGATGTTTCTCTCTCTTCCTCTCCCTTGCTCTCTGACATCAATAAAAAAAAAAAAATCTTTAAAAATAATAAGAAATAAATAAATGATGCCATCTCCTTGGAGAGAAACCGAGCCCTGTTTCGCCTCCCCCACACCCTGAGTGTCCCTGAGCGCAGGTGTCCCTGGCAGGAAGGTTCCCCCCACGAAGGCAGTTCTGATTCCTGCCCCCCCACCCTCAACGGCGGCGCCTGATATATGTTCTGCCCCATGGGGCTTTTCCCTACGGGACACCGTCCAGCTGCGTCCCGACCCCGAGCCAGACACGGGCCCGCGTCCACGCCTTGCTAATGGCCGTGCGGGAGACATCGCCCGCCGGCCTGGGGCGGGGGGTGGGGGGGGCCTTCGCGGCTGGAGGACGCCCAAGAACGCCGGGCAGCACATGTCCTGACGGGCCTTTTTATTTTTATTTTTATTTTTTCCCTGGGCTTTTCCATGAGAAACGAGTGGACTGAGAAAGCCAGACCGTTTGCGGTGCTGGAGAAGAGAAAAAAAAAAAAAAAAGCAACCCGAAAGGCATTGCTTAGAAAGAGCAAACCGTCGCTGCACTCAGGGTGTCTGCTCCCATCCCCTCCTCCGTGCCTGGGACCCTCTGGCCCCAGGCCTCCTGCTGGGAGGGGGGCCCACACCCCTCCGGCTCCCCGCCTCGCAGGGAGGGAGCAGGGAGGGGGACCCTGCTGCTGATTCAAAAATCAGACACTGCAGGGGGAGCTGGCAGGGGCCGGCCGCTCCGCCCCCATCGGCCCTGGAACCCTGAGTCAGCGCCTGGGCCACCCGGCCGCGCCTGCCTCCTGGGGACCGCGATTCCTCTTCCTCCTCCCGCCCCGGGGCGGCCCGGCTGCCAGGAGCTTCCTCCAGCCACCTGGCTGGCCCGGCCGCCTGTGCTTTCAACAATCAGCTGCCTGCTGGCCCGGCCCGCCCGCGGCTCCCAGACAGACTTTCCTATGGAAGCAGAGGCTGGCTCTGCTGCCAGCTACTCAAGGGGGGCGGCGGGGTGTGTGTGTGTGTGTGTGTATGTGTGTGTATGTGTGTGTTGCATAACCGCCCAGGAGAGGACTGGGAAAAGATAACACGCTTAGCGTCCAATGCCTCTGCTTGGGGGAACGGCACACACACACACACACACACACACGCACGCACACACATGCACACACACATACACGCGCGCGTGCACGCACACACATACACACATACACGTGCGTGTGCACGCACGCACACACATATACACACATACACACGTGCGTGCACACACGCACACGGCTGGGTATGCTTTTCCTTTCCGTCTCCACGCTTGAGTTTTCGATTTTTCTTTCTCAATCAAGTCATGGGAATGTTCCGGAAGCGGGCGGGGTGCTTGCCCCAGACTGGTGTTTCTGTGTTCTCATGGAGAATCCGTCCAAAAGACGACGGGACGGGGGAGAAGCACAGAATTAACGGCGACTGCTCCGGCTTACGGAGGAAACGTCGTTAGGAAACGTGAGCCGCAGGAGCCCGGCCGGCCTGGCTCAGGGGCTGAGCGTCCAGGACCTGGGAACCAGGAGGTCAGGGTTCGATGCCCGGTCAGGGCACAGGCCCGGGTTGTGGGCTCCATCCCCAGTAGGGGGCATGCAGGAGGCAGCCGATCCATGATTCTCTCTCTTCATTGACATTTCTCTCTTTCTCTCCCTCTCCCTTCCTCTCTGAAATTAGTAAAAATATCTTGAAAAAAAATTAAAAAAATAAGAAATGCAGGCTCTGTGGTTCCCTCCAGCTGGCCTTGACTGCATTAGTCCCTTTGTGCCCCAGGAGGGCATGGTGGCTTACCTACCCCTACTCACAGCTCCCTTATCCGACCCCCTCACCTGCCTGAGCCGGCTGGCCACCCCTAAGCCACAGGACAACACAACCTTAAGGACGACACAACACTCCACGTTCAGCCAGAAAAGACCCCGTCCCCGTGGGAACAGCTGGGTCCCTCCGATTCGCCTTTCCGGGAAACCCCAAACAATGCGGACAACTCAGGGATCAATCAATGTTCCCTGTTGCTAAGCTCACAACGTTTGATGCTGATTATAAGTCTATTGATAGTGGCCATTCTCAACAGCCAAGTTCATGGAGACCCTTGTGCAACGGGAGAAGTACCCCAGAGCAGAACATACCCCTTTCTCCCTGGTCTGTGTCCCCCCCCCGCCCCCCGCGGCCCGGCCAGGGCCTCAGACGTGCCCGCCCCTCCCGCACACAGGGCCCCCCGAGGGAGGGGCGGTGTGGGGGAGCTGCGAGCCCCAGCCGCCTGGGTAATTGCTGCCTGTGCACAGTTGCATGACGGCTCTTGTTTTGACTTGGTTTCCAGCACATCCTCCCCGCCCTGCTTTTGTGAATAGTTTCATTTCCTTTGTGAGAGGCTAAACAGTCCTTCCGAAGGATGCCTCCCCTCGAGCCCAAACACAGGCGCCGTTTTATCGTCTCGTCAGCCATCCTCCCGGGTCACGGCCCCTGCAGAGGAGGGCGCGGGGCGCGGGGCGCGGGCCGGGCTGGGCATTCGGCGACAAGGCCCACGCGCACCCAGACCTGCCGCAGACGGTGCGGGTTTGAGGGGAGGGGGAGGGAGGTCGCCATGCGCTTGCCCTGGGACAGGGGTCGGCAAACTCACGAGTCCACGGAGCCAAATACCAACAGCACAACGATGGACATTTCTCTGGAGAGCCACATGTTTTAAGCTTAAACTTCTTCTGACGCCACTTCTTCAACACGGACCCGCCCGGGCCGTGGTGTTTTGTGGAAGAGCCGCACTCCGGGGGCCAGAGAGCCGCATGTGGCTCAAGAGCCGCGGTTTGCCGACCGCTAGGCTAGGACGTCGTCGTGGTACTTGGTAGATCCCGGTGGCATCACCCCAAGTCCAGCCTCCTTGCTTTTGTGAGGGTGTGGGAAGGAACAGAGTTTGCTGGCGTCCTCTCTCCACCCGCCACTCAGAGCTCCCCAGCCTGGCAGGGCTGACCTTGACCCGATGCAATCACCTCCTGTGCCTCCTAGGCTAAGGCAGGGTACCCTCAGCACCTGGGCAAGGTCAGGATGGCTTGAAATAGCTGAGCAGACCTGCAAGGCTCATCTACGTATATAAAAGCCTACGCGACCGGCCAGCCAGCCATAAGCTACGATGCGCACTGACCACCAGGGGGCAGACGCTCAACGCAGGAGCTGCCGGGCTGTGGTCTCTTGGCAGCGGTGGTTCTCGGGTGGTGCGCCCAGAACCAGAGAGGAGGGAGCCCAATTCTGGGTGGCTCAGTGGATAGAGCATCGGCCTGCGGACTGAAAGGTCCCGGGTTCGGTTCCGGGCAAGGGCATGTCCCTTGGTTGCGGGCACATCCACAGTGGGGGGTGTGCAAGAGGCAGCTGATCGATGATTCTCTCTCATCGATGTTTCTGACTGTCTATCCCTCTCTCGTCCTCTCTGTGAAAAATCAATCAATCATCAATAAAAACAAGTTCTGCCTTCTCGCAATCCGGGACCCCTGGGGGGTGGGGGTGGGGGGTGTCAGAGAGTTGGTTTCAGCCCGATCCCCGCAGGCCAGACGGAGGGACCCCCCCAGGTGCGCAAGTTCGTGCACCAGGCCTTTGGTTTCTGAATAACCAAGTCGCCCTGAGATAGAGTCACCGCTCAGGTGAACTCCGCTGTGTGTGGGAGTCAGCCGCCCCGTCTCCCAGACTCACCTGTGAGGACCTGGCAGAGCGGGCCGGGGGCCGGGGCCTGGGCGGAGGGGCCGGGAGCCGGGGGCCATTTGCGCTGGACCAGGTGCTCTCGGCCGCCGAGCGGGCCCCGGGAGCCGTTGAGGGGCTGCAGGAGCACCTGCTCCTGCCCAAGCTGGATGAGGCCGACCTGCCGGGAAGGAAACACAGAGCACGGATGTCCGTCACCTCCGCTCACGCTCGCCCGGGACCCAGCGGCCCGGGGACCTGCCTATGGCCGCGTTCCCACACCGGGGCTTTCTCGGAGCCCGGGGAGGAGCCTGGGTGAGCCTTGAGGCATCGCGCCTGCAGTTGTGGTGGGGAGGGGGGTCATAAGGTGGGGGGGGGGGGGGAGTCCAGTGATACAGGCGGCAGCACCCACTTTCCAGGTTTGCTTTCAAAGATGTATTTATTAATCAAAGCGAATTAAAAAAACAAAAAAAAACAAATGTGACTTTTTAAAAGATTTTTAGAGAGAAAGGAAGGGAAGGGGGGAGGGGGAAAAGGGGAGGGAGAAAGAGAGAGAGAGAGGTGAGAGCAAACATTGACAGGCTGCCTCCTAAACGCTCCCTACTGGGGATCGAGCCCACAAGTGCCCTGAGCGGGAATCGAACCGGCAACCTTCAATCAATTGAGCCACACCAGCCAGGCCAAAATTGAGTTTTAAAATAAATTTTAAAACCAACCCCAAAAGTCTGTCTGAGGAGGAGACCCCAAACGTGTTGGGAATGAATGGCAGTTGTGTCTTAATGAGAACATGGATCTCCCCCTGGGGATATTTAAAATGAAACAGAGGATGGAACCGGTCAGACATGTATCCTTTGCCAGAATCGAACCTGCGACCCTTCTGTCTACAGGCCGATGCCCTAGCCACTGAGCCATGCCAGCCGGGGCTGAGGGTTTGTTTTTTAACCAAACAAAGAACCTGAAAACGAAACGGAATAGGTTAGCTTTCTAAGGACAGTGTGAAACGTCAAACAGTCATTAATCTCCAAATGTGTACGTGGGCCCCAATATTATTCAAAGCCTCCTGAAAAGGGGGATTGCCAAGAGTTGCTGGATGATCAATGATACAGGCTTTGTGAATTGAATGAAAATGTGAGAACTAGGATTTTTCATCAGTCTCTTTAAAAGGATGAAATATTAATACACACACACATACACACTCACATACACACTCATAGACACACATAGATACACACACATACACACACATAATATAAAGAGACATACACATATGCACATACACACACACACACACACACACACACACACAGCTGTGCAGAGCTGATCCTGAACTTGGGACATGCTCCTTCTCCAGGATCCGTCCTTCTCTCTGCCCCACCCCTTTGGCTAAAAAAAAGCGATGACACCCTACACTAGCGTTTCTCAAAGCCCAAAGCCCCTGGACGTCTGGGCAGAACCCAGAACGTGCAACGTGTCCTAACAGGCCCCTCGCGATACCGCCACTGCCACCCGGGACCACACTCTGAGACCCTCTGCCTCCCGCACGACACAGCCATCCCTCCCCGTCTCCAGCACGGACCCCACTCGGAGCAGACCCCTCACCTTCCCCGGGGACGCCTCTTGGAAAGCAAAGCGGCTGGCCCCACACGATCGCCTACAGCCTCCCGCCCTCAGCACGCAGGGTGAGACCGCACGGACGGCTCGAAGCACACACGTCACGGTCTCGGATTCATTAGAACGTCTGCCAAGAACAACTCGGAGACTTTACGGCCCAAATAAAACTCTTGTGGTGGTGGTGGCAGCCTGCAAGCCTCTCCCCTGCAGTGACCACCTGAGCGTGAGGTGCTTGGGGGGGGGGGGGGGGAACCGAGGAAGCCGGCGGAGGCAGAGGTGGGCCGCGGGGGACCCGCCGGGCCGGCTGGAACCGGGGTACAGACCGCCCTCTCTCCGAGGCTGGATGGGAGCCCTCCAGAGCGGCCTGCGCGTGGCAGATGCGTGACAGTGAGCCGGCCGCTGTCACAGTGCTGGCTGGCTGGCTGGCTGGCTGGGAAGGCCTGGGAGGCCAGCTCCCCCTCAAGGCTCCACCCACTGCCTTCTCTCCAGGAGCCACTAAGGGACTGGCTCTAAGGTCACAGCCCCCCGACGGACGGCCGTGCCGTCTCGTTTCCTGAAGGGTCAACCCATGAACCGGGAGATCAGGGTTCGATTCCCAGCCAGGACACATGCCCGGGTTGCAGGCTCGATCTCCAAATAGGGAGCATGGAGGAGGCAGCCAGTCCATGATTCTCTCTCATCATGGATGTTTCTATCTCTCCCTTCCTCTCTAAAATAAAATTTTTTCAAAAAACAAACAAACAAAAAAAAGAACAAGAACATGACTGCACATCCGTGTGCAGAAGCGGGGAGAGGTTCACGGTGGCTCCCTCTGAGGTGCTGGCTGCAAACGCCTCTCCCCCCGCTGGACACGGCCGCGGCCGGCCAGCTGCAGCAGCTCAGCGTTCAGGAAATGAGCTTCAAGAATGCGATCCGTCTGCGATGCCTCCAGTTCACCGCGCCGTCGTCCAGCTCTTGCTTGCTTTCTCACGGCGCTGCCAGCGAAGCGAAAGTTCAAACGAGGGGACAGATCGCATCCCGTGCCCCGGGCGACGGCCACGGGCGGCCTGAGGCCCCGGAGCCGGGGGGGGGGGGGGGGGGCCGGTGCGCAAGGTCACTTCGAGGCCACGGGATCGAGCCGAGGGATCGAGCCTGCAACCGAGATCCACGGAGTCCGCAAAGAAAGCTTAGCATCCTCTCCCTGGCCCCAGTCCTTCCCTCTGTGTCCCCCTCCCGCCCTTCCGGATTCCACCAGCGGCCCTCTGCCTTCTTCTTGCGTTCCGCGAAGTCTCTCGGCTCTATTCCTTCTCACGGCGCTTTCCGTTTTCCAAAGGATGTGTCCGCTGCCCCCGGAGGATATAACATTCTTCGGGGAGTCACTCGGCACCTTCCTGACACCTGTTCCAATAGGACGGCGTGCGGTCGCGCAGGCTGGGCTGCTCCCGAAGGGTCCCCACGCCGCAGACTTTTCGCCAAGACAAATTCCTGCTGCTGCTCTGCACGTGGTGTGGCGTGGAAACGCGGGCAATCTTATAAGCGACCAGGAGTCTGGTAACTGTTTGTTGTTATTAATCCTCACCCGAGGATATTTCCTCACTGATTTTTAAATTTTTCATTTATTTCTCTTTATTTTTTATTTTTAGAGAGACTGGAAGGGGAGAGATGGGAGAGAGAAACATCGATGTGAGAGAGACACATCGGTGGGCTGCCTCCCCCACGTGCCCTGACCAGAGCCGAGGATGGCGCCTGCCATCAAGGTCCATGCATGCCCTTGACCAGAATCGAACCTGGAACCCTCCAGTCCACAGGCTGATGCTCTATCCGTTGAGACAAACTAGCTGCTGGGGCAGTGGCCGGCAAACTCATGAGTCCACGGAGCCAAATAACAAACAGCCCGACGATGGAAATTTCTTCGGAGAGCCACATTTTTTTTTTTTTTTTAAGCTTAAACTTCTTCTAACGCCACTTCTTCCACATAGACTCGCCCAGGCCGTGGCGTTTTGTGGAAGAGCCGCACTCAGGGGGCCGAAGAGCCGCCTGTGGCTTGCGAGCCGCAGTTTGCCGACCACAGAGCTGGGGCACGGGCACGGCTTCTTAACCTCCCGCAGCCCAGCGCTGCCGAGGGTCCGGGCTGGTCCCAACATCTCCAGCTCAGCACGGCCCTGGCAGCCCAGCCTCGGCCAGGAAGGGGTGGGCAGAGCCTGGGGTCGCAGTCACCCCCTCTCTTCCCACTCCGATGGAGTTCCGTCTCCGTTGCCAGTCCCGGGGAAGCTGCTCCGGGTTCCAGCCCCGTTGGCACCCCGCGATCCAGCCAAACTGACGTCAGCTATTTGGGGCAGGAAATACCTTCCTTCCCTGGAGCGGACGTCATGGCTTTGCAATGACAGGGCCACGGACACGCTTCCAGAGCCTGACGCCACCTCTGAGGACTCTCGGAAATGTAAATACAGCGGAGCCGCATAAACAGAACGCGGCGGAGCCTGGAGCCCCTGGGCTCTGCGGCTCCGGGCGGCGCACACAGCCTGCCCAGCCTTCCGAAGCGAGACTCAGAGAGAGGAGATGCCACAGCCCACCCCTGTGCCCACTGGGAGCACGGGGCAGGGGATGGAAGGAGGGCGGGCACAGGGTTACTCTGCAGGCCCCTACACAAGGAAGGGAGGATCTGTTCTCACTGTTTCCCTCCTTCCAATGTCTCTGGAGCCCTAGCCAGTTTGGCTCAGTGGGTAGAGCGCCAGCCCATGGACTGAAGGGTCCGGGGCTTGATTCCGGTCAAGGGCAGGTACTACCTCGGTTGCAGGCTCGACCCCCCCACCCCCCCCCACCCCCCCGTCCTGGCCGGGGCGTGTGCAGGAGGCAACCGGTCAATGCGTCTCTCTCTCACATCGATGTTTCTCTCTCTTGGTCTCTCCCCTCCCTTCCACTCTCTCTAAGAATCAGTGGAAAAATATCCTTGGGTGGGGGGGAGGGGGGGGAAGATTAACCAAACAACAAATGCCTCAGGAGACAAGACAGCGGGGAGGAGTCCACCCAGCAGGAGCAGGGCCGCGTCTACTGAGCCGCTGTGGGGACGTGAGGTGTGGCAGGATTTCCTTGACACTCCGCATGGCCCAATAAAGTTTTATTGACTGCCCGTGTGTTCATGTACCCTCTGCGGCTGCTTTCTTGCTAAAAGGGGCCCCACAATCCCTAAACGAGTCCCTACTCAGCCTTTCACAGGTGGAGGGGGCCACCTCGGGTTCTGTGGCCCAGAATTCATCTGCGTGGCGTTGCCCGTCCCCCACGCCTTGGAGCCACGCCTGTCCTCACACATGCCACGCACACACATGCACACACGCGTGCACACGCCAGCTCTCCACCTCCCAGCGCTTCCACCGGGTGTCTCGGGCACAGAGCGCCATGCCAACCTGGTCAGCCTACGCCCCCTGCTTTCTCTTCTCCCTGCGTTCCGGCCGCCTTGCAAACCGAGTCCCCAGGCCCTCTGTCCCCTCCTGGCTCCGGCCAGAGTACCCTTAGGGAAGGAGGGCCCAGCATGCAGCTCCCTCTGGGGGACCAGGGCAGACTAAACAACAGAAAGCCACGGCTTGGGCAGGAATTTAGGATCCCTAGTCCACGAGGCCCGCCCGCCGCCGCTGGCAGGGCCCAGCTCAGCCCCTTGGCCCCGTTCCTTTATCTAAGGCACAGCGCCCTCACATGGCGCCGGAGGGAAGGGCAGCCCCGAGAGCCTGCAGGACGGACATGAGCCCTCATGGCTCCGATGCCCTCTGCAGAGGGCCCGGCGCTCCCTTGCGTGCTCTCTCCCGCTCGCTGGGGATTGAGACCGATGCGATCCAGATTCCCACCCCCCCCAGCTCCTCCGCACAGATAGCTAGCTACTCGCTGGAAACTTTACACCGGGAACGTCTACACTCTGACCTCCGCCGCCGAAACTCACGAAACCGCAGCAAATGGGATTCAGATGTTTCCACGTACGGGCTGCGGGGATGTGACCTAGACTTTTAAACACTTTGGCAGCAGTGGGCCTTCCAGTCCCTCCCGAGCGCGATCCGGCCTTGACCCGGGTCCTACCGCGAGGCCGGGGCCTTTCTCGCTCCGGCTTCGCCCTCCTCGCCCACGGCCCACGCTCTCTGCCCCCCCTCCCCTCCCCCCTCCGCCCACGGCCCGTGTTCCCGGTTTCACCAGGGAAATCCATCTCTCCTGGCTGAGCACAAGGAGATCGCATTCCGAGCGGGACGCAGACGCGTCCGGACTGAGGTGCTGGCGAGGGCCCGTCCCCGGACGTTTCCCAGGGGGCGCCCTCCATCGCTCAGGAGAAAACGGAACCGTCCTGGGGACCGGGACCCCAGGCCGCCTGGCTTTGCCATGGCAGCGCGAGGAAGGGCCAAGGGATTCTAGAAGCGGCAACCAGGTGAGCTCGGGGCCGGGGGAGCAGCTCCTTGCGCCTGGGAAGGGCAGACACACAGTGACGGGTGTTAGAAACTGCTTGCCGGGCCGGGTGGCTCAGTGATTGAGCATCACCCTCCGGAGGGTTGGATTCCCAGTCAGAGCGCGTGCCCTGGTTTGCGGGCTCGATCCCCAGGAGGGGACGTGCCAGAGGCAGCCGATCCATGATATTCTCTGATCGCTGATGTTTCGCTCCCTCTTTTCCCCTCTCCCTTCCTCTCTGAACTCCATAAAAAAAAATATGTATATATATTTTAAAAAATAAGTAGATAAAAACAAGAAACCGCTTCGCCCGCAGCCAGGCACGGCGGCAGACAGAGCGGCAGCTGTGTGGCTCCTGCCCTGAGCCTCTGCCAGGCTTGCTGGGGACAGCCTGCCCTCCGCAGGCCCGAGGAGGAGCTGGGAAGCACCTGCTGGGCATGCGTGCAGCTGGGTGACCCCTGGGGGTCCAGGCAGGTGCCCGGAGCACCGGTGCCCCCGATGCAGGGGGCGGGCGCAGGGTCCTGGAGACAGAGGAAGCGCTGTGGCCACAGCTGGGGGCTTCTGGAGACAGGGCGAATCTTATGTCCGAGGTCAGCACTCCTCGGGCCTGGCTCCGGGCGGGGGCCCCACAAACGCCTACTTGTCATGTAAGGGAACGGGCATCCTCTCCCTCCCGGTTCACAGCCAATTAGAGCGGGTCAGTGGCCTGGGGGAGGGGAGAGGAGAGGAGAGTCCCCCAAACTCCCTTTCCCATGCACAGGGGTCTCCAAGGCACAGAAGGGCGGCCAACGAACGCCCCCACACCCGAGAGGAGGCGAGAGGGACGCCAACAGGTGTCCCCCCTGGAGTGCACACGCGCCAATGTGCACACGCCAGCCGAAACCGGTTTGGCTCAGTGGGTGGAGCGACGGCCTGCGGTCCGAAAGGTCCCCCGGGTTCGATTCCGGTCAACCAAGGGGCATGGACTTTGGTTGCGGGCACATCCCCAGTAGGAGGTGTGCAAGAGGCGACTGATCGATGACTCTCTCTCATCGATGTTTCTAGCTTTCTATTCCTCTCTCTGTAAAAACTCAATTATATATATATATATATATATATATATATATAGATTTTTTTTTTTTTTAATAGTGCACACGCTCTATACCTGGGCCAACAGAGGGGGGAGAGAGAGTGTGCCTGTCTGTCTGGGGGCCTGACGGGCTGAGACACATCCCCCTGTGTCTGCGGTAAAGCAGCAGCCCCTGGAGGCTTAAGCTGCCATCCCACCAAGACACCCCAGCCAAACCCCAGCCCTCCCAGGGAGCGGGGGACCGTCCCCTGCGCTGCCGCAGCCGGAGGGGCAGACCCAGACGCGGGGGAGGGGAGGGGAGGGGAGGGGAGGGGCGCGGGCAGTACCAGGCCTCCGGCGGCGCCGCAGGTGCTCACGGAGACCAGGGAGCCCGGGTGGCCCAGCACGCGGCCCGAGTAGAAGCAGAGCTCGGCGGCGGGGCGGCCGCGGCGCCAGGCCTCGCCGGCCTCCTCCACCTCGAAGCGGCCGGACAGGAAGCGCAGGTCGCGGCGCAGCTGCAGGTACAGGTCGCGCCCGAAGGCCGGCAGGTGCAGCAGCAGCGCGCGCTCGCCGGGCGGCGGCGGGGGGCGGCGAGGGGCGGCCGGGGGCGCGCGCGGGGGGCGCCGCCGCCGCCGGGGACCCGGGGGGACCCCCGGCAGCAGCACCCCCGGCAGCAGGTGCACGTCGTCCGGGCGCACCCGCCGCGGGAGCACCACCTCCACGTCGGCCGCCCCGTCGCCGCCGGCAGCTGCAGGGGAGAGAGGAGACGTGTCAGCGCGGCGGGGCCCACCCACCCTCCAGCCATCCCGCCGGTCCTCCCGCCGGTCCTCCCGCCGGCAGCGCCAGGGGCCAGACAGCCACCGGACAGCGCGATCCCGAGCGGGTGCGCCCTGCCCAGCCCTCGCCCTGGCGCCTCCGGGGCCGCCAGCGCCTCCGCCCGGGGCCCGACCACCCCGGGGAGGTCCCCCGTGCAGCCGCCCGGCTCGGAGCCCCATCCTGCGGCCTGCGCCTCGTCGGCCGGGGCGCTGTCAGCCGATCGATCCGATCGATCCGATCGGAGCCCGGGCAGCGCTGCACGGCCGGATGCCTCGGGAAGGCAGAAGCGAGGGGGTCGGCGAGGAAGGGCGGCGGGAGGAGGGGAGGGGGGCGATCCGCTACCTGTGCCCGGGTCCACCAGTCCCCAGATCAGCAGCAGCAGCAAGGGCAGGGCGAGGGGGGGCAGCAGGGCGCCGTCACACATGGTACCGGGGAGGAGCAGCCCCCCGGGTGGATGGCGGCGGAGCAGGGGCGCGCGAGGCGGCGGCGGCGGCGGCGCCAGCCGGAGCGGAGAAGCCCTCCTCCGGCCTCTCTTGGAAAAAGTAATTAGCGCTGCGGACAAACCCAACGTGGTGAGCGCCGAGGCCCCGCCCCCTCCCCGCAGAGGAGGCGGTGATTGGGCGCCGGCTTTCCCCCGCCCCGCCTCCCCCTCGCCCATTGGCCAGGGCGGGTGAAAACCAGGGTGTGTTGTTAGGTTGTAAGCACTTTTCTTACACGTGGTTTCTGGGCAGTGGCGGGGACCGGGCGCCAGGTGGCGCGCGACCCCGGAGGACCCAAGAGGGGACACCTTGAGGGACCACCATGGGGGGAGGGGGGAAGTCTTTTAATCTTGAGAGTTTCTCAAGTTTGAAGTCCCCTGATTTGCTGCCCCTGCTGCACACGACCTGGCCAACCACATCATCCCTGAAAGAGCATTCTCGCTGCATCTGGATGTTTGCCGCTGGGCACTTGCTTGCACACACACACACACACACACACACACACACCTCTGTCTGCACCTGACTGCTGGCTACTCCAACATAGCAGAATTTCTCCAGACCCTTCCCACCACCTGCTGTCTTTATCCTCACAGAAGCCAGGGGAACAGGTATGGTCACACCCTCTTACAGATGGAGAAACGTCATGGTGACCTCTTTGGTGCAGCTTTTGTTGGCCAAAGAGCCACTCAAAGGCCTGCCTCAGACAGTCCGTGAGTAGCAGCCAGGAGAACCGTTACTTATGCCTCTGAAGTCAGCCTGAAGGAGTCACTGTCAACCTAACAGACGCAGGCAGACTAAAGCAGCAACTAGATAACAACTAGTCTGTGCAAAACTAAAGAGCTGGGAAACATCAGAAATTGGAGAGCAGCCCTTACTGGTGTGGCTCAGTGGATAGAGCTTTGGCCTGCAGACTGAAGGGTCCCGGCTTCAATTCCGATCAAGGGCATGCACCTTGGTTGCGGGCACATCCCCAGTAGGAGGTGTGCAGGAGGCAGCTGATGGATGTTTCTCTCTCATCGATGTTTCTAACTCTCCCTCTCCATTCCTCCCTTAAAAAAAAAAAAATTCAATAAATTGTATTAAAAAAAAGAAAAGGAAAGGAAATTGGAAAGGACACTCTTGTGCACATGGCTGGGAGTATAACCTGGTGCAGCCACTATAAGGAGTAGCCGAACAATCAGCAGTAACACTTTAAATGCATGCACCCAGCAACTCGGTAATTCCCATCTGGTTACCTGCCATGGAGACACAATGACACAAGGACAAGAATGGTCGCCACAGCACACATAAACTGCAAAAACCTGTATGTCCATCATCAGATGCATGGCTAACAGAACACCGGGCATCAATAAACGAAAATGGGGTGATTTGGGGTTTATAATCACAATGGAGAGGCATCCAAGACTAGTTGACAGAACTTTTTTTTTTTTTTTTTTTTAATCAAGTTGCACCCAGCGCGGCAGTTGAGCATCAACCAATGAGGTCACAGTTCCATTCCCTGTCTTGGCGCATGCCCCAGTTGGTTGCAGGCCCGATCCCCAGTAGGGGACTTGCAGGAAGTAGCCGATGGATGATGCTCTCTCATCATTGGTGTTTCTATCTCTCCCTCTCCCTTCCTCTCTAAAAGCAATCCTATATAATAAAAGGCTAATATGCAAATTATCCCCTTGACTAGGAGTTCCTCCAGTTCGACCAGGGGGCGGGGCCTGCCAGCCAACCACCCAAGGCCCCTTCTGCCAGCCGGCCTGGCCCGATTGGCCCCAATTGGGGTGGACCAGCCAGACCCCACCTGTGCACAAATTCTGGGCCTCAGTAAAAGCATATTTTCTTTAAAAAGAAAATCACTAGTTGCCATAATCTCATTTCATGTTCACACACACAAATAGCCTTGTCTTAATTTTTTGGAAGGGCGTGGCTTAAACCCATTATACAGATGGGAGAGTCAGGGGTCAGAGGGAGACGAACACAAGACACGCAAGCCCACCGAAGCCCTACAGGTGGCAGCAGAGGCCTGAGTGTGACGTGCGGGGCCGCTGGCCTTGGTTGGCTCTGGGTCAAAACAGCTCCTTATCGCCGAGGTGGCCTATCCATCCGTCCACCTGCGTTTTGTGAACAACTCTCTTTCCCATCACGCTGCTGGCGCAGACACCAGCAGGTTGGTCACGTGCCTCTCTTGGACCCTTCATTTGATTTTAGGAAATGCCGATGGTGGTGGCTCAAACTGGTCAAGTGACTGATGTGTGTGTGTCTCTCTCTCTCTCTCCCTCTCTTCCCCCCCTTCCCCTTCCTCTCTCCGAAATCAATAAATCTGCATTTTTTAAAACTCAGCCATGACCGCTCACAGTATTCACAGCTGAAGGGATGGCCGAGGGACAGGAGGCTGCTGCTGGTGAAGGTGCTGACCGCTGCTATCGCGTAGCACGTGTGCCCGCGTCAAAGCTTACCCGGCCGTGCCCTTCAGACCGGTGCCATGGGGGCGAGCTCCCCCCGAAGCTGTGGTGGGAGGCAGCGTTGGGTTGAAAATGTGAATCACGGGGCACTGTGTTTATGGAATGAGAGCACGAAACGACGCTGTATTTCGAAGCAGACGGAGGACAAGGAAAACATACGTTGAACATACAGACGACCTCCCTCTCTCGGGGAGTGGGAGGCGAGGGATTAAGAGGAAAATCACGGAAGAGAATGAAGAGGGTTCTGGGTGGCCGGTGAGGGCACCAGGCAGTGGGATGGGGTCCGAGCTAAGACCCATCCCCGGAGGAGGGCAGGAAGGAGTGCGAGAGAAAGCCGGAGGGAGGGAGAAGAGAAAGAGTTGGAGGGAGGGAGAAACCTAAGGGGAAGGGCGAGGGGTGCGGGGACAGACAGACACTGAGCGCTGACACACAAATGCGTTTTGTACAAATGACTTCTCCCGTTCCGCTGCAAACGTGCCTCTGGCTAAGGGCCAGACCCAGGCTATCTAAGGGTGTAGCTGCCTGGTTATCAAATTCCCCCTCCCCGGAGCCTTCTGGAAGTGGCTGCCAAGAACACAAGGGGGGGAATCCAGCCCCCTCCCCCCCTCTCTCTCTCCCTCTTTTTTTCCGTTGGACCTGATTTCACGGTTTCCTCGCTTTATTTCTCCCCGGGGACCCCTTGGGCCCCGCTGCAGGTGGGGTGGGTCGTGGGATTCGGGTCAGGCGCTAGGGTTTCACAAGCCTGCACTCGTGAGCCTGCGGGTGAGACGGATGCCCAGGCCCTGCTCAGAGCCACGGCCCCCCAGCCCGGTGTGCAGTCCCGAACCCTCGCCTTCCTCTTCCTCCGTGTCCTGAGGCAGGGTCCCAGCTTCCTTCCCCAGGGTCCCAGCCCATCCCGAGCCCCAGCGTGTGGGTGTGGGGAGGGAGGGGGGCTCTGCCTGCACCCCTCCATTTGCTCATCCCTCTGGCACCCCCCTGCCTGGCTCGCCCTGTTAGCTTCTCGTGGTCCTGAGCACTGGAAGCTCACAGCCTGTGGCTATTGGGGTTGCCTGCAGGGGAGCGAGAAGAGGTGGGGGGGTGAGGGAGGCAGGAGGGGGCAGGCCATGAACTGGGCTGGTGCTGGCGCTTGCTCTGGGAGGCATGGGCAGGTCCCACCCTCTTCAGCCTGGAAACATTTTATGATAAAACAAGGTCCCGGGAACCAAAGCAGAGGTCAAATGGGCGGGCGGGCGGGCGGCCAGAGGCACATGGGCTTCTTCAGATGGGCAGGTGGGAGGGGCCACAGAACAGCCAGCTGTGGTCACGTGCCACCCTGAGAAGTGGGGGAGGGATGTCAAAGTCGGGGGGTGGGGTGACTCGGGGAGGAGGTGGAGGCTGGTAGGGATGGAGGGGCCGAGCAGAGGGCGGGGTGGGGGGAGAGTTAGGAGGAGCCTGGGAAGGAGAAGGGAGAGGGGACCTTTGCCCACTCTGATCAGACACTTGCTGGCTCATTCACACCCCAGCCCACCTCTCTCTCTCTCTCTCTTTCTCTCTCTCTCTCTCTCTCTCTCTCTCTCTCTCTCTCTTCTCTCTCTCTCTCTCTCTCTCTCTCTCTCTCTCTCTCTCTCTCTCTCCTGTTCTCCCTCCCTCCCGGTCCCGTGTGTGCTTGCAGTCCCTCTCTGTCACACACACCCTGACTCCCAGGCCTGGACTGTGTGCCCGGCGGTCGGGCCGCCGTGGTGCTGGGAGGCTGAGCCGGCCCCCGCAGGAGCCCACAGACTCCTCCCCTCCCGCCCACAGTGGCCACAGGCCAGATGTGCTCCTGAGAAGCTCCAATCAGAGTGGCCACACTGACCGCCGTGCTCTTGGACGTGCCTCCTGGACCCAAAGCCCATAATTTGACTTGGCTTACTCAACTGTCCCAGGGTTTTGAGCTTTTTAATTTTATTTTTTTTTCTCTCGCTCTATATTTTTATTGATTTCAGAGAGGAAGGGAGAGAGTTAGAAATAAAAACATCCAGGATGGGAGACAATCATGGATTGGCTGCCTCCTGCACGCCTCGTACTGGGGATCCAGCCCAAAACCCAGACAAATGCCCCGACTGGGAATCAATCCGTGACCTCCTGGTTCGTAGGCAGATGCTCGACCACTGAGCCACACCGGCCAGGACCCCTCTTCTCCTTCACCAGAGCTTGAGGGCCCCCTGGTGGAAGGTTTTATTCGAAAGGACCAGGAGTTTGGCCACTGGGCGAAAGGCCCCTTCATGTGTTTATTTTTGTTTTTTATTACCGGTATATTTTTTATTGCGTTCAGAGAGGAAGGGAGGGGGAGGGATGGAAACATCCGGGATGTGAGTGAGTCACTGATCAGCTTTGGTTTAGGGATTTGGTGCCCACGTTCACGAATGACAGCCTTTAATGGTTCGTGTTTTGTTTTTTCCCTAATAAATACTCTTGTCAGATTGTAGTGTCCAGATTGTGCTGGTCTTATAAAACAAGTGTGGATGTGTTCCTTCCCTTGGTCTCTGGAAAAGTTGGCGTGACGCTTGTGTAAATTCTTGCTTAAATATTGCAAGAATTCCAATATCGGGGCCTACGGACTGTTTTGTGGGGCTGTGTGTGAATTTTATAATTTCAGGTTTAATTTTGTCTTATCCAGACGACAATTTCGGTAGCTATTTCCTCGTGTGCCCGTTTTGACAAGTGGTATTTTTCTAGGAACTTATGCATTTTACTCACACCTTTCGATATATAGACATAGTGAGGGAACGGGCTCTTTTAAAGGTATTTCTGGTATTAAAGGTTTTCAGGCAAAAGGAAAAGCTGAGGTCAAACAGCACCAACCATCTGAGAAAGGCGCCAGCTTGCATTCTCCCGTTATCTGCCCGATGTCTGCTTTGTCTGTGTGACGGATCTGGGGTTCACTAGCCTGCGTCAGGGCGCGTCCCCATCTCTCAGCGTGTGAACCTGCTGGTGGGAACCAAGTGAGTGGGGCTCCCCAGGCACCCTCAGTGCTCCCCGGAAGCACCCAGACGTGCTGACATGCAGATTTCTGTGTCACACCCCAAAGCATTGGATTGAAACATGCAGTGGGCACCAGGCGAGGCGTGGTAGGTAGGTCACAGGGATGCTGATGGACCCGGTTTCCCTCCATCCCCGATGGACCAGTGAGAAAACAGCCCCAGGACGGGTGCCCGCCCGAGCCCCTCAGAGTGCCTCTGCCGCAGGGCCCTGCTGCCAGGACTTGTGAGTCCCAGCTTGTAGGTGTCTGTCTGTCTGCACTGTCACCTCTTGTTGGTGCCCGTAGCCACGGCCAGCAGCCCCACTGTGCTAACGCGGCTCTGTGGCCCCTGCTTCCTGGAGCTGGCAGGGCGTCTCTCGAGCCTGGAGGACCGGCAGGTGGCTCCGCACCAGGTGAGACCAGTCACAGCTCTAAGAAGCCGGGCAGCGTGTGCGCCGAATGTACTCCATCCCGGTGTGCCGGCCCCGTCTTGGCTGCGCTGTCAATCATTCCCACGACAGTCACGTTGGGGCACAGCGGCTGCACTTTTACGACGTCACCGGGCACAGCCTGAGCCCCCGTTTCCCGTAGGTAGAGCGGCTGCTCTGCAACCAGCCACGCGCACGCCCCACGGCGTACCTACCAGAGGCAGGCGAGGGCCCCGGCCACCAGAGATGGCAGAGACCGGCGCATGGATACCACCTCCACCATTCCAACAAGAACAGAGAGAACTAGAGGGCAGAGCAGCCAATAGGCAATTCTTTACCGTAAGCGAGAAGATACTGGGTACAGAGACAACACCGCAGTGAGTCAAAGAACAGACACTCTGCCAACTGAAAACACTGGAAAACGCTCTCCTGCCACCAGAACAGCAACAAGGTAACGGCAATAACAGTCCCACGGCGGTGCCCTGAGGAGCGCGGGCACGCTGGGCTCTAGCATAACGTTATGGGGACAGCGCACTGGACTCGCAGGGGCCGGCAGGGCTGCGCAGAGGACACGTGCCACCTGCTTTCCCACCGTCCTAGTGCGTTCTCAAAAGGAGGCTGCACTGGGGGAAGAATTCAGAACGGTGTGGGTTTCGGTTTAACCGGAAGGTTTTAAAAATATCTCTTTAGTTAAAAAGAACTAAAATTAAAAAATAAAAAATAAAAAGACAACAACAACAAAAAAGACACCAACATCTGTGAAGTAAAACACAAGGTCAGGTACCTGTCCTGAGCACAGAGCCGTCCTGCTCCGGGGCCGCAGCCCAGCCGGCGGGGCCTGTGTGGACGCGTGAACGGTGCCCACGGTCCTAGCTGTCCCTTGGCTTAAATACGGGCCCTGAGTGAAATGAGACGAAGGTGCACAGTGTGACCAAAGCGTCTGAGAGAGAGGGGGTGGGGAGGGGTGCACGTGGTGCCCGCTTTTCTTTCTGCTGGGAGTGGTCTCTCCTCGGCCAGCAGACGCCTAAGGCGCCCGGGGCCTGCCCTGCATGCTGGGCTCAGGAGACGTGCCCCCCCGCGGGGACTGAGCCCCGAAGCCCCAGCCCCTCCATCCTCCCAGAGACGCAGGTGGCCTGGGAGCTGTCTGGACGGCTGGGTGTCTGCCAGGCTGCCGCTGGCTCTGCTCTGCTCTTTGGCAGTCTGGCTGGTGGCAGGGGAGATGAATGGGTAGCGCCCTCCCGCTGGGTCTAAGGTTTCCTCTGGGCCAGGAGCTCACACGCATACGGTGCCCAGAGGCTCCGGTTTCCCGGGGATGGTGGCTCAGGGAGCAACCTGACCGGCCCCAGGGCCTGCTGGGTAGCTCTGAGAAGAAAAGGAGGCCAGGCCAGTACAAGGCGAAAAGGTGGAATGGGATCCAAACTCCCCTGGGACAGCTAACAAATAAATAGTGTCAGGGTAGAATGGAAAGGGCCTCTGGGCGTTCGCATTTCCAGAAGAACCCAAGGGCTGAGCGGGACGTTTTAAGTCAGTGTCTAGCCTTCAGGCCCATGCAGTGCCCGGCTCAGCCTGGTTCTCCCCCAAAGGGGGCGGGGGTCTCCGGGGACGGTTCAGTGACAATAACCCCCGAGTTGCCTTCTCTGGTTGGATCCTTCCTCCGAGCCTGTGAGGTAGGAGGGACGGTATTCTTCCCCTTGGACAGACAAGCGGCAGGCTTGGGAGGTTTCAAACAAGCCGCTGTCCCATCACCTCTCAGTCGCTCTGGGCAAGGAGCTCTCTGCGGCCCAGCCCAGGGGAGGAAGTGGGCGAACTGCCCTGCTGCCCTCGCTCGGATGGGCAAGGCGGGCAGGGCAAAGGGGGCACGTGAAGTGCCACCATCTCCAAGGACGGCCCCTGGAGAACCTTGGAGCGCCCGGCCGGCCTGGTCCTGCCTGCGGCACACCCACGGGAACGCGTATATTGAACATTTAACACAACCCGACAACGCTCGTCTTAAATACATCTGAAGGGGCGCTGGGAGGAGGGAGGGCGGACCTGGGGTCCCTGTGGGTCCTGGTGGCAGGAGGGACCCGCGTGGGCGTCCGCTAACGCCCGTGGTGACCGTTGGGAAGGAGGCTCCGGTCGGGCCCGAGGCCGTTCTGCAGACAGTCTCTCTCCTTGTCTTTGGCCGCCTCTTCCTTCCCCTGGTCCTCCTCCTCTCCCTCTTCTTCGTACTCCTCGTCCTCATCATCGCTCCTCACGTCCTGGATGTTCTGGACAAAGCAGAGAACGGACTGTGAGTGACAGCTGGCCAGCTCGGCTGGAATGAATGAATGAATGAATGAATGAGTGGGCCCAGGTCAGAGCCGTGGCCCCCGTCCGTCAGAGGAAACCTGCATCCAAACGAGCAAACACGCACCAGGGCAGGGCAGGGCATGAGCTCGAAGCAAACCTCCGCACACTTAAAGGACTGACACGGGCGAAGCATGCTTTAGGTCAGGACAGAATTACACAGAAGACGGCGGCGATGTGGCTCAGTGGGTAGAGCGTTGGTCTGCGGACTCAGGGTCTTGGGTTTGATTCTGGTCAAGGGCAGATCCCCAGTAAGGGGTGTGCAGGAGGCAGCCAATCAATGATTCCCTCTCATCGTTGATGTTTCTTTCTCCCTCCCTCTCTAAAATCAGTAAAAATGTTATTTTTAAAAACCAATGGGATAGATAACCTCCTCGGGGGGGTAGGCTTAACAGAGAAAAGCAGACGCACACCTCCCGCCCCTGGCCCGGGCTTGGCGGAGCTGCTTGAGCCGAGAGGTGAGCTGGTCCTCGAGGGAGCCCCACCGCTCCGGGCCACAGTGTCAGCACCCTCACTTCCAGGAAGAGGCCCTGCACCACGCGAGAACTTGGGTTCGCGGTGGGTCCCACAGTCACGGAGGGGGCAGGGCTGGCACGCCGCACCCCCGCGGTGCAGGCTGCCAGGATGGGCTGCCGGGCCTGCGTGCAGGTGGAGCCCTGGTTACGACTGCCTGAGCCTGGAGCCTAAGGCCGCCGTCACTCAGGCGCAGCCATTGCTGCCTGGTTTCAATATATTCTCCATTTTCCAGGAATGCGGCGATGCCCATAAATCAAAGGAAGACTGTGCTCCTTGTTGTTCAGAACCTCACAGTTTTAGAAAAGCATGCCACCAGCGGCAAGACTGCCAGTGCCGCCCGAGTGCCCGGCGCAGCCCCGGTGCCGGCTGCGGGCACAGCTGCCCCGCTCACAGTCGGTCCACACACAAGCAGATGGCATCTATCGACTACCGCTGGGCGAAGCCACACACACGTGTTACACGTGAAATGCATGTTTATCGGAAATGTCTCGCATCTCACTTCTTTTCCATTATGGCTGCGGCATTGCGCTGCTTTCTGACATGACGGCTAGAGGTGAGTCATAGGACCCAGGACTTTAATTTCCGGCTCCTGCCGGGGTGCGGGTCCGGCAGGGTGGAGGGCCCCGGCCCGAGATGGCGGATCAGGTTCAGAAAGGACTTCCTGGGACTGAGCGCTCGTGTGATGGACATGTAGGCGGCTGCGCGTGACAGCATCTTGGGTAATGTAAACTGGAAACTGTGAGGCAGCAGCAAAACCCCACGTTACATCCAAATGTATCGTGTATGTGCGATCTGTAACCTCACGGCCACAGGCATGAAACCCTGAAGGGGATGTGTTTTCTGCCCTAAAATCTCCTTCTTCACCTGACACCTGACATCGCCGCAGTGGCACCTGGGCCGGGAGCCAGCTGCCCGGCTCGGTGGAGCTCACCGGCGCTCTGTGATTTGGCACAAAGAACGGGAGTCAACAGTGCTGCTGCTGCTGCTGCTGCTACTGCTGACAGCTCGCACTTACCACGTGCTTCCTGTGGGCCAGGTCCCAATCCCCTCAACCCCATGTCACAGGGGAGGAAACTGAGGCAAGGACTAGATCACAGCCAGGGGGTGGGAGAGCTGGGATCTGAAGGTACAGGAGCCTGTGCTCTCAGCTAGTGCCCTGCTTGCTGGGCAGGAAGTTACTTGGGATTAAAAAAAAAAATTATTATAAAACGTCTTCTTATGCTTTTAAAAAGTCCCAAAATAAGTTAGTTTGTCACTGCATTTTAATTTGTGATCTTGGTTGGTCAATGTATTTATGTACTCACTATTATGCACTTCATACAAACATTTTACATTCATTTTCTAGTTATTTCAAATGAGGAAGTGTGTGAGCTGGGCTGGTGTGGCTCAGTGGTTGAGCAGCAACCCTCACACCAAGAGGCCGCTGGTTTGATTCCCAGCCAGAGCACATGCCTGGGGTTTGGGCTCCATCCCTGGTTGGGGTGTACAGGAGGCAGCGATCGATGTTTCTCTCTCATTGACGTTTCTCTCTCTCCCCCTCTCCCTTCCTCTCAGACATCAATGTAAAAAAAGACTCAGCGTTTGCGTGAAGAGTGACTAGAAAAGGCGGAGCGTTGAGTGCAGGGACTCGGGCCCGGGCCCGGCTGCGCGGCAGTGACTGTGACCTTGCTGCAGGCCTCGCTTTCTCCGCGGCTGTGAGGGCTCCTGTGTCACGTGTCACTCGGTGAACTCGGGGCGCACTGCCTGGCGAGAGCAGCTGCGGGGCAGGCTGCCAAGGGGCCGGCCTCTCCCCCTGCCTTTACGGCTCCTCCCTCGCGTCTTGGCCGCGCACCAGGCTAAGATGTCGCAGAGACACGCTCGAGTTGGCCCGCACCCAGCACGCTGTTTACCAGGAAGAAAAGCAAAGCTGAGGGACGATCAAGTCCTAGGGATGGTAACGAGAGCAGGCTGAGCCCCTTTAACGCTCCGACAGCGCTTGTCCTGTTTGTGGGGGACTGACAGGGGAGCCCCCGGGCTCGCCACGCTTCCCGGTGGTGTGCGGGCTGGCAGCACGTCACCACGTCACCACGTCACCACCTGACGGGACCCTGTGAGGGTTCAGAGCCAAGTCTCGGTCTCGAGCAGCCAGATGCCTGCTCCCCACGCTCGGCATATGTCAGGGTCCCGAGATTATAGCACCATTGCTCTTATAAGGCTTGTGACCACATAAGCAAATGGTAGGTCCTCATTCATGGTATGCATGCAATGACCCAATTGTTCAGGAAAAACAAAGTATGACTATTTCAAGAATCACTATTAAGAGGTATAAAGAGCCAAAACTGATTTGGCTCAGTGGATAGAGCTTCAGCCTGGGGACTGAAGGGTCCCAGGTTTGATTTTGGTCAAGGGCATGTACCTTGTTTGCGGCCACATCCCCAGTAGGGGGAGTGCAGGAGGCAGCTGGTTGATGCTTCTCTCCCATTGATGTTTCTAACTCTCTCTCCCTCTCCCTTCCTCTCTAGATCAATAAAATATATTTTTCAAAGAAAGAAGTATAACCACTTTTGTCTTTTGCAGTCTACCATGCAAACTCGTGGAGACCGTAAAAAGATTCATAAATTATTCTCTAACTTTCTACCCAAACAGCGTGGTTTGCTCCCCGCAGTTATGTATACATTTGCATATTCAAAAGTACTTACGAAGAGCCCACCAGGCAGAAGAGACTTAAAGGGACAAATTCTCACTCTCTGTTATACGATTTAAGAGAAATTTTTGGAGGCCTACAATCTTCTGCAATCCCATGTAGTAAATATGGAAGGATTTGTCACTTTAGTAACAACTAAGTTGTGTTACATACTCAATATTTATGAAATATTGCTGAAAACTGACTTGTTCGTTGTTGTTGCTCTAAGAATGTCAACTGTCACCTCAGTCCCCTCCCCAGGGCCCTGTCCCCTCCCCCCGTGCCATGAACGCACTCTGCCTGAAGCAGCATGCTTTCACAGGCGGCCCAGGCTTGGGAGGAACAGGCCGGTTTCGCAGCCAGGTTTGCCACCGCGGAGAGCGGAGTGCACATGCTCGCCAGCTGAAGTCATCGGAACCGCGGCGAGGGGCTGGGGGCCTCCGCCGCCACTGTCAGCTCGCAACTGGAAGCAGCTTTTCCACAGCGCAGCACGGGAAACCAGCACTTCCTGTCCACAGCCCCCGGCCCGCTGGGCTTTTACTCAGGCCTGGTACGAGCCATCAGGGACTTCGAGTTCTGTCCTGCAGGCTCCCTCCGGGCCTGTGGTTGCTGACCCACACCAGGGAATGGACAGTCCCTGCCCAGGGACAGAGCTCCGGGAGGCCTAACCCACAGCTAAGGCGGTTCAGCCCGGTCTCCTTCCCTCCCTCCAACCCCGGGCCTCGCAGCTGTCTAGCAGCTCAGTCGTATCCTTATCTCAGTCACTTCAAGGTTATCAGTCACTTGGAGATAAGGCAGCTCTGCCGGAGGACGGGAGAACTCTTTAGAATGTTAATAGACTAGAACCAGTCAATGAAATGTTTTCTTGGCACTCCAACCTTAATGGAGAATCTACTCTCAGGAAAACAAGCTCAGGTCAGTAATTTAGATTTTTTTTAAAAAAAACACACAGCTTTCAGAATTGGGTGTGGGAAACATGCAGATGGAGCCTGGTTTCCCACCGCTCTGTCTAGATGGAGAAGGGAAGACACGGTGGAAGGTCAGTTATCGCAATGTCCACGTAACTGTCTGCTCCTCGGCGGTCCCCGAGGCCCAGGCACTTCCTCCGGTGGGAACGGAGTTAATCAGAGGGGAGCGTGAGCTCATCAGACAGGTGGCCAGCATCTCCACGGCCTGCAGGGCCCTCTTTCTGACGAGGATGCGGTGCTGTCAGACACAGAGGGCCCACCTTTCACTGGGAAAGAGCCTTGCGAGCCTCAGATGTATGGTTTACACACACAAAGGGAGGCTGTGATCTGATTTTGTTTAACTTGCCTCCAAGGCCAAGTCCAGTCCCGCCTAGTCCATGAAGCACTTCCTACTGACACAGACAGTCACTACAGGTAACTATGCCCCAGATGCGGACTTGCTCATGGCTGAGGCCCGCTCCTCCCTGTTCTGAAGTTAACATCCAGAGCTGAGCTCAAAACAAAACCATATTCTATTGTCTGAACTGTCCTATCGTTGTGTTGTTTAGGAAAACAGATGTTTTCAGGAAAAAATTATTGCCAAATGATATGCAGTATTTCAGAGAGTAGGAGAAAACTCGGGGGAGTACATTATATGCAAATCAGATGCTCTAAAATATTGTTCAACTGTCACCATAAAGCTCGTCTCAACTTGGAGCAAATCTAGACTCATTAGGACATTTTTTAAAAAGCAGCAATCAAGTTTTAGATAAAAATCTCTTGAAATTAACTTGTCCTCTAAGAAAAGCTATTTCTTAAAAGCACCTTTGAGACCTACTTAATGAAAAATCTAGCTAAATTTAGAAAAAAAAATTTTTTAATAATGATCAAAATGTTAAAAAAATAATAATTCTGGTTAACTATAAATTAAGTAGAATATCCCGCTGCTGGGCCTCACCTTCAATCTGGCACTGAAGTCTACTTGCTAAGAATAACAATGCCCAGCCGGTGTGCCTCAGAAGTTGAGGGTCAATACCACCCTGAACGTGACCAATCTCATCTGATCTCAGAAGCTAAGCAGGGTCGGGCCTGGTTAGTACTTGGATGGGAGCGTCAGCCTATGAACCAAGAGGTCCCCACAGTTAGATTCCCAGTCAGGGCTCATGCCGGGCTGCAGGCTCAACCCCCAGTGGGTGGTGTGCAGGAAGCAGCTGATCAATGATTCTCTCTCATCGATGTCTCTCTCTCTTTTTTCCCCTCTGAAATAAACTTTTAAAATACTAAAAAATGAAATCAATAGAAACATATATTAAAAAAAAAAAGAATAAGACGCGGACAGCACTCACCTTCGTGAAAATGCATCTCTTGAGCATCTTCAGGATGAAGTAGCCCCAGTACAGGTGCAGGACCTGCAGGACCATGAGCTGCAGGTTGAGGAAGATGTAGGAAAAGAACGGCTCCAGGTAGAGCATCGGGATCACCAGCGTGCAATATAAGATCCTGGAAAACCAAGCAGACGAGAGAGCTTCGTTCAGGTCCGAGTACTTGGGAATTCTCAGCGAGAGAATAGCTTGTTTTTCCTCCCAAGCATACAGCATTCATTTCATCTCTAACGATGTCCAGGAACTGCTCAGTACACAACCATATGACAGCACTGCCTTTTATGTCATTATTGGCAAGCGCTCTGCCTCCTGGGAGGAAAGGTAGAGCTGGGGGGATGTTTATGGCCACAAGCCTGTGCCCCGATGCTCTGGGGCCTCGGTTTCCTCTCTGCAAACAGAAGAGCATGCACCGACCCCACTCCCCCTCCCAGATCTGGAGAACAAACAAGATCATGTGTGGATATATGGGGTTATTACTACCTAACGACACAGTCTCATTATGTGGCATCAAAGGTGAATGGGGAATTCTACAAAAGTCAGTTTTCCGGATAAAAGAGGCTCTGAAAGAAGCAGCAATTCTATGGCTCCTCCCACTTTCTAAGGGAACCGCGTGCTCCCGGGTTTCATACACAGGCTCCTGGACGCAGTGTGTGTGTTGGGAGAGAAGAGAGAGAAGGAATGACAGAGCAAAGGGGACCAACACGAACCAGTGAATCGGGGTGAAGGGCACAGTGAGAGTTCCTAGAATAAATGGGATTGTCAGGAAGCTGGCGTTGTTTCTAAAGCAGTAAAGGAGGGAAGGAGAAGGGCTGGATGTGGCTGAGGCCCATCCCCTAAGAGGCTCTGACATGAAGAGGCTGTGCCGCCCTCTTAAAGGTACACACGGCAGGGGCCGGGCTGGGGGGTCGGGGAGGAGCACCTCGGAGGCCACGCACTGTTTCTGCCCGAGGGGCGGACTGGAAAGTCTGGTTCTGAGATACGCATCTGCAGCGTAGGCTGGGGAGTGGCGGCCTCCCCGGAGTCTTCTCACCCTGCACGGTCCCTCCTTCCCCTGGTGGACAGGGTCCTGGGAGCCGACCCCAGCCCGAGAGCCGGCTCTGCCCGACTTTCATTCACTCAGCGCCTTGTGACGCGCATCAGCTAGTCTTTTCTTTCCTTAAACTGGCCTCTCTCTGGTCGCCATTCTGAGCACTTCCATGTTCTCACCACCCTCAGGTGACCACCTGAATGACGGCCAGGGGACCAGTGGTGGAAAACAAAGTTCCACAAGCATATCTACCCTTGGAGCTAAGGATCTGGGTATTATTCACAGTAGGAGATGATTTTGTTTTCGCGGGGGAAAAAGTTCTTTTTAAGGTCAGTATTAATAGTCTTTAGCCTGACTGGTGTGGCTCCATAGCTAAGCATCAACCCATGAACCAGGAGGTCACGGTTCAATTCCCGTTCAGGGCACATGCCCAAATTGCAGGCTCCAACCCAGTGTGGGGTGTGCAGGAGGCAGCCGATCCATGGTTTTCTCTCATCATTGATGCTTCTGTGGCTCTCTCCCTCTCCTGTCTTCTATAAAATCAATAAAAATATGTATTTAAAAAAAAAACACAAAAAAACACAAGCCTATTGAAACACTTCTGAATAAACATGCAAACCAATAGGGCAACCAGGCAATTCGATTAAAGCCTTTGGACAATGCCAAGCGGAGTTTCTGCCTGCGGTTGGGAGTAACAGTGCTTAGAAAGCCCGGGTCTCTCACTCGGGCTGCCGGTGGCTGAGGCAGCGCAGTAACACCCGGAGAGGAGCAGGAGCGGGGAAGCGGGAACAGCGGGTGCAGATGCCAGAGGAAAGCCCCCAGGGAACGCACGTGTGCTTTGGGCTGGGAAATCCAGGAAAAGCCAAAGGAAGGGAGACAGGCGTAATGTGCAAGCACCAGTCCTTCCCCGTGAAGCTTCCAGAAAGGCTTCACATGGATCTGCTTTCTCCCTGAGCAACCTTCAATCTCACCCCACGGGTGCAGCAAAGGCGGTTGGGAAGACTAGAGCGACGGGGCTGCACACGGCTCCCACCGCAGCTCTGAAACGTCTGAACCCCCAAACCGTCTCTCCTCTGCGCGTGGTTTGCTCGGTGGGAGACCCCCACCGACCCGGACTCCTCAGCCCGCCTTGCAAAGGAGCGTGCTCAGGGATAGATTCTTGAATCAGGCAATAGGGACTCGCTTTTCCTCTCTGCTGTCACAAGGTGATGGATGGTGTAACAGGTTTGGGGGAAGCTACTTAAGCTAGAGAACAAGGCATGGCAATGGAGTCTTTCCAAAAGCCTTGAAAACCCAGCTCCCAGACTTCCAATAGGTTTCCTTCGCTCCAGACCATGTGCATCGGTCAGCAGCGGCACAGGAACATTCTTACCGGCGGAAGAGACATTCATGGTCAAGTCTGTTAAGACTGGTTGACTTGCCATCTCTAACTCCCCGAAGACAGCAAACCGTGCTATGGGCTGCTCTGTGACCTCACTGGAGAGTCAAGGTCAAGACCATGCCAGATGCATGTGACTAATGCTCCTTGAGATGCAGAAACGCAGGCATGGGAATGAGTTCTCAGTCGTGGGATTTTTAAAGTCAGAGATGTGTGGGAAAGCAGCGCACCACCTCCACAGTCACGCAAGCCCAGCTGTTTCCCGGGCGGGAGGAAGCGTGTGTATGGGTCTGTGGCTTCATGGGAAAGTGGGAGGCAGCGTCCTTCGATGCTAAAGCACAAGCCAGCCACAGCACAGCACCAGAGGCCCTCAAGGAGCTCCCGGCCGACGTGTTCCCTGGGGCTTGCTTTCGAAATACATCCACAGATTCTCTGACACTGCTCCAATCCAGAAATGGAGCCCAATTCTCCTTCCCTTCATACGAGCCGGACCCCCTGACCCAGACCCTCTGCAGAAAACCAGGCTGGAAGTGCCTTGGTGTGACTTCTGAAGCGAGGTTATAAGAGAGACACAGCATCTGCCCCGCTCTCTCTTTACTTTGAAAAATATGTTTTTATTGATTTCAGAGAGGAAAGGGGAGGGAGAGAGAGAGAAACTTAAACGATGAGAGAGAATCATGGATCGGCTGCCTCGTGCATGCCCCTCACAATGAATGGAGCCTGCAGCCCGGGCATGTGTCCTGACCAGGAATTGAACCGTAATCTCCCGATTCATGGGTCAACGCTCAGCCACTGAGCCACGCCGGCTGGACTGCCTCAGTTGCTCCTGAGTTATGAAGAGGTCAGGCCGACGGAGGGGCCGTGTGTAGCTCCCCCATCTGACAGCCCAGCTGCAGCCCTAACCAACCATCAGCATCAGCCACGTCTTGCATGTGTTACCTCCACCATGTGGGTAAGGGAGCCTTCAAGAAAACCTCAGCTGACTTTCCAGCCGCCATCTGCCTGAAACCACATGAATGCAAACCACGCAGCTGAGGCCAGTCAATTCCCAGAACCATAGCGATAATAATAATCAATAAACGTTGTACTTTTAAGAGTGAGGTCTGCAAACTATGAACTGTGGGCAAAATCTGGCCTGCGACCCATTTTCTACAGCCTGTGAGCTAAGCTGGGTTTGGCACATTTTAAAAGAAACGAAACAATACGGAGAAAAGTATGCAGCAGAGACCATATGTGGCCCTCAGAGGCTTAAAATCGTTATTCCACGGCCCTTCACAGAAGTGTGCTCACCGCTGTCGTAAGCCACTACATTTTCAGCAGGTTTGCTAGGAGGGTACAGAGAGTGGGGACACGGGGACCATAACAGGAGTCAGTGATGGGCAAATCCTGGACATGGAGTACCATGCAACTCACCCTGAAAAGCCACAACTGTTATCCTCAACAATATCCATCCCATCATTAATGACTATCGTGCGATCTTCTGATTTCACAAGCACACTTGCTCAGCCAAAGCAAAGTGGCAGTAATGTGATCCATCAACCAAGAAGAGGAGAACAAGCCTGGATCTCAGATTGGATTCCAGATTAAACTCCAAAGTCTACAAGACTCATTAATCATTTTAGTAACAATAGCTGGCATTTACTGATACTGTCACAGACACTGCTCAAAACGATTTTGTATGTGTTACTTCAGCTAAGCCTCATGACGACCCTTATTTCCATTTCACAGATGACAACACTGAGGTGCAGATAAATGATCGAACCTATTCACGATCACACAGGCAGTAAGTACAGAGCCAGGGTTTGAACTCAGGACTGACTTGCATCCATGAACTTAACCGCTGCACTCTGCCTCTCCTGGCCAGAAAATGTCTAATCAAGACATGCAGTCCTGGTTTAAAGAATGCAGATGTGCCCAGCTGGTGTGGCTCAGTGGTAGAGCATCAACCTAAGAACCAGGAGGTCTCGGTTTGATTCCCGGTGAGGCACATGCCCAGGTGGTGGGTGTGATCCCAGTAAGGGGCGTGCAGGAGGCAGCTGATCAAAGATTCTCTCTCATCATTGATGTTTCTCTCTCTCTCTCCCTCTCTGAAATCAATTAAAAATGAAAAATAAAAAGAATGCAGCTGCTCCCCAAGGGAGGGCAGCGCCCTGTCTTCTCTGCCCAGACTTCCCTGGATGCTGGTCAAGGGTACAGTCCCTCCACCAGGACTCTGGCCTTACCTTGGTCTTGGCTCTTGCCAGAACGCTGGAACTTCAGTAGCCCTAGGTTTTCTGCCGAGAGGATCTGAGACTCCTAGGCTAGCCCCAGACTCTGTCTGGTGACAAACTGTTCCTTCCAAACCATCAAAGACGGCCTCCCAGTTTCCTCCCGGTTTCTGTCAGCCCACACATGGAGCACGGAGCTTTTTGCCGGAGGGATGGCTGTCAGGGAAGACACGGGCTCTCCACCGCCAGCCCCAGGATCAAGAGCCAATCAGCATGGAAAGGACACGTGGACCACGGTGGGGACCAGGGACGGTGGAGAGTGGAGAGAGTATCACTTTCCTCACCCATGAGCCGGGAGCCACAGCAGCCGTCGGGTTTGCTGTGCAGACGAGTGCCGAGACAGACCGAGGGCCTAACTCAGGGGCTGGCCTGCAATTAATGGCGGTTATAATCACTATAATTTTGACACAGAACATGCCTCTCCGTTAAAGAGCCGGCCAAGGGCATTCACTGGAATAACTGGAAAAGCTGTTCATCACAAGGAAGAGCCACAGTCACGGCCAGGCAGAGGGGAGGAGGAGCAGTTTCTCTCTCCCTTGTCACCTCTTCCACGGTGGCAGGTGTCAGTGTGACATAAATATAAGTGTCTGTGTGTGTGTGTATTTATATATATGTGTGCGTGTGTGCGTGTGTGTGTGTGTGTGTGTATTTTTTTCATTTTAGAGAGGGAGAGAGATAGAAACATCTATGATGAGAGAGAATCATGGATCGCTGCCTCCTGCACACCCCACACTGGGGATCGAGCCTGCAACCCAGGCAGGTGCCCTGATTGGGAATCGACCCGAGACCTCCTGGTTCATGGCTCAACCACTGGGCCACACCAGCTGTGCGGCACTGCTTTGATTATACTTGAAAAGGGCCCCTTCATGGTCTTTCTCCCACTGAACTTGGCACAAAGAACTGGAGATCAGGAAAGGCAGGCCAATGCTCCGACCTGACCCCCGTGCCAGGCCACCTGGGCGCGGGGACGGGCCGCGGGGCGCCGGCTACTCACCAGAAGGGGAAGATAATGAGGCGGCTGATGAAGAATATGGCGGAGAAGATGAAGAACAGGGTATTGCAAGTCTGCTTCCATCCAGCATAAGAAAACATCTTGGCAGACTGAAAGCAAAGGAACAAATGGTGTTCAGATAAAATATGAGTACACATTTCTAAAATTAAACACTTGTAAATGATGGAGTGTCTGGGCTTTGCTTCCAAACAATCGGGGGAAAGGTGGAGTGCGAGTGGGGAAACAGATGAAACAAGATTTGAGGTATTATTTGTAGGGTGTCTTTTTAATCCTCAACCGAGGATATTTTTTCTATTAATTTTTTTTTTTTTTTTTTTTTTTTTTTTTTTAGAGAGACTGGAAGGTGGAGGAGAGACAGAGAGAAACATTGATGTGAGCAAGACACACTGATTGGTTGCCTCCCACACACGCCCCAACCAGGGCTGGGGATTGATGCCGGGGTTGTGGGCTCGATCCCCAGAGGGGGGCGTGTAGGAGGCAGCCAATCTATGATTCTTTCTCATCATTAATGTTTCTCTCTCTCTCTTTCTCTCTCCCTTCCTCTCCGACATCAACAAAAATATATTCTAAAAGTAAAAATAAAAGTTTTGTTTCTCTGAGCTTGAAGGCTATGGGACCAGAGCCAGCTGTGGGCTGTAGCTGTTTTCGGGGCTCACGGCCCCGCTGGACGCCCGCTCACACATGCTGCTTGCCGTGAGGGCCCTGCAGCCCGGGGCGCCCTGTGTTACCATGGGTGATGGCAAGCGTGTACCTCCAGCCAGATGTCGGCCACGTCGTGCACAATCATCACCAGGGTCCCGCTGCGGATGTAGTTAGCGCACCAGGAGAAGCTCATCAGGCTGAGCGCAGCCAGGTGGTGGATGACGTGAGCGAGGAAATCCTGCAGGATGGGGGGAAGTGGAAGACATTAAGGAAGTGCTATTAGTTCCCAACACTGGAAGAACTGATGATGATGATGATGATGATGATGAGGAGGAGGAGGAGGAGGAGGAGGAGGAGGAGGAGGAGGAGGAGGAGGATTTAAAAACTAATACCATTTACATGTTTTAAAATGTGTAAAATGCTTTCACTTTAATTCTAAATATAATCCTTGTGAGGGAGATAGGACAAGAACTGCCCTCACTGATAAAGTCACTTAACTATGAGAGATCCCCTGGAATCTGTCCTCTAAGTCCTGGCAGCCCCACACTGGGTATATGTACACACACACACACACACCATATTCCTGTGTACACTTACATGTGTTGTTTATTCCGTGTCTAATTCCCAGAAGGGAAACAGACTTATAAGAAACACTACACAACCAATGAAATAAGAGGTGTTGCATCCGAAAGAGATAACAAATAAAAGTGGAATAACCTAGCCAATCCAGGCTTAAAGAGGTGCTACAATTGAGCATAAAAACACAAAGGTTTTCTGCAGCGATGATGTACCAATGGCCAATAAGTCCTTGAAAATACGCTCAACCTCATTAACCATCAGGAAAATGCAAATTAAGGCCACAGGAGAGAGATGCTACCTGCCTCACAGCCACCAGAATCGCTATAACAAAAAATAAGCAGTAAGTGTTGGCAAGAATGTGGAGAAATGGCAGCCCCTGCAAACTGCTGTTAGAGGTGGCTGCTTTGTTGAGTGGTGGGGCAGTTCCCTAAAAGGTTACCCATAGAATTAACGTGGAGCCCAGCAATTCCACTCTGAGGTATGTACCCGAGAGAAATAAAAACATATGTCCTTGAAAACTTCTGTATCTGAATGTTCATGGCAGCTTTGTTCATAATAGCCAAAAAGGTGGAAACAGCCCAAATAGCCATCAGCTGGTAAGTGGATATCCATATAAGGACTATTTTTAAAAAAAAGAAAGAAAGAAAGAAAGAAAGAAAGAAAGAAAGAAAGAAAGAAGAAAGAAAGAAGGAAGGAAGGAAGGAAGGAAGGAAGGAAGGAAGGAAGGAAGGAAGGAAGGAAGGAAGGAAGGAAGGAAGGAAGGAAGGAAGGAAGGAAAGAAAAGAAAAGAAAAGAAAGAAAAGGAAAGAAAAGAAAGAAAAGAAATGGAATACTGACACGTGCTACAACAGGAATAAACTCTGCAAAGACTGTGCTAAGGAAAAGAGGCCAAATACGAAAAGAACACATACTGTGTGACTCCATTTATATGAAACGTCCGGAAGAGACAAATCCATGGAGACAAGAAGCAGGCGAGTGGTTGCCCGGGGCCGCGGGAGTTAAAAGAAATGGGAACTGACCGCCAGAGCCATTCATTTCTGAGGTGATGAAACGCTCTCAGATTTGACTGTGGTGACGACGGCAGAAGTCTGTGACTAGACTCAAAACCACCGAATTATGCGCTTTAGATGGGTGAGTTGTATGGTATGTGACTATTTCAAAAGAGTGCTTTAAAAAAAAAAACTTTCAAGATTTCAGTTTCCTTGTGGCCAAAGTAAGAGACTAAGCATGATGATAATAATAGCCTAATTTATTGAGCACTTACTGTATACCAGGAAGTGCTTCATGTGGTTTAACTTGCTTAATCCCCACAGCAACAGGAGCAGACAGGAACTCTGTTCCACTCCGTGCCATAGACAAGCAGATCCAGGTTGGGGGGTTTAACTATCTAGCTCAAGAGGTTAGTGAGGGTCAAACGAGGGATTCAAACCCAAGCAATCTGACCCCAGAGTCTGTGCTTTACCCACCTCCTAACCGTTTTATGTCTCCGAAGATATGTGTTTATAAACATGTGACATATACCTACACTTAATTTTTTTAAAAAGACTCAATGCACCTGTACATGATAAAGAAAAATCAACTACTGAAAGAAAATCAAAGGTTTTATTGCCTTAAGAAATCAAAAAAGACAGAATCATTACAGGATCAACCTACCTGATGTAAGTATATGTGTGTGTGTGTGTGTGTGTGTGTGTGCGCGTGTGCGTACCTAAAATGATTTTTTTCAATTCTGTAGCTTGAGAAAATGACTCAGTTAGTTTCAGTGTTAATCCTATATAATAAAAGGCTAATATGCAAATCAACAGTGGAACGACTGGTTGCTATTGATGCGCACTGACTACCAGTGCTAAGGATATCCATCAGGGCTCTGGGACTGAAAGAGGGCACAGGAACCTCCGCCCGAGTGCATGAATTTCATGCACTGGGCCTCTAGTGTTTATATAATGTTCCACTACAAATACCTACGCACCCAAGTATGAATATAATTTGCATTATTCTATGTGCTATAAAAAGCAAAAAACAAAAAAACAGAAACAACCCACAAAACTATGAACTAGAACTTAACACATATAAAATACAATTTAAAGATTGAGGTTTGGAGTAGGGGATAAAAACTTTGGAAAAATAGTGAATAAAGTAACTTTGTAAGTGAGACACTTACCTTCCTCTTCACATCGGAGCCCAGGCTAAATAAGAGAGAACAATAAAAACTCATTTCCAGGATGTAGTACCAGTACTGGGATGGCAGCAAGGGCTGAGAAAAATGAGAGTATTCGCTTTAATGCCATGTAACTCATTTTATACTTATTGATATAACATTCCCCAGGAACCCAAATCTGTATTAATCCTAATAATTCAAGGATGTATATGGTAATCTCTAGGATAATTACTAAAATAATAAAGTATGCATAAATGAAAAGCTATATAAGGGAAGAAGTGGAATAATAATTTTTTAAAACTTGACTGTCCCATAAAAATGTAAGAAAAGAAAATAATTTTTTTTAAAAAAGGGAAACGCATAAGGCGGTACAAATAGAAGATAAAAATAGCAAGGCGGTAAATTTAAACTCAAACACAGAATGAGCTGGACACAGACTAACAGAATGAGACACGTGATGGGTAAGTGAGAACGAGTCCGTTCCAACAGAGAAGGAGAAAAAGGCCTGCAGACGAGGACAGAGCAGGACAGACAGGGACGCAGACCTAACTCGGGGGGACAGCATTGGGGGTCTGAGGGCTGAAGCAGTGGGGGCTACATCAGAGGTCCTTACCTGTCTGGGATAGCCATTCCACACCTCCCCGAGGTCATACACCCAAGGTTTCTGGGGGGAAAAAGTTTGTCAGAATCAAAGGCTAGCTTCAGCAGAAAATGCAAGCTCCTCCTGATGGTACTGACAGGGGCAGGCACAGGCAGAAAGATGCGTTTGTACATCCCGCTGCATGTCTCTCCCTCTGAAGATATCCACACACGTCGCTATACAACACCCTGGATTAGTGAATGTGGGGCCAAAACCCGCCCTGTCTCACAGAGCAAATCATTTCAAACAAATGCCTCTTCTAACAAACTGATTTTCGAACCAAATCTATGACTGCTTCTGTAGCAATCAGATAATCTGGAGCAATAAAGTATCTGAAGAGAAACTGAGAGAAGTCTCTAAAAGCTGGCTGTCTTTTATTGTCTATGAACAATGTACCATTAAGTTTATAATCACTTAGTAATTATTTACATAACTAGAGGTCTGATGCACGAAAATTCATGCAAAAATGGGCCTTCCTTCCCCTGGCTGCCAGCACCGCCTTTACTCTGGCCCGAGCTCCTTCCCGCCTTCCCACGCTGCCCAGAGCCCCAGAGTGGCTGCAGCAATATGAAATGCCCCCGGCCTCTCGGCAATTGTGTATGTAAATTAACCCGCCATCTTTGTTGGGTTAATTTGCATAGTTACTCCTAATTGGCTGGTGGGCACTGTGAACGTACAGTCAATTTGCATCTTTCTCTTTTATTCGTGTAGATGGTAAGGAGAGATTTAGTTTTTGATAGATGAGTAAGGAAAGTCTTCATGGGACAAGTGGCATTTGCTATGATGCTGGTTGGATTGGGTAGGTAGAGAAAGATAGGCGGAGCAGGACATTCCTGGCGGTGGGGGGAAATGTGCTAAAATCCCCAATGTGGATGTACCAGGCCTGTTCTGGGATTGTCAGGAGTCCAGCTTAGGGGGTGCGTGAGTTGCCTAACTGGACGCAGGGAGAGACTGGGGTAAGGAGGAACTTGGCAGATGCACAGTTTAATGGAGGTGCTGGGAGACAGCCTGGGAAGGCCACTCTCCAGGCCTCGGAGGGTGGGAGGGTTACGAGCTGCTATCTCCTGGAATGCACTAGATCCTCGGGGAGTCAAGGGCAGGGATTTTAAAGATTAAAGACAAGTTCCAGTCAAAAATATCAAAAAGACAACTTACATCATAAAGAAATGCAATTCCAGCCACAGTGATCATCAAGTAGAATGCAAATCGCCAGCTGCCAAGAGATAGGAGAGTCCGGTAAGGGAGGTGGCGCTGGAGGGGAAACACACCCGGTGCGGCAGAAAGCCGGCCTGCTGCAGGCGGGTCCATCCACGGTACTGGGAGACTGCCAGGCGGACGGCCGCACTTCAGCTCAGTTTTAACCGCAGGGAGCCTACCTTCTTCACTTGTAAAATGGAAACAAAACTTGCCCCAAAACGTAATAAGAACTGAAAATAATTTATGAAAAATACAGAACATAGTGTCCAGTAGGAACTAAGCAACAATAAGTGGCAGTTGTTTTTTATTATTATTATTATTATTATTATTGATTTTTTTACAGAGAGGAAGAGAGAGAGAGAGAGTTAGAAACATCGATGAGAGAGAGTCATTGATCAGCTGCCTCTTGCACGCCCCCTACTGGGGATGTGCCTGCAACCAAGATACATGCCCTTGATGGGAGTTGAACCCTGGACCCTTCAGTCCACAGGCTGACACGTTTCGGCATATTATTATTATTATTATTATTATTATTATTATTTGCTTAGTGTACTTCCTAAGACACAATAAATGATGGTTTGATGTATTATCAAATCATTTTATCCCCATTTAGTTCCCAGTGACGAGGTTTCCATGTGGCCCAACTTTTTAGTCTTGCCTTGGAAAAGCATTTTTTGAACAATTATCTTTTTGTCGTGGATGGAGAAAGACCTATACATTAAGAGACTTAAAAGACACAACCCAACTGTAACGCAGGGGTCTTATTTAGACCCTGATTCAGTGGTTGAGCATTGACCTATGAACCAGGAGGTCGCGGTTTGATTCCCAGTCAGGGCATGTGTCTGGGTTGCAGGCTTGATCCCTAACAGGGGACGTGCAGGAGGCAGCTGATCAATGATTCTCTCTCATCATTGATATCTCTCTCTCACTCTTTCTCTCTCTCTCTTTCTCTCTCTCTCTCTCTCCCTGCCTTCCTCTTTGAAATCAATAAAAAATATGTATTTTAAAAAATTGTAGCACTTCAAAAGCTGGACTGTCCTCCTTACCAAGCCTCCTGGAATTTTTTCATCCTGCAAGGCCTGTCCTGGTTCCGCCGGCTCCGAAACCACCTTTCCACCTGGCGCTCAGTCAGGCTGCACTTCTTGGCCAGGCCGTACACATCGTCCTGAGAGGGATGAGACGGTGAGTGAGTGATGAAGAGCAGAGTCAGGCTGGCAGGCAGTCAAGAAGCAGTGTGACTGGATTACGAGAGCTGGTGCACTGGAGGGAGAGGGACTCAGCATTCCAACTGGAGCCAAATTCCAGAGAATTTACCTCTTTTGTTTATGGATCACACACACACACACTCACTCACACACACACACCATGGCCCCCAAAACCACAGAGAATGTTAGTATCCCAGAACTCTTCAGTTCCAAAGAGAGATCAAGTCTACATAAGTTCGTAGCAACACGTATGTTCAGGCTGCATAGCAAGCTCATTCATTCAGCTCCATGTTATGTCGGGCGTCCCGGGACCAGGCAGAGGAGCAGCTTAACATGCCGATCAAACCAATCGGCATGGAAACCCTGAGAGTTCAGTAAATGCACAAGATGGAAAGCCAGTAGCCACGGGAGGACTAGAACATGGGCCGCTGCATCTTCTGGTACTTCACGTGGTCCGATAGCTCCCGCAGACAACACGGGAGCAGCTCACACAGGTGCTGGCTGTCTCTCTCACACCGAGTCAGAAGGAGAGCCTAATGCAAACTGACCTGAGAGAATTCCAATCCTCAGAGTCATGCTTGCACAACATAAAAATGCTGACTGCTCCTCTCCCGGAGAGCAGAGGCTGCAGGCTCTGACTGAAAACTGGAAATGGTGTGGATAATGGATTAGCTCCAAGGTCACAGGATCGGCTCTCACAGGCCGGGCAGGACACAGGAATGGCTGAGCGGACGGGTCCGGGCAGAGCTGCATTCGCTCCACACAGGCTGTGTTAAAGGCACACTCCTCTCCGCTTCCACAGGGAAATGAGCCTTTTTTTTTTTTTTTTTTTTTTTTTTTTTTTAAGCACTAGCTTTCTTGATCTTTCATTTTCCAATGTGAGTACAAGAAATACTGCCCGGCTGGTGGGGGTCAATGGTTAAGCACCGACCCAGAAACCAAAAGATGGCGATTCGATTCCCTGTCAGGGCATATGCCTGGGTTGTGGGCTCGATCCCCAAGAGGGGGCGTGCAGGAGGCAGCTGATCGATGATTCTCTTTCATCATTGATCTTTCTTCCTCTCACTCCCTCTCTCTTCCTCTCTCTTTAAATCAATTTTAAAAAACACATTAAAAAATAACTTAATCCAATCCTCAGGAGAGCCCTGTGAGAGCAGCGATGTTATCGTGTTCAGTTCACAGAGGGGGAAACTGAGGCACAGCATGGCTCATCTGCTTCACCCTGCCTGCAGCAGACCGGAAGTGTGGACGGCAGTCTGTCCTCACAGCCTGTGTGTTTAGCTCCGACACCAGGGGAGCCTCGGGGAGAAGCAGTGAGGCCGGAGGGAGAGGCTGTGTGAGGGGAGGACAAGCCAACCCCCGGAGGAGCAGAAGATGGCCTCACCTCGATGGCTCTCACACGCTCGCCTGTGACATCAGGGACTGCAAGAGCGCTTTGCTCTGAAAAGTCTGAATCTGTGGCTGGGGCCTCCGTGACCGTCAGCGCGTGGCTGTCTGTCCGTCTCCCGGGGCCACGTGCTCGGCAGAGCTCCTCCGGAGCGACCCACTTGTTGTCTCTGCGTCCGCTCCCGCTGCGGCCTTGCCCCGGGGAAGGGGCTGCCCCTACGTGCGGCCTTCACTCCACTGTATCAACAGCAGAATAATTGATCTGTTGGCTGGGGCCTCTGGGCTGCGACCAGGGCTCACTCCCAATACATCTTGAAGTTATTATTGAGATATATATAGAGAGACGTAAACGTGTGTGTAAATAATGGCCTCGCAGCTGCACATACACAGGCCCGAAAGAATGGTGCGAAGTCATAGCTCAGAACCCTCCTGGGAAGCGGATGTGCACGGCGTCTGGGCCTCGTCAATCCCGCGTTGTATACCCTCCTGTGCTAGCCAGCCGGAGTCGGCGCTGTGCACTCTGGGTACTTCTGTTTCTACAGAGGCCTCGGAGGACAGCTGGAGGGGCTCCCTCAGCACCACGCACTCAGCTCTGCAAGGAGTCATGTGTTTTCCATGCGTCGCCACTGCAGTTTCTGCCGTTACAGCTTTGGAATAGGTCATTAGAGGTAAGACCCGAATCTTGAAGCAGCAATTTTTTTTTTAATTATTATTTTTTTAGTTCTCCCAGCAACTTGTCTTACCTCAGCCAAATTTATGGCTTTGTGTAAGACAGAATACAGACAAGACGCTGTTGGTATGACACCAGCCAAGTTACTATGGGAGGTATTGTGAGATTATTTTGTTTCCACATCTGAAACCACTAGGAAGTCATGTACTTTGCCTTCCTCTATTATATTCTGTCTTCCCAAGTGCCAGCATTTTTAATGGATGGGCATTTTTTGGACAACTTGTTGTCATGATCTGCTTTGCAAATATTGTCTCAATTTCATAATCTACAAGCGATGTAAGTTAGAGATCTTCATTATTTTCCTTCATCTTTTCTTCTTGGTTTGAGGGTGACGCAAATGTCCACGCTGCGTGTGAACTGAGTTAGTAGAACAATGACTCCAGGTGTTCCAGCCGCTGAAACTCGTTTTCAATCTTCTGTTCACAGGCAAAGAAGGCGCGAGGGCATAACGGGAACAGTGTGGAGAGAGGGCGGAGGCCAGGTTCCCGCTACAGATTCAGCCAAGGTCACTCAGCCGCATGACCTTGGATGTCCAAGATCATGAACTTACCTCAGATGGTTTCCTCGTAGAGCGTCTGTAAAAAGTCTCTAAGACAGTGTTTGGTATAATCTTCCGAACTTCCTCTTTGATACCCACAGCCTTTGCTAGGGGTGTGGCGATAAATCTGAAAGAAAAAAAAAAAATGAAAGACAGTTCAAAATCTGATAATGAAGCCACAATGACACCAGTGCAGGGGAGAGGCTGACTGAATGGGGACACTGGGAAGTTTTTCGGCTGATAAAAATCTCCTGTCATAATTGTGGTGATGGTTACATGACTGTATACATTTGTCAAAATGCATCCAATTTTGGATGAAACTTTATTACATAAATCATATCTCAATAAAACTAAATTTTTAAAAATAAGATTAGATCCCAATTCTTCCCTCAGGCCTAACAAAGGCTCCACCTTCAGCCAGGTCGATCTATCCTTATCCTTACTGAGGAGTTTCTGTGTTTGATTAAATGCTGGAGATTTTAGTTATGAATGACCACTTAGCCCTTCAATTCATTTTTTTACAACCAGAGGAGCTGAATAAAAATTTCCTGGGATAATCTGATAAAATGTACGAACCAGTCCAACTTCCAGATGGACTGAGTGCTCCTGGAAAGGGCCCATGCATGTCAGGGCCGTGGGAAAACAGACGAGCGATGCACACAGAGCCATGTGCACAGCCATACCCCACAGTGCCATGCTCAGGGAAAGGAGCAGAATACAGGCTCATCGCGTACCACGTGTCAGCTAACAATACGTACCACTTATGTGTATGCACATGTTTCACGGGGTCATACAAACAAAAAGCCTTACAAAACAAGAGAACCCAGCAGGGAGGGGAATGGGACTAGGAACCAAGGGTGAAAGGTGGAAAAGTTGAAAAGTTAATTCCAATCAAGCAATCAATTAAAAGATGTCTTACTTAACACAGACAAAAGACAGCATGCTGTGATTAGGGAAATGTGGTTAATTATTTGCACAATAGGTCCAAATGAAACAAAAACGAATGTGTTCTTAAAACTAACAGAGTCTCAAAAATGTATCTGACAGGGTTTTGGATAAATAGTGGGATGGGTTCATTTAGCCAACGTACTATCGGAGAATTGTTACTGGAGAACAAGCTCATTGTTTTTACTGGGACAACACAGATACAAAGCGGCTTAATACGGTAGTGTTCTCCATCAGAATCACTCAGTGCTATCTCCTCGGATGTTAGAAATGAAGAAATCAGAAAGAAATGAGAAAGCAAAGCAGAGCAGAGCCAAGAAGGCTTATGCGGTGAGGGAACACAGCCAATCTCGGAGCCAGATGAGGGTAACATCCCCTCAGAAGGGTCATGTGAGAGTAAGTATGTGGATAAGTATACACAGTGGATAAACACACATCCATAGCATGCTTGGTGATACGAGAAACATATCTATTACTAATTTAAACAAGAGAAATACGGCCTTGTGTTTTTTTTTAACATGCCCAGGCTCGCCTGAACTTGCATTTTATTGATATGGAGTCGAAAAAAGCCCAAGAGGGAAAAAGGGAAAAAAACAAAAAAAAACACGTGGACTTCTGCTCCCATGCAAATGGCTCGGAGCATGGTTTATTAATTACAGCAGAAGGTCTCTTAGGTTCGCTGCTATTGCAGAGCCGAGCCTTCACATGGCCCCAGGCGGACACCCCAACCGCCCCCTCTTCACCTGGCACAGCCTGGGTCACCTGTGAGCCAAAAGCCTTGCAATCCCAGTGGCCCCCTCTTTTCAATACTATTTTACTGAACAAAAGGCAGGCAGGCCTAGGCGGAGGTTAAGCAGATGAGGTTTAAATGCGTCTCCTACCCAGGAACAATAGCCCGCTGCATGGGGCTGCTGCCTTGCTCCGGGGATTTGAAGGCTCTGGACCAGAGCTGGTCAGAGGATTTTATGGGAGAAAACAGAATGCCTGCAGGAATGCAATCGAAATAAGACTTAAGTCTAAGGTGCAAATTTGGAGACCGTTTCAATGAGGACAGTAATCTTTTTTTAAAACAATATATATTTTTATTGGTTTCAGAGAGGAAAGGAGAGGGAAAGATAGAAACATCAATGATAAGAGAGAATAATGGATTTGGCCGCTTTCTGCACGCCCCCTGCTGGGGATCAAGCCCACAACCCAGGCCTGTGCCCTGACAGGAATCAAACACTGACCTCCTGGCTCATAGGTAGATGCTCAACCACTGAGCCACACTGGCCGGGCTAGCAAGCCTTCCTGAACTCCTGTAGATTGCTGCACGCACCCTTCCTGAAGGAATGATGGACTGCTGCCCACTGAGCCCTGTGCTGCCGAGGAGAGGGATAAAGATGGGGACTCTACTCACTGCACAACTAAGGAAAGAAAAGTGATGACCTTCTGGCTTTTCCGCTCCACCCCTGCTGTGGACTATTCTGGGAACTTAATTTACTCTGAGATAATGTGTTTATTCCACAAGTGTTTAAATTTGAGTAGCTCAGATCCCTTTAAATCACACTTGAGACACATAAGTGCAGAGTGCCTGGATACGCTGGTTAGAAACTGCAATTCTAGACACACACACACACACACACACACACACACGAAATCAGCCATAAGCCACAAACTAACATTTGTAAGGAAAGGAAATCCTAAAATACAAAGCAAATGTCGGCCACTTTCAAACGAGGGACTTGCCTGTCCTTTACCGGATCTGTCTGCACTTGGCTCTACAGCCTGAAAGGGGAGGGCCACCGTTCCTGGTTTAAAGGCTCCTGGCTAGCCCTGCAGCTAAAGCGAGCAGCCAAACCACAGCCTGGTCACAATTCCTAGGACAGCAGGAGAAAGCCTTCTCCCGATAAACATGGGATATGCTGAAGCTGAAGCGCAGTGTCACATTTACATTAACTTCTTTTTGTTGTTATTCCTCACCTGAGGCTACTTTTCTACTGCTGTTTAGAGAGAGTGAAAGGGAAGGGGAGAGACAGAGAGAGAAACGTCGATGGGAGAGAGACACATCAGTTGGTTGCCTCCCACACAGTCCCCGGCCAGGGCTTGGGACCAAGCCTGCAACCAAGGTATGTACCCTTGACCAGAACTGAACTTGGACCCTTCAGCCTGCCAGGCGACGCTCCAACCACTGACCCAAACCAGCTAGGGTTACATGAATTTTTAAGATAGTCCAGAAAATTTCACATTTGCTATCATCCCTTGAGGCTGTGTCTTCTGTATTCCTAGGAGATAATAATTTACTCTCTTTGACCATCAGGGGTAGTTCATTGTGAAAGTCACGAAGTTATGGGGAAAATAGAAAACCAACAACCTTAAACCTCATGTTATAACAAGTGGGTTCAAGTCCCAAATCTCCTCCTTACATACTTTCTGTTTCACCTTGGCTGGGTCACTTACTTCTCATTTTCTCCACTGAGATGATACCATTTGTGAGTTTATGTACCTCTTCAACTATAAGTTACTATTTAAATGCAAGGTGTCAGTAATAATTTGATATTAAGTGGTTTAATATAATACAAACTATACAAACCCTGGGAAAAAATAAAATTTATTTTTCAAAAAGCATGCTTTTGCCCAGCTGGCGTGGCTGAGCGGTTGAACAGTGACCTATGAACCGGGAAGTCACGGTTCAATTCCCAGTCGCCCCAAGTTGTGGGCTTGATCCCCAGTAGGGGACCTGTGGGAGGCAACTGATCAAAGATTCTCATTCATGTTTCTATCTCTCTCCTTTCCCTTTCTCTCTGAAACCGATAAAAAATATATATACATTTTTTTCAATATATTTTATTGATTTCTTACAGAGAGGAAGGGAAAGGAATAGTCAGAAACATCAACAAGAGAGAAACTTCGATCAGTTGCCTCCTGCATACATCCTACTGGGGATGCACCCACAACCCAGGTACATGCCCTTGACCGGAATAGAACCCGGGACCCTTCAGTCCGCAGGCCGACGCTCTAGCCACTGAGCCAAACCGGTCAGGGCAAAAAAATATACATATTTTTAAAAGCATGCATTCTCTCCCATGTTAACCTTTCCTTACTTCTCGTTCATGAAGAGCGAGACGCGGGGAACAACACACAGTGCTCTCGGCTCACAGAACGGAAGAGCTCCCTCGGGGAATTCTGGGAGTTCAAGTTATAAGGCGATGCCGACCTGACTCAGTCCCCTGAGAGGCCTCAGGAACCGTCGTGGGAATTAACAGAGGATTGGATTCCCTCCTAATTGTTATTGGCGAGGCCAAGACCAGACCAAGGCGAACAAGTTGGTCCTCCCCAGCAGAAGTTCCTAGCTCTCTGTCCCGATCAAAACCTAGAAAATGGAGCTGTCCACCCAAAAAGGTGGGAAATGTGCAATGCAAATGAGCAGAGGACCTGGGTGCCTGATGCAGAGAGCACCAGGCGTGCGAGGCAAGCAAAGTGACGCTGTAGGCCAGGGGGAACTCTCCTTTATTAATATGCATTCCCTGACGAATCCAAACGTCTGAGGAAAAAGCGGGACCTGCTGTCAAAAAGGAGGCACATTTGCACATGTTCTAGCTAGGGTTTCGTGGCATCGGGGGCTCTCCCTGCCTCCCAACGGCAAGCACGTGGTGGGCCCACATGAAGATGCTATTTGTACAGGAACCTGTGAGGCAGGCAGTCCGTGAAACAGAGCTGGTCAAGCTAACTCTCGAGATAAGGCCCCTGCAAATGGTTATGCACATATGATCCGCATTACGGTTAGTCTTGGACGGAATGATCTTTATCAGATTTCGTCTCAAGTTTTTCCAACTCTTGACATTCAAATATTCTTTTTGCTCCAAAAAAATAATGTGCTAATAACAGGTTTTTGAAACAGAGACAGCTACAGAGATTACAGATGGACATTTATCTCCCGTTATCCTGACACTGGTGCAGTTTTAATAAGAAGGCTGGAAGTCGTATCGGTTTAAATTAAGAAAAAAAAGAAGTTTGCTTTTCCTGACAAAGCAAATTTTACTTTTCTCTTTGACTTCCTTATACCTTGGAAAGAAGGGCGGCTATTGAAATGTTCAATAAACCTTTAAAACAAACGATGAGTAAAGCAAGATGAGGTTTGCTCTTTAAGGAGCCACATTTGCTATGCTGCAGGCATTTGGAAATGCTAAGCAGAGCTCTCCAGCACTGTCTTTCCGGGGTGCGTGTCCTTTGTCACAGACCTGGCCTAGGGAACGTGAGCCGGGTTCCCACGCTGTCATTGACCCTGACAGTCTCTGTGATACTTAACCCCTCAGCCTCAATTTTCTCACTGTGCAACTAAAGCACTTGTTTCTCCTTTTATTTGTTCGGCTCCTAGGGAACAGTTGGTGTGCACTGATTTCATGCACGGCCCCCCAGAATCTGCACCCCATCAGCAGCAACCTCTGATCAGCAGATCCTTCAAGGATCTGACTGGGACACTCATTCTACAGCTGGAACCAGGAAGGAAAAGGGAAGGGAAGACACACAAGCAGTACTTACTTTTCGAAGAAATGCCGGATAATCAGCAGGCCAAAGGCATAGGGGATGGTCATGTACAGATGAGAGGGTTTTACAAAGACGAGGCCATCGTGGTCCTCGAGGTCTGACCACTTTATTGCTGGAGGGAGCCAGAATCTTTCCAACCAAAACCAGTCTTTAAACGTCTGAAACATTCTGGAGAGATGGAAAAAGAGCACATTAGATTTGCAGGACAAATAAAACTGAGATAACAATGAGAGCCTTTGCTCAAAATGCTGAAATCAGTCAGTTCTGCGTTGGGGGTGGGGAGGAGAGGGTAACAACAGAACAGTATTATGTGATGGGTTGCCCATCCCTTCATTGCAGTCAGCGAGAATTGCTCTGCCAATATTGAACCATTTTGGCCGTGGTGGGCAAACTGAAGTTCAACAGCACTGTTCATACTTCACAGTTCATACATGTGACTGTTGTGGACAGGCACCTTCCTCTTGTGTGACTCTATGGTATGAAAAATAAGCTCTACAACGTCAACAGGCCAAAGGTCAGCACCACGACAGCTCCAGATATGAATACATTTTCACCAGAGCCCTAAGAACTTCCCGGCAGATACACAACAAGCACGTTACTTCATGTTAAAATTCGCTCCAATTAGTCCACGCCAACAAGTATTTCCTTAAGTATATTTTTCTTGACTTCAGAGAGGAAAGCAGAGGGAGAGATAGAAACATCCATGATGAGAGAGAATCATTGATCAGCTGCTTCCTGCACGCCCCACACTGGGGATCGAGCCCGCTACCCAGGCATGTGCCCTGACCGGGACTCGAACCATGATCTCCTGGTTCATAGGTTGACACTCAACCACTGAGCCACACTGGCTGGGCAAGATTTTTTTTTTTATGTTGTTATAATAATTTCTATATAAAAGTTTGGTCACTCCTAAAATAGGACTTCAGGCAGTATGGATGAATTTGCCCAGTGAAATAAAAATACCTTGTAATGTTTATTTATTATAACATTTATAATTCCGTGAATAGATGAGCAGCTAAGCTTTATCGTTCTGATTAGATAATTAAAGGAACAGCTTACGGGGATTACGTAGGAGTCGCTGCTCTGAATAGTGCCCTGCGCACCACATGTGAGCAATGAATCAAGACGTGTTGAGAGCCACAGTAACTTCAGTGCCCGATAGCCAAACACAGTGAGAGGGGGACAGGCACGGAAGGAATTCAGAAGTTGAGGGTGGGCCCCTGGGAAATGCCGTGCAGATTGAGAAAATAAGGAAATCTTCATTATTCACTTTTTCTTCCCGAGTCACCATTGAACATCCATTACTGCTGCTCCAAAAGAGTTAAAAGCCAATGCAAAATGAGGACGGAAGTTAGAGAACTACTAGAAGATTCTAAAGGAGTATGTCTCCGCGACCCTGGGCTAGGCCAGGGGTGGGGAACCTTTGCCCTGCCAAGGGCCTTTTGGGTATTTGTAACATCATTTGCTTAATATAATCCACTTACTATACATTTACGTTGCTAGGAAAACAGCTCTAGATTTATTGGATGTTGAGTCCTCCTGCGGTTGCCTGGGCAGGGCCAAACCAGATGAGTTCTCCGGCCTGATATGACCCACAGGCCGGACGTCCCCCGCCCCTGGGTTAGGCAAAGCCTTCTGGTGTAGGACATCAAAAGCAAAGCGACGAAACATGAAACAGATTAAGGTGGACTTCAAAGAAGCGAAAAACCTTCTGTGCCATTAGCCTCTCCTGCCGCATGGCCACAGGCCCCTGGCCCTGCCCCTGCCGCCCATTTGAGTCACGTTTCTGGCCTGGGCACCGGAAGTGCCATGTGGAGGAAGCCAGCACCCATCCTCACGGCAGCAGGGAAACCATCTTTCCCACCATCCGAGCCAAGGTGGACAGCTCCCCATCTGCCGGCGGCCGGCCTGGGATGGCCTCGGCTTGGCCAGTGGATGCTGCTCCCGGGACTCTGAGGCCGGAGCCAACAATGCTGTCCAGCGGCAGCAGCTACTAGAGAATACAGCTGTCTTTCCGCCCGCCCGCTGGCCCTCCTGACCTCCTTGTCCCTAGTCAGCCAAGTCTGGCCCTCCGACGCTGGGGGTCACTGCCAATCGAGTCCGTTGCTTTGATGGTAAGAGGTGGACACAGTTGCTTATGACCAAGAGCACTGGCTGACACACCTGGTTTTGATTTCCGAGACGAAGGGAGAGGGAGAAAGACAAATATCAATGAGAGAGAATCACGGATCGGCTGCCTTCTGCACACCCCACACTGGGGATCAAGCAGTTCAATAACTGTGACCTCCTGGTTCATAGATCGACGCTTAGCCACTAAGCCACACCTAGCGTTTCCTGACCTTCTTGATTGAAATCGACGGCTCACTTCAGCTGTGTGAACCTTAACTTTAGCAGAACTGCCCGGAGTAGGGTTTTCTTGTACAGTAACGACGAGGGGCTGGCAGCCGGTCCCTCTGTTTCGCCTCTGGTTTCATCTTGCTGACACTGGGCTCCCATTTGTCCCTTTTCTTCTCTTCCTCCCCCATTTCTGACCCGGCTCTAAATTTCAAATCTGAAGTGGCCCTCACAGCCACTGCTCACTGAGGGCTTTTTGTTCTTGGCGTTCTAGTGTGAAAGGCTGCGGCCTCCCAGATACAGCCGCAGGAAGACGCTGGGTGGGGTGCAAAACCCGAGACTGACACGGTGAGCAGAATGAGACCTCCGGGCTGTGTTAGCTACCTAAGGATTGCAATACTTCAACAATATCCAGATGGAAAAAGAATTAGAAAGGACGGACATAGGGAGATACCTGCATTAAAAAGCCCACAGCCCAGCCGGCGTGGCCCCGCGGTTGACCGTGGATCCATGAATCAGGTCACAGGTTCAATTCCCGCTCAGGGCACATGCCCAGGTTTGGGGCTCATCCCCAGTGCAGCCGATCCATGATTCTCTCTCTGCATTAATGGCTCTGTCTCTCTCTCGCTCTCCTTTCCTCTCTCTCTCTAAAATAAATAAAAACATAGTTTTTTCCGCCGAAACCGGTTTGGCTCAGTGGATAGAGCATCTGCCTGGGGACTGAAGGGTCCCGGGTTCGATTCCGGTCAAGGGCATGTACCTTGGTTGCAGGCACATCCCCAGTGGGGGGTGTGCAGGAGGCAGCTGGTCGATGTTTCTCTCTCATCGACGTTTCTAGCTTTCTATCCCTCTTCCTTCCTCTCTGTAAAAGTCAATAAAATATATATTTTTAAAAACATATTTTTTTCCAAAAACCCACACATTACTGCTCTAAAAAAATAAAAAATAAAATAAAAAATCTGAGCATTGGTAACAATCTGGAGCGGGGAGGGGACCTTCCTGTGACTCAGTCACTTTCTGGACAGTCTGACTCCCACATGCACCTTGCAGCCCATCTCATTTCTCTGGCTGAACTCGAGGCCTTTCTGGCACCTAGAAAGCTGTTAACACTCCTCAGCCTCTGCTTGGTATTCTCTGGGAGGCAGACAGGTCTATTCATCAGTTACTCAAACTCCCCTTTTCCCATCGCTGGTGCTTTCTTAAGGGCTGCAATTTTTATGGATCTAAAAAATGTAAAGCTATTTTTAAAAAATAGTTACAAGAAAAATGCTCGCACCGATTTCTCTCTATTTGGGGAAGTGTCGGTAATGGACATGGCATCAGAGCCCAGCTGTGTTTTCCCACCTGCTGTGACTGTGAAGTGTCCAGACCCTGTGTTCAACGCCAACTGCCAGTCGTTTGCAGGAAGACACTCTAACTCATGTAAGTTCTTCTGACTCACTCGTTGCTGACCTCATGGATACAGAAGCAAACAGGGTGAAGGAAGTATGCTGAGCCACTTTCTCGGATGAACATCATTAAATGTGACCTTGGGAATGAAAAAATAAACCCATCTGGGCCGCAAGTTGATCACTGCTTGAAGCAACATTTTTTGTGAAGTACTAAAAATACTGCACTTGCCCTAGCCGGTTTGGCTCAGTGGACAGAGCATCGGCCTGTGGACTGAAGGGTCCCAGGTTTGATTCCAGCCAAGAGCACATGCCTGGGTTGTGGGCTTGATCCCCAGTGGGGACGTGCAAGAGGCAGACAATCAGTGATTCTCTCTCATCATTGAGGTTTCTATCTCTCTCCCCCCCTCTCTGAAATCAATAATATATATATATATGTGTGTGTGTGTGTGTGTGTGTGTGTGTGTGTGTATATATATATATATATATTTTTTTTTTTTTAATAAAAATACAGCACTTGCCCACCCCATTTGGCTCAGTGGTTGAGCACCGTCCTATGAACCAGGAGGTCATGGTTTGATTCCCAACTTGTGGCAAGTGCCCGGGTTGCAGGCTCGATCCCCAGTGTGGGGCGTGCAGGAGGTGACCAATCAATGATTCTCTCTGATCATTGATGTTTCAATCTCTTGCTCCCTCCTCCTCCCACTCTGAAAATTTTTTAAAAAGAAAGTAAGCCAGCCTCAGAAGAGCGGGGACTTTGCCTGGCCTGCCCACTACTGCATGCCCAAAGCTTGCACAAGACGCTAAGAGTTTGCTGAATGAATGGATGGGAAACTTACTGGGGCTGAAAATTCAAGAAGAGGTGTTGTGGCCAAAAATGTTATCTAACTTAATATCTACAAACAACTTCATTTTTTTAGTTGCCAAACGATTTTTGAAACTTGCAGCAGGGGTCAGGTAAACACGCTTATCTGCATTGAGTCTGTTGGTGTTTTCTTTGGCACTAACTCTATGAACTTGGCCCAAAATACTGGTTCTGCCTTTAAGATAAAACACGAAGGAAAACAAGAGCCCCTGCTTGCCTTCTGTCCACGGTGCAAGGACAGAGCCAGATGGAATCCTACTTCTAAGAGCGTCTTAAATCGGGCGTTTCACACGATGAGCTGTAAGCGCCAGAGCAACTTTACGCGGGAGCACATTTGTTATGATTCACTTAGTGCATAAGAGTCTGGAAATGTCCAAAAACTGCAGAGGGAAAGCAAAAACAACTGCACTTCGTGTAGGGAAGTGATTAACGTACAGCAAGATCAAAACAGCTTTAAGTAATTCTCTCATACTAAATTTCCCAATTATATCGCTATAAGCCTTGAAGAGATTCAGAACAGACTGAGAGACCAAAAACAGAGAAACTCAGAGTATTTGCAACAAAAGCATGGTGTCGCCTCA